CCAATTTCTAAAAATTGTTTTTCTTGGGGGGGCTTCCGTTCCTCTTTTTTATTTACACGTATCAAATTTCACTTTGTTTCGGCCCCTTGCTGAATAAAAAAAAAAAAAAAAAAAAAAAAAGAAAAAGAAAACCCCCCCCCCGAAACATAGCCCTGTTAGGCGACGGCTATCTAGTGTTAGGAGATCTACGTTAGACCCATCGTACCTTTGGCAAAAGGCGTGCCTCTAGAGCTAGGTAGGCCCTCCAAGAAGTAGAGCGAGGGACTATGACCTGTTGCCTAGCTGTATGCCTGTCGGTAATGGTCTACCGGTGTTTGCATCCTATATTCGGCGACTGACATGTATTGTAATGCCCGTCCTACTCTCCTATAAATTTCTTATATTTCAACTAGTACTCTCTTCATTCATCTCGTGTAGTTTCTGCCGAACCCTCTATGCACTTAATTTACCATATCAGCAGAATTGTATTAAGTAGTTACTCCAATAATTCCCCCACGGCCGCCGTCACCTTGTCCCCCCTTATAGAAACCAGGTATATCCATGGCGCGAGGTAAGAAGAGCCACGGCGCCCGGAAGAACGTAACAAAAGGTGTTACCGGTAACAGTAACGAGCCTTACCTAGACCTGGCGCCATTTAAGGATTTCTGCGAGCATATAGACAGAAAGAAAAGACGCTTCGTCGGATTGGATGCCTTCGACAACGATACCAGCTTCATTCCTTTCGAGGTCATACGTGACTACTGGACCAAAGCTCGAGTAAACACTGCCCTAAAGGCGTTCAGGGGCAACCTTACTTTCAATATCGAAAATATACGCAACCATTATATCCGCATCTTCTCGATTCTCGTATACTGCGACGCTGTTAGCCACTTACAAGAGTTTACCAGGCATAACCTAAATGATGCCAAGTTACCATTGAAGCAACACCCAATGGAATGGCCAACAGGTCCCATTTATGCTAGGTTATTTGAGAAAGTCTCTAAACATCAATGGACCTTCTTCCCCTTTATTTTTAGCGATGCTCAATTGGATGATAATTGTCTCGACGATAACACCGTGTTGCCTATCGAAAAGGTGTCTCAAATCTCCCAAGGAGACGCAGCGGTCGTCCAGATGATAAAGATTGACGATTCGTGCAATTCACTTGCGCCAAGGGTATTTACCAATAACAGTCCCTCAAATTTATCACACTTCACATAACTTACCTTTCATTCCGTTTCAATCTAGGATCAACACGGTCGGCCCAATCAGGACATATTCGTACTGAAGACGTATCATAGTCATAAGTTCGAGAAGCTGTATATCAACGAAGTCAAAGCGCTGCGAATGCTTAAAACCTCACCCTCTTCGAACATCATTGCCTATTATGGATCTTTCCAGCTAAATGGCACATACAACATCATACTCGAGCATGCTGATAGAGGAGACCTGGCGGCTCTGTTTAGGGAACGTGCCCCAACAGGTACCGAGATTGAAGAGTTCTGGAAGAGCTTAATACCACAATGCCTTGAGGGACTGGGCCGCATCCATCACTTGATGATGAACGTTGACGAAGATGGTGTCAATGGGTATTACTCCCTTGACGTATATTGAATGAAGTTTATATCGAGTAATTGACATGATCTCTCTAGGATTCACGAAGATATCAAACCCGATAATATCTTGCTCTTCAAGGGTCGCTCAGGGTCGCGCTATGACTTCATCCCCAAGATTGCGGATTTCGGACTATTCACCCATGTCAGAACTTCCAAGGCAAACAGCAGTGAGGCAATGGGTCTGGATAACCTTGGGAACCAACTATACAGTACGTCCTCCTCGGACCACGCTCTATCTTCATATCCTAACAAGGGATAGGTTCACCTGAATGCGGTCATACGTCCTCCTATCAGGAGAACGCTCCAAACATGATTAACACCAAAGCAGACATATTCTCCTTTGGTGCTGTCTTGAGTGATGCTTGCGCATGGGTCAAGGGGGGCCCCAGGGAGAAAGCCAAGTACAACGAGCAACGGAGAGACTATCACCAGACCATCAAAGCATTCCGCGGAAGTGATTATGAGGCTTGTTTCCACGACGGTGTAGGCCGCTTGCCTGTAGTCGATGAGATGCATGCAAGCATTCGCGATCATTGTCAATCCGTCGGAGATAGTATCACGCCCCGTGTCATCGACATGATTGAGAAGCACATGCTGCTACCTAACGCCAATAACCGCTACAATGCCAAGCAGCTGAAGACTCTGTTCAATGAGATTTTTGACATCCCAAACGACCAAGGTCAACGCCCACCACTTGATCCACCACCTCCAGATATATTGCCGATGGAGCACGAACGAGGTCTATGTCTCACAGCACTAGGGGAGCACATCGCAAAATTACAATCTACCTCTGGCCTGAGTGCAAGAAAATCTCGAGACGCTATCGATATAGAGATCCACGAGCTTGTAGATGACCTCAAGAGCAACGTGCCCGGCCGACACCACATCCTCTTCTTCGACGACTCCACAACCATGGAGAAGCACGCGCAGTCGGTCGAGAAGACATCCCTCGCGCTTCTTTATCTAGCCAGGGAATTAGAAGGCCACGACGTAGAGTTTTCCTTCGCATCCGACCCAAAGCGCCTCCATCGCAGGCGGCGAATCAAAAAGCTGGCCGACATAGTGGCGCACCACAGCTACCGCCGCGAGCCCGGACTCATCGAGCTCGGGTTCGGGCAGCTCGTCGACAGCGTGCTCATCCCTTACTTGCCGATCCGGAAGTTAGGCATGAACTTCAACTTCTTCGCGAAGAAGCCGACGAGCATATACGTTTTTACGGACGGCGACTGGGGCGACGACCAAGAGGTCGCCTACCGCGTCGAACGGCCGATAGGGCGGCTAAACAAGGTGCTCCAGGAGCGGAAATTGGATAAAAACCACATCTCGTTCCACTTTGTGCGGTTTGGCGATAGTGCGAATGGGAAAGCGTATCTCGATCATTTGGACAGTTTCGGTAGGGACGATAATTGGTAAGACATACCGCTTTAGTTGTGTATAACTAACCTGCTAGGTTAAGAAAGTTCTACGTTAAACAGGAGAAGAAAAAGCTAACTATGAAATTGTTATAGGGATAATGTTGATGTTAAGACTGTCTTTAGTCCTGTTAAGGATATTGTCATTGGTCCGCTTGTCCAATGATAAGTCCAACGATACCCGGAAAAGGGGGTGTGGGTAGAAGGTATGGCACCACCTGTTGTGACCTCGAAACCACATGTTTTAATATTCTGTATAATAAGATCTGGTCGTGGTATTACTGGCGGCATATGATTTACGCGACTTTCTCACACTGGTTGTTTTCTACTTAACCTGGCTGATGAGTCGCAGCTGTATGAATATTGATGTAAAAGATAGGGGTGATAACTGGGTTACCCATTTGGCCTGGGTATTATGTATACGCTACCTCTTAAGTATATAGCTTCATTCATGACATTGTATTATATCTCACACACATACACAAAAGACTTGATGCGAAAAGTGAAGTTCATAACAGGTATACTACTAATACGTGGGCTACTGAAAATAAAAGGGGTAGCTGACGGGAAGGAGTGCACGGGCCTAAAACTCATTTATCAATAGTTATGATCTCGTATAACTAGTTAACTATGAACTTATACTCATCCGAGTATAACTTGAGCTTCTCACTATCACATCTGGGTATTTACTCACTACTCAACTTGATAAGGTCCACACCATCATCTCTCATCAACGTGATACAGTATGCTCACATCCAATTTATAGCAGCCAGATATATTGCAAGGATGTTCTGCCGAGTAAACTCCAAAGAATCAGTCAGTGATCGACGAAGCGGTCCCCTCAGGCCGACCTCGCAAGCGCCATCCACCCTTCCCCGCACAAGCAGCGGAAACAAAACACGCACGCACATACACACACATGGACATACATACCTCCTGAGCTACCTTCTTCAAGCTGGGTGCGATCAGCAATCTTCTCTAACGACAGGATCTAGGTACTAGAGAGGTAGCAGAAGAAAATCCCCTCGGAGGGTTTAGACCAGAGCTGAGCTGAGCCGAGTCTTGGTGTTTAATTGGATACCGTCCATCGTAGCTAGCAACAAGCAAGCAAGCGAGCAAGCGAGCAAAGTAAGAAAAAGAGTCTAGATTGGACTAGACTAAACAAACCATGACTTCGGATAGGGCGCAGGATTCGTCTTCACATGCCTTTCCTACCAAGCAACTCACTATCCTTGGTGCGTAACCCAACCTACCTACTTACCTACCTACCTATCCAACAATCCAATCCAATCCATTCCATTCCAATCCAATCCAACCCTTCAAGCATCCGACTCCCATCCTGACCCCTCGCAACCCAACAGCAATATGCCGCTTCTCGGAGCCAATCGCGTTCAACTCCATCCTCGCGTACACGTACGTGATGGTCCAGGACCTGCACGGCGGCGACGACACCGACGCGTCCTTCTACGCCGGTCTCCTGGTCTCGGCGTACGCCGTCGCCGAGGCCCTGACCGCCATCGGCTGGGGCGCCCTCTCGGACAAGTACGGGCGGAAGCCGGTCGTGCTCTTCGGGCTCGGCGGCGTGGCCATTTCGAGCCTCATCTTCGGTCTGGCCACCGAGTACTGGGTGGCGCTATTGGCTAGGTTTATCGGCGGGGCTTTGAATGGTAATGTTGCCGTAAGTGATGCTTTTTTTTTTCCTTTTTTTTTTCTTCCTCCTCCTCGTCTTATTCAATTAGATGAATGCGTCTGTCTATAGTAGCAATTTTCCCATCGTGACTTGAATAATCAGGTACTTACTCACACCGACTGCAGGTGATGCAAACGATGGTTGCGGAAATGGTCAAGAATCCGGAGCACGAGCCAAAAGCTTACGCCACTCAGCCTTTCGTCTGGACCCTGGGCGGTATTATAGGATCCGCCATGGGAGGATTTCTAGCCCAACCGGCGATATTCTATCCTTCACTATTTCCCGCCGATGGCGTCTTCGGAAAGTATCCTTATCTACTGCCAAACCTCGTGTCGGTCATTGTCATCGTCTTGGCTATTATACAGGGAATACTTTTCCTCGAGGAAACTAACCCGCGACACGGAAAGGCCACTGCTGCGACCGTCTTCGAGGAGGATGACGATATCGTCGATGAGCGTACTCCGCTCCATCAACGTCCCAAGGATCGAAGATCGTCTGCTCAGAGTCACCCGTACGCCGCAAGCGATAGACCGGTATTTATCGAGGAAAGTCTTCCAGTGCCAGTCGAGCAGAACTTCGACCTGAGGAGATCGTCTTTTGGGACCGTGCGTTCGATCAAACTCCTTCCTAGCTCCCCGAAGCAGAACTCGGTGTTTAATGGCCGGGCCTTCAATTTCACTATCATAATGGTAACCATCGCGCTCGTCCTGGTTTCATACCATCAGATGGCATTCAGCACCCTTCTACCTACACACCTCTTGGATAGGCCAGCGGCCGCTCCAGGCCAACTTGATTTGATTGGTGGCTTGGGGTACACCGTCCACGACGTAGGGATCTACTTGTCGGTTAATGGGATCCTCGGTCTGCTCATCCAGGGGTTCATATTCCCGATTTTTGTAGACAAGGTCGGAGTATGGAAGTCGTTTCTCATCAACATCGTTTTCTATCCTCTAGCATACGTGGTCATGCCTTTTTTATCTGCTTTACCTCCCTCCCTCGTATCCCCTGGAATTTATTTCTCCATGATCCTACAAAGCCTCTTCGGTATCATTGTTATTCCCTGCGCTCTCATCATGTTGAAAGATGCTACACCGTCCCCACTAGTGCTTGGGAAGGTCAACGGGTTAGCTATGTCTGCTTGTTGTTTAGCTCGAACTGTATCTCCGCCACTAGTAGGTATCATCTACAGCGCTGGCGGTTCCGCGGCTGCTTGGTTTAGCTGCTCTGGCGTTGCGGTAATTGGTATTATACAGCTCCTCTGGGTACCAAGGAAGCACATACCTAATATTGTGGTTAATAATACGATGGTGAGTAAAAGCCGACCGGGTTTGCGAAATGAGGAAGCTGGAATATGTCCTGCCATATCGGAGTAATGCATTTCGAATATCATCATTTCCGCGAAGGAGTCAGATGCGCATATGATCTCTTTTTTTCTACTTGCATCGATACGAGTTTATGAGGGTATTGGGTATATAGATTGGCATATTTTTTTCTGATATTTGGCATACCAAGGTTAAGTTGGGATAGAAAGAGGGTCAGGACTACTACACACAAGGTAATGATATTATGATCATACGTCGATAGATTGGATATTTGACGACCGCATTAATCGAATTTGGAGTAACAAGGTATATGATTTAGCGATAATTCTGTTAATATCAATTGGAGCATTTTCTTTCTTTTATAACACTAAGGGTTGTTCTTGGTTGATCAGACAGAGGCATTGCTATTTTATAGCGACATGAAATTTTTTTTTCCATTCAATTGTGATACAGTAATTCGAGTTATGATTCGACATCAACTTACCCATTAAATGAAAGAGAGATAAAAAGGACCAAGGTCAAGGTTAAAAAAGGGGAGCAAGACGTGAGAGAAGAAGAAAACAGAAAAAGAAAACAAAAGAAGAAAAAAACCTAACCTCGCGAGAAGGGAAAGCCAACAGCACCTAGGTTAGGAAATTCTAGAATAAAAATGAAGAAAAATATAAGGTACAAGAGGAATCTAACCTCTAAAGATGGACTCGCGGGGAATCGAACCCCGGACCACTCCCAAGTTGTACATATGATCTCAAAATCACACACATGCTAAGGGAGTATTATACCACTAAACCACAAGCCCGTATGATGATGATGGAACCGTGTGAGATACGAATCTCCGGCTGTTGGGAATTTCGCGTTGTTGTATTTAATTATCGGACTAAAATTCGTAAGATGGGGCGACGATGGGGCTACGAATGGGGGCAGCCCTAATCAAACACGATTGTAGATAAACCCACTTGCGTACGGGGTTATGTTCTAGCCTTCTAACCTAGGTGATTGCGATAGACAGCGTTAGGCGAATTGTAAGTGATATATAAGGTACCTAATAATAGAAAAATTGTATAGGCAATCCGGACGTACATTATCATAGGTAGGTAGATAATGCTGCTTCTCATCCGCATTGAGGTTTGTGCCGCAGTTGGTATATCAACAGAGAGTATAATTCATAATTCGCTCCGAATGCCGCCCATCAGAAGCGCATCAACCTTCGATCCTTTCTTAAGAGGCCCCTTGCCGCTTGGCATGCACAATAAGCAATTGGCGCCTCTAAGACTCCCAACCTTAGAACTTCGTTGGCCTCCCGTGCTGGCAGCAAGCAGATTTCCGTCTTTGCCCACCGAGACGATTGCGCGGTGGTACTCGGGCCGTGTCTTGTCCAAAACAAAGTCGTGTACGAGTGTTACGGGGACCCTCGTTAAGCCGGCCGGTGAGATACCCGACATCTGGTGGAGAGAAGGTAGGACGAAGAGATGGAATGTGACGATGGCAGAGGCTGGGTTGCCAGGTAGAGAAAATATGACCTTTGTGACTCGCTCGCCAGCGTTGTCCTTTACGGGAACGGTAGCAAATGTCGTTGGTTTGCCCGGTTTCATTGCGACGCGGCCAAAATGGATTGTCCCGCCTAGTGATCTCTCGATTGTTGGCTTCAACAAGTCGAGCTCGCCCATTGAGACTCCTCCTGTAGTAATGATGAAATCAACGCGCCGTAATGCGTCTCTTAGTGTCTCTTCCAGGGTACTAGGTTTATCTGCCGTTATCCCTAGGTCAACAACCTCGTACCCACACTCCTTCGCGGCGGTCATCAAAGTGATCCGGTTGGTATCACGTACTTCTCCCAGCCGTAAATCGCCAGGCCGATCGTGCTGGACGATTTCGTCTCCAGTGGATAATACCCCTATGACCGGCTTACGGTAAGCCTTCACTTCGGCAACGCCGACAGCAGCAAGGAGACCTATTTCGCCACCAACTGCCGAGATCTGCTCGCCCTTGCTGAGAATGATGGTTCCTGTCTTAATATCGCTACCAACCTCTCGAATGTTCTCCCCCTTTTGCACATTATCAGCTAGGATCTCTACCTCTTTCTCTTCCTTGCCATCGTCAGTCATGGTCTTCAGAATTGTATCCTCTACCATAATAACGGAAGTAGCCCCTGGAGGGAGTGGTGCCCCGGTGGTTATTCTAGTAATTTCTCCTTCCTTCAATGGCTCAACTTCTCCTGGAGAGGCATGAGACACAGAGACGACGGGGAAAACGCCTCTCAAATTCCCATCCCTAGGTACAACTACTGCATAACCGTCAACAATACTGGCTCTGAAAGCAGGGACGTTTTCCCTCGCTTGCACATCTTCAGCTAATACATGACCAGGCAGCGATCTGTCGACCTTCAACGTGACTACTTCTGGCAATGGTGTGTGGTCCTTAATTTTGCTGAGGGCATTGTTAACCGAAAGCATCGGATAGGGGGATTCTCTGTTCCTACGGCTAGGGCCTAGGCTAGGATCGTTGGACAGTGGATTCGTGCTGGGTGCCGTATGCCTAACTAAGTGACCATGGCCGTGGCTATGGCCGTGGCTATGGCCGTGTCCATGACTATGACTAGGCGGATGGTTATTCCCGTGGTCATGACGATGATGATCGTGAGAATGTGAATGACCTCCACTGGATTTTATGCCGGCCTCTGCTTCGAGCTTCTTGGTTCCACCTACGTGTAATGATCTAGAATCCATTCCTGCAGCCTGCAGACAAGCGTGTGGTAGCGTCTTTAAAACTGCCTGTAGATTTTCTCGGGCTCCTTTTGGAGATCCCGGAAGGGTTATGATGATTGATCGGTTCCTGACGCCTGCAACCGGACGAGACATCATGGCAACTTATATGATCAGTCGATGATCTTATAATATGTCACAGGGCTTGTATACTAACATGGAGTGACGTTTAAAGAAGCCGCCAACATGCCATGAACAAGTCCAGGCGCGGGTTTATGAATCAGGGCCGAAACAGCCTGGGTTCAGTCAGCCAAACTGCTACATTTCTTGAGTATATAATACACTGGACTTATGTAATTTACCTCTGGTGTATTGTCCGCCACCGCAAAGCCCGTTCCGCCAGTAGTAAGTATGAGATTAAAAGTCTCGGCGGCCACATCCGTCCATAGCATAAGCTGTTGTTGAATCTGAGTGGCAACATCGGGAACAATCTTGGTATCGACAAGCTCCCAACGCCCATCGCCTTCCTCTTCAAGGACGCTGCTTAAGGCTGCCTGAGAAGCATCGGTTGATGGATCCCTAGCTGCCGTCGTAGAGACGATGAGTAATGCAACCCTTAAGGTAGCATTAGACATAGTTTCAGTGATCTGATTCGATAATTGTGAAATTCGATTAGGATGTGAATCCAATTATAGATTAGGGGAATATTCGAGTGTGTTCGAATAGCTGTTGAATTGAGTTATATAAAATGAAGAATCTTGGTGTAAGTGAATCTTGGACCTGTATTGTGTATGAGAGAGAAGCATCATTGATTGGTACAGTGCAAATGCGGGGCATTCAGTTAAACAGCTCGTCTGCCATTGAGATAAGCAAAAGCTTGGAATGATTTTGAAAGTTTATAAAACATAGTACAATTATAGATTTATAAGCTGGTTTCTAAATAAAATCTTAGCATATACATAATTGGTACCTACCTCCATATGAGTCTGTGACTTCCACAGGTAATACGGTACATTAATAACAGGCATTATTTCATGGATTATGTCATACAGTGGAGATTGTAAAGTATTCCCGTCGCACCGTACCATCAATGGCATTAAAAGCTTAAAGTCCCCCCACACAACTCCGATAAGATAAAGCTTCGCCCAACAACGGAAATTTTACCTATTTCGTAGCTTCTCGACCCGAATCTTCACTTATCTTTTCCGCACACGCGATTATCACGTGTTGAAGCGTATCCTGACTGCACTTGTGCTCCTATAACACCAGGCAATTCTGAGAGCCCCGACTGAAAGTGGATGGCTCCTTAAGAAACAATGGTCCGAATCAAGGAGCGTTACCTCCTAGTGAATATCCTCTACCCGAATGAACTTGGCAGTCGATCTGATCTCCCTGATGTTGTACTTATCAACCAGCCTACGACCGACCAGCTCAACGCCGCAGGTCTCCTTAGGGGCATACGTGCCGAGGTCGCCAGTTTGTTTGGCGACTACGGCTCGGGGCTTATCGAAGGCGGAAACTTAGGAGGTGAGTCAGTAGTGTGAACTCGTCGCGACTATTACACAGCTCACGTTGGCGTTACTAGTTAAATACTTCTCTCACGCCACCTCTACCTTTATTTTGCGTATTTCGCGATCATCATATCGTCTTGTCTGGGCCGCTCTCACCTTCATGAGCAGTATTCCGGTTAAGAATGGGAAACCATGCGTCTTCCGTGTTGTCCACGTAAGCGGTACTATGCGTAAAGCGGAGGAAGAAGCTATCCGTCGCGCTCGGAATCTCATTTTTGCGGCGGAGAACGACCACAAGGAAAAGGCTAGAGATTCCTTTAGTAATATGTTCGGGGAATCCGAACTACCACAACGTGAAATTGCCATGACAGACTTACTGGACGTTGGAGACGATGATAGCGACGTGGAGATGGGGGAACTAAGTGACGGCTGAGAGAACATCACTGATTTTTGCGAACTACCTTAATCCCGCTATCACCTGTTGGTGGCGGCATCCCGTCGAATTCGTCATCGTCATCATCTGGGATCAGGTCTGGTGTGGTAGTTCCCGTGTCGCCCTCCATTCCTCTGCGCTGCTCTTCCCACTCCTTATCCTCCGCTGCATCATATACATCTTTCGCGTCAATCCATCTCTCTTGGATGTCCTGGACTTCCATCATCGATCCTTCGTTGCGCATTGCAACCTGCCAGACGGAATCATTTGCGCCCTCCGCGCCGCCGAAAACATAACCACCCGCCCTATCGATAACCCGCAAAAGATGCGTCATGCTCTTCTTATTCTCAACAGCGAGAACCTCGAACCGAACTAGAGCAAAGCTCTCCACTAGGTTGGCAACAGCTTCATTTAGTCTACGGAACTTATCACTGCGCATTGCAGGCGATTCCTCTTCAAGGACCGACATCAGGTATGAGAGGTCTTGTACTTCGGTGTAGTAATCGAGGTTGAAGGGCAGCGGGTCGTAGGACGAGACTTTATCGATCTTAGTAAGAACGTTTATGTGAGGGAGGTCCATCTGGAGCATGGCGCGAAGGGTTAGTAGTAGGTTGGATATGTAAAGGGAAGGTTGAGTAAGGCAGAAGCTATCGGAAAGATGGACGGCGACAAGCTACGGTCTGTTAGTTGCTTGGATCTAGCAAAATACGGGTACTTCAAGTGCGTACTCGGTAGCCCAACTTTTGGAGCTTGAAGAAAATGTTCCGAAGTGAGTTATGATGCGTATATAGCTCAACTTGGCCGGGACAGTCAAAAAGAACATATGATTCTCCCAACCCCTTCAGTCCATTCTCGAGCCATTCCATGTTGTTCTCAAGCTCTTCAAACGCGTATAGTATACCGCCGTTTGGTCCAAGCTGGTCATCATTCATGATCTCTTCGAGCGTAATTAAGTCGCGAATATCTAAGGCACAGGGATAGCTCGTGTGGTCGTTGGCAGGATCTAAGTTCACAACAGAGCATTCGCGTCCTATGGCGCTCATGAACTGGTGCACTGTGGACGGTTAGAGAACCTGGCTGCTCAATAAGGAAATCATAAAAGAGCTAGTTAGGGTAACTTACTGCCATCACAATAAGTGCTCTTTCCTGAGCCTGGACTCCCTAAGACAAGTTGTGCGAAGGGCATATTGTGCTTTTGTGCAAAAGAATAGGTACCTATATCTATAGTATTACGGGGCTGAGGAGGGTAGGAGAGTAGGAGAGTGAAGAAATGGGTGACGGGAATGCAGGCTGAAGATGGTAAAAAGGGAAGCTACAATTGCCCCTCCATCCCACTTTGACGAGCTTCGGGGAAAATTAAAGTGGGTAACTATAAAGTGGAACCAAGCTTGTCTTATCACTGGGGTAATTCGTACCCCTGTAAAGTCCTAGTTAACGTAGGTACATAGGTACCTACCTAGTATTGATATTTACTTCGCCGACTCTTGATTGGCATTTCATCACCGGTAGGTATTCAGTAACCTAACCTAGAGAGCTTCATTCTCCATATATCACCGCGTAAAAGTTCCCCAAGGCATCATGGCACCACCAGGTACGTTGTCTAATTATCTCCTACTACTCAAATCGGACCGATCCTCAAGCTGCTTGGTCGGCAATTAAACTAACAAACGCGAAAACAGCAACGCAGTTCGAGCTCGCGCAACCGCCCAACGACGCCATCTCGGCGCTCGCCTTCTCGCCAGATTCGCCGTCGCGCCTGCTGGCTTCCTCCTGGGACAAGAACATCTACCTATACGACACGCTCCAGAGCGGCGATGACGGAAGCCACGGGGCCCTGCTGCGAACGTTTGAGAACCGCGCGCCAGTGTTGGACGTGTGCTTTGGGAGAGGTGGCAACGAGGCTTTCAGCGCCGGCATGGATTGGCAGGTCCGGCGCATCGACCTCGATAGCGGCGAGCAGACTACCTTAAGCAAGCATGCCGCGCCTGTGCGGAGGGTCGTATACAACAAAGAACACTGTAAGCTCCTCTGCTCGGGAAAATAAATCATCAGAAGGTCGTCGTCAGACTAACTCGCAGCAGCTCTACTCTTATCCGCCTCCTGGGACAGTACCCTACACGTCCACGACCCATCGAGCCCCTCCCTCTCCCCCTTAATCGTCCCTCTCCCTGGAAAGCCGCACGCCATGGCTGCCAGCCCGTCCAAGGTGATCGTGGCCATGACATCGCGACTAGTGCACATCTACGACCTATCCGCCCTCTCCAGCGCGCTGGCCTCGCAATCCGGAGAACCGCCGCAGCCATGGCAACAGCGCGAGTCGTCTCTAAAATTTCTGACGCGCGCCGTAGCTGCCATGCCCTCAGACGCTGGGTACGCGACGTCGTCGATCGAGGGGCGCGTGGCGGTAGAATGGTTCGACGCGAGCGCCGAGTCGCAAGCCCGCAAGTACGCCTTCAAATGCCACCGCACAGCGCACCCCCAAGCCGACGGCGGCAGCACCGACGTCGTTTACCCCGTCAACTCGCTCGCCTTCCACCCCGTCCACGGCAGCACTTTTGCCAGCGGCGGCGGCGATGCCACCGTTGCCCTATGGGATGCCGAGGCCAAGCGCCGCATGAAGGTGTACCAGAAGTTCGCAGACAGCGTCGCAGCCCTTGCCTTCAGCTCCGACGGGCGGTATCTCGCCGTCGGCGTGTGTCCCGGTTTCGAGACGGGTATGGAGGACTACAGCGGCGAGGGTCGTACCAAGATCTTTGTAAGGGAGCTCGGCGAGAACGAGGCCTTACCTAAGGGTAAGGGCAAGTAGACAAGTAATAACAGGCCAACCGAAAATAAGGAAGAGTTGCAACGACGTATAGCTGTATCATCTATCTATCAAAAATTTTCTAGGGACCCGGAGCTGGCTGGCGTTAAGAGCGGAAGGGAACTTCGAGTTCTATAAAATGAAATTTTCTATATCTTCAAGGTTATATAAGTTCTCGGGTGATCACGGCTATCTTGTGGGCTTGTCTGGCATTCGCTTCAAGAATAACATTACTAGGCTACCTACAGTACTTCACCGTGTTATTGCTTGCTATCATTTTAAGAATATGCTCCAATGTGCCACTGATTCTTCAATTCGACAATACAGTAATTGATGCGTCGTACATTAGGTACCTAGGTAGGTACGAATATAAAACCTAATATAAGGCCGATACACCTATCATCGCCATAAGCATAGCCAGTTGTTTCAACATTTAGATCCCTTCGTATCGAGTAAAATCGAAGTGCTTATAGGGTATAACATGGCCAGATGTAGACGCCCATCTATTCACCCGGTCTGTCGTTCCCAAGTTCCGGAGATCCCAGCCTGGTCTCGTTCTCTATGTCGCCAAGAACAAAAATGGCCGAATCCATAGCGCTAGACTCTCGGCTCTGAGAGCCATTAGGTGTACCTTGGTAGCTATCTTTTTCAAGCACTTCATCCTCATCGATCTCACTCTCATCATATGTTAAAGGTATAGTCATATCGTCTTGATCCGCTTCATACCCTTCTTCATGCTCGTACGCTTCATCCCTCGGCTTCGACTGCTTGACATAATGCATCTCTGAGCTTCGATGCTCTACTTTAGCAATAAAATGCGACCCGCTGCTTTCCTTCAAATGTCGGCCAAAATTCTCGAAATCAGAATGTTTTCTTTTTCGTAGTGTCAAGGGCTTATATGGGAACATATCTCCGTTTTGAGGAGTTAAAAAAGTAGGCTGGGTCAACATGCTAGAAGACATAACTCCCTGGTTTTCTAGAGTGGTGGATCTCCGGTGTCGTGGTCCCAACTCCTCTACAAAGTTTTCTCTGGTGGGCCAGACGTCTTTTGCTATGCAACGCCGACTTTTTATCTCACGTTGAGTCGGGGTTGAATGTTGGACCTTCGAGCCACTGAGCCTTGATCCACGCACATCGTATTTATTGGCAACCTCGCTTTCCAGTTGGAGTTTGCCCATACCCGGAAGTAAATCGGGTCTTCTTTGCTTTTGCGTACCGGTCATAAGGAACAAGAAGCTCGGCCTGGCTTCATCCCCTGAAAATCCATCGCCTGCCCGCCAGGGTGGTTCTGGTTGACTACGAGGCTTGAGGAAGCGAAATTTATTATTTCCTTTATCTGTCCTCAGTCGAAATGCACCCTTTCGCTCGTATGTCACTTGCCCGCCGTCGTTCTCACTGCATTCCACTTGCCCAGTCAGCGGTAGCTGCGGTATAATCACCCCCTGCGGCTTCTTAGTGCTTCCAGTCCTTTTGATTGTCGGCTTAGTGAATAGCGTATCATCTCCGTCTATCCTCTGCCTCTTTAGCGTCTCAGCGCCGTCAGGATAAGATGTTTCTCGCTTTCTAGATCGATGATGGTATAAATCAACTCTATGACTTAGCACGGTCGGGCTATTTTTCCTATTGTCGTGCAGGTTAGACTTTCTCGAAAGACGTTGTTTTACATATCATGATTTGGAAGAAATAGACTTTGAGTAAAAGGTGTTAAGACGTCGTACTGTACCTTGATAATCGACGCCCCAGAATATCTCCAGGAGCAGATACGACGGATCTTCTCCGTTTCACATTTGCGCGGATGGGAGAGGCTGGTATAACGAATGTTGTGTCATTATCTAAACCTAGAACCTCATCTGGCCCAGAAGAGTGGTTGTCGTTAATATTTAGGGATCGAGTACGCTCTGGGGGGGCTGCGGTCACTCCAGTACTAATCAGGGGTTGATGAACCATTGAACTAGTTAATATGGGATCCATAGACGACGGGATCGTAAACAATTCGTCAATCTGAATTGGCCCTTGTTCTGGAGCCATGATAGCAATGGGATTGGTTTAATCATATGGGTTTCGCAAGATCTTGTATGAAGTAGCCCGGTCTAGAAGACTTCGTATACACTATCCGTATAATTATTTGGAGTAGAGGTGAGATGGAAAGCTCTTGTATTGGTTAAAAAATAAGGAGCCGTCTAAGAATTTTATATGTATTGTGTAGACGACGAAGTCTTGGAAGAAGGAAAGGAGGAACAGAGAAAATGTGATAGCTTACATGTAATTCCATCCTAGGGGGTACCTAATGAACTTTAACTTACAAAGGTAGGAGCAGTATAGGTGTTACTTCCCCCTTAAGGCCCTAGGGCCAAGTCTTACCAGGTAACTTCCAGATAGGAAAATTTAAACCACCTTAGGTAATTATTTAGGTAATTCCTCATGCTTATACCTGATTTGATTAGTCTAGTTTATAATATTATCAAATTAGAGGGCTTGCTCGTTTCCTCCGTTGCCGTGCCTGGGTGATATTAATAAGAGCTTGGTTACATCTCTTGCAGTTTAGATGTTAACTTCTATAGCGTTACCATCCTATCCTTCGATTGAAAGGGGGCCAACTATCCATCTTCTACGCAGAACTTCTCGGTATAGAAAATTCTTCAGATGGCTCAAAATACAACTGCAGTTACAATATTTTGGAAATACTCACAGCTGTCACAGCCATACTGATTTTACTGTGGGAGTTGTTAATAATAGCGCTCATACCGTTAGGTTCGAGACCGTGAAGGTCGAGTATCTACTCAAACAATAGGCTAGCCATCTTGCGTCGTTTCCCCTCATTTGTTTTCGAAACTGGACCAGGTATGACTTCTCTTCAATTTTCGTAGCTAAAGCCTTACTTGATTGGCCTATTATGGACGTACCTACCTAGGTAGGTAGGTAAGTTAGACAAGATGCAAGGGAATATTTTGTGTGTATCACCAACTAGCCACGCAAACGAAGGAAGACCAGGAGATAAAGGGGGCAAACATAGGGTAAATGAGAACCAGGTGTTTGACAATATAATAGCAAGCCGCGATGGCCCAGTCACTATATTCAAACCCAGGGAAATTATTTAACATATAATGGGGAGTGACTGTACGTATTATCTCTCCGAAGAATTACCACCCAAACTATGAGTCCGAGGAAAGCCTACCCTGTAAGAGGCCATGCGTGGAGTTAGGGGTACACCAATAAAAGGATTCAACCATTCATGGATCAAATAAAAGAGTGTGTTAATATTGTAAAAGTAAGGTTTAAACTACGGGCTTAAGACTATTTTAAATAGTTAAGTGCTTAACTATCCTTGGCCTGGTAACCTAATGTGAAGTAGAATAAAAGAACAATAACCCTGTTCTTGTATGTATATTGCATCTCTTCGTAGCTAAGTTTTGTGGTCCTTAGCATAGTGACTCTGTTGCTTCTTGCACCTTCCGATCTGCCTCGTGACAGGTCTGTCTGGTTTTCAAGACTCCTCAGCCACTGTGAAGGTGACTAATATCAAGTCAGTTGAGAGAATATTATCAAGCATTGCGAGGTTCTTATACCTTTCAATGGATGGTCAGCAGGGCTGAAGGGAGTTGTAGTGGTCTGGATGATGTTTGGGGACGTAGCGTTGACTTTTGCAACATTGTTTTGACTGTTGTTGCATAAGAAAACGAAGGAGACTGATTTCTCTCCGCCCCCGGCAGTATATTTATAGGTGAGCTGTCCTTCAGATCCATCGTCGGCTGTTTTGTGTAATTAGTTCAAATTTCTATAATAATTCCCACCGAGGTAGAATGACAAACCTTCTTTAGCGTTGATTCGAATCTCTCCAGAAGTTTTACCAGAAGGTACATCGTAAAGCTTGCCGACGAGGGTTCCATAGGTAATATCAGCAGTACCCCCGGTCAGGTCGGTTGTGAGGTCGTTCTTAATTTTGATAAGGGTGTAATAAGTGGCCATGGCTAAATGTACTCCTATGCGTGTAGAGTAGAGGTGTGTAGTTTTCGAATAGTTAGGAAGTTGGCATTTTAATGTGTAATAAGATGGGCTTTGCTTCATTTATATAAAAAGATACAGTCAGTCCATTCCGGTTACTTCCAGGTTTGGAGGATGTTAAGCCTTGGTACTCATTACGAATGAAGGCACTTTTCACGGGTGGTTGTGGTCAGGTGCACATGCTTGCGTGCTGCACTGTCCTCATCTTCTCCTCACGGAATAAGTGAATCCATAATTGACTGCATGTTCCCGCTGCCGCTTTGATAGGTGGTAGTTCATATGACCTTGGTACGGGCCCCTTAAGTCTCATCTAGAAGGCACTTTCGTTTAGGAATCAAGATTTAGTCGTTGATAATCATGTATGTCAGCAATAACTATAAGTTTTCGGATGTAGTTAACCCTCTGCTGGCCGTTGTTGTCTGCGACGTATATGTCGTACTACTTTTGATGCAATAATCGCATTGTTTAGTCGGTTGCCCCCTATTCTCAATAAAGTCGCTGTATCTTGCCGCAAGTGTCGTCCGGATCCTATTGGTTATCTGAGAAAGACTATTGACGACATCATCGGGTAGTCGAGACGGATGAAGATAGATGGCATCAACCCTGTTCCGAGAACTATATTGTAATTAGCGACGTAAAATATCCTTGGAGAGACCATCATGCAAGTATTATATTATTAAATTCAACAACTTCGTGCTTCCCGGTTTACAACAATACTCAGGCTTTACTCAGGCTACATCACGCATATCTATCATTCAATCATAATTCTTGACACCGTTCTTTGATGGAAGGTAAGTGAGAACCAAGGCCAGAAATCAATATCTGATGCTGATTTCCGCTTCAGCTAGTATAGGTATCAACGTATGCAATACTTCGGAATCTACATTGAGGTCGATGTTCAATACTACGACCTGCGGTTTTCCGATCGACGAGAAGTATCCTACAACAGTTAGTTACACGCATAGATATTACCAAAGAGTCCTTTCGATCGTCCCTTTATTGACGAGTTTTCATCTTTCAAAATCTTTTAGCAAAGTCAAAGGTTAATAGTGGTGTATGTACTGTACCAGGGCTCGGCCCTTTTGAAGAGCCTTTCCCATTCTTAGTTTAGAAACATACCAGTACAGTTGTCAGCCTCGTTTTTGATTGTAACCTTTAGTTGTTGTCCCTCTATGTTCGTCATGTTCTAGCTACCAAAAATAGAACGCGACTTCAGCCAAATTCGGATTCCATAACAGCGCGTCCTCTCCTTACTCTGTAAGTTGAAATCTTACCATTCCTTCCAGAGAAGAGTGAAAACATACTCTCCGTATCCCTATATCCCATCGCCCAAAGCCATGCTGAGTTTCGATATGGAACATCGCCTTTTAAAAAGAGGACACATCCCAACAATTCTCCACATGTTCCTATCAGTTCAAGAGCCAAGCAGCCACGATTCAATAATATCTGTAGGTGAGCCACTTCCAAACATCCGAGAACGCACGAGTACTCTACTCTCCGGCTTTCTTCGGTGTGATGGGCTTCGGCTCGTTGACGTAGTCAGTTGTACCTCCCATGTTCAACACCCACACCTTGCCCGGGTGATCGGGCAGCTGGGGACCATACAAGAACGAACCGGGGAAACCGAGTTCGAAGGGAACGGCGCTTTCGATTTCCCTGATATCTTCGTCATCAAGAATCAATGTGAGAGCTTCTATGTTGGCCTTTAGATGCTCCTTGGTCCTTGTGCCGATGATCGGGAAGACGTACGGCGCTTTATGCATGACGTACGCTTGAGCCACACTAGTAATGATGGTATTCCTGCGTATAGCTACCGATTCGAGAGCCTTGCTGACCCTAATTTCCGTCTCAGTGATATCGCCAGCGCGTCCAATGGTCTTTCTCTGGCGCTGCTCTTCCGTTTTGAACTTGCCTCCGCCAAGCGCACCCCACGGAGCAAGGCTCATACCCTCGGCCTTTGTCATAGCAATGATTTCTCGCTCGAAGTCACGCGAAGCAGCCGACCATCGACCTTGATAAACGCTGAATTGGCGCAATCCATGGTTGCGAGCGTACTCATTGGCTTTGCTCACAACCCAGGCTGGTGTGTCGCTAATGCCAAGGTAGAGGACCTTTCCTGCTAGCACGAGACGGTTAAGCGACTGCATGAGCTCGGGGATTGATGTGCTGCCGTCCCACCAATGAACATAGAGCTGTATCTCGGTATTAGCAGGTCTTATATAGTATTAATATAAGTAGACATATAATACCAAGTCAATATAGTCCGTCTGTAGCTTTTTCAAACTCTCATTGACAGACACGTGTAAGCTCTTGGTCCCATTGCCTTGACTGTTAATGATGATTTCTCCATAATCTGTTTTGTAGCTAGTGCTATATTTGGTAGCGATCACTACAACCAACATCTATCAGTTTACCCTGCTGTACTTGGTATGCTTGTGTAGTAAATTAGTCAAAATAAGAGATGAAGCAATTAACATACCCATCTGATCACGAACACCACGTTTTTTCATCCACTCTCCAATCCACTTTTCAGATTGCTCGGCTTGATAGTTGTTGGCGGTATCTATAAAATTGCCGCCCTGCTCGTAGAAGAAGTCGAGGATCTCTTCTGTAGTCTTTTGGTCGCAAGCACCCATCTGATCGGCCCAGGCCACACCGAAATTCATAGCCCCCAGGCACAGGGGGCTAACTCGGACATTAGCCGTTGGGGATAGGATGCGGTAACGAGCCAGAGGGCTTTTTGGTGGCGGCGCCATTGCCATTGCCGACATGTTGATAAAAGGTTTTATAGAAAAATGCTATATATAAAAGGTTTGGGGGGACAGAAATGAGGACAGTGATGACTTCCCGTTGGGAGATTATATTTAAGTACCTAAAGTAACTTTAAGATGAGGCACCTGACCGATCAAGCGAAGTAATACGTCCAAGTTGTACCTGCTCAAGGTCTAATCAGATAATGTCTTGGGGGGTTGTGTACCTTCAACATGTAAAAAGAGCAGGAACTTAGCAGCCCTTTTATAAAAGAGATTGATTGCATACATAGGTATTAGCGAATACGTCATTTAGTGTGAGGGAAGCTCTTACCGTATTCATTGTTACACTTATGATTTAGTCCTACTAGTAGATTCTGCGTACCGTGTAGTTTCTTCATACATATGTCTAATACAGATAGTTGGTCAAGGACCTATTACGAATTTATAACTCACCCCTTTTATTTCCGAGTAGATTTATTCTCCATACAAAGGTAACTTACATGTACCTCGCAAATATAAAAACGAAGTAAGTATAGGCGTCATGCTACTATTGCCTACATATAGGATACTTATCTGTCGCTGGATTTTGGTGTTTGCTATGTCCGCAACGTCCGAGCAAGACATGTCTTAAAGGAGACGATTTCTAAGTCCGGCCGGTAGCATGCATCATTATTGGCTGGTTATTGAATGCCGGCTTTAGCGTGCCAAGACTTACAATGCCCTATTCAGGTAATGGTCGACTTATATGAGGTCCAGATGTCACCGTGAACACCAGCAATCCATATTTCCAGCTGCGATGAAGAAACAAATACTGGTTCCATCTCGTTTCATCTTGCTAACGGAGTCCTCTTATACTCCGTCGAAGAGCCAAACGGGTTTCTCATGGACACCGAGGGTAAAGTATACTCGTGATGACTTCGCATACAAATAGGTTACATCTCCTGTTGTGGTCAGAGCAGCAAAGCCTCTCGCATTAGAATAAGAAGCACTACTACGTCTGTCTATCTGCCTGAATATAAGGCCCGAATGCAAGGCCTACGTCAATTGTTGTGCTTGCTTACGCCGAGAGGCTCGAGTGTCACAAATCGTGTGTATGAGTGAGACGATCTAAAGAACACACTGGAAGGATACGCAGTCGAGTCGTACAATAAGGCTGTCCCACCATCCAAGCCCAACCAGTACTTCAAAACCCACTTAGCTCATAGAGATATGGGAAACAAAGTAAGAAAAGGGGTTGAAGCTCGATAATAAGTGTAGTTCTGGGCAAGAAAACATGTGCATGCATATCATCAACTAATCCACTTAGTGGTTTACGGGGTGACCTTGGCTATTCGTAAAAACCTTGACATATATACATATGAATGAGGCACATTTGATGCAAAAGGCTAGCACGCCCAAGCACCCACATGCCCGTCGCGACGCCCCTCGACCAGGTAGCCATCCTTAATGCGAACGTGCTCCACAATAGCCGGTGCCCTTCTTCCGTCCGCTTCCGTGATACCCGCGCCGCAATCCCACTGCCGCGACTCCATCTTATCGTAAACCTTGACAACGTCTTCGCCCGCCGCGCTTACGATGCGCCGGTTGTCGAACATCATACTTGTGATTGGGTTGTCGTACGCGTAGGCATCAAATATGGAGCCTGTGCGTAGGTCCCATATCTATAACGCGGCATGTTAGTGTGATAAAGATTAAAGGGGCAGCTCTTTGAAGGGAAAAGACTTACCCGGATGCTTCGGTCTAGACTACCCGTCACAAGATGTACATCGTCAAACTGCAAGCATGTGACCGGTCCAGTATGTCCAACGAGGCTGCGGTGAACCTGTCCACTTCTCAAATCCCATAGCCTAACCATGCCATCGGCGGTACCACAGGCTAGAGCGGACTCGAAGACTTGCAACGCACCCACAAAATCAGCTGACGCTGTTGGTGGCCGGCCGGTTTGTCTCCAGGTCCCTTCACCCGTGCCGATAGAAACGGAAGCCTGAGCTGCTGCCCACATCACATCAAGGGTTTGTACGCATCGTCCTTTCACTAGATCCCATTGGCGGAGTGTCTTATCCGACGATCCAGAGACGAGGGTATTGCCCCGAAAGTGAAGGGTAGTAATCTCATCCACATGGGATTCTAGACTAAAGAGTGGACAATCTGCCATACTGCCCTCGGGGGGGTCTACTGGTTGGTCATCGGGGTTCTCAAAAGCCATGCCGTCGTCATCTTCGTCGTCCCTACCAAATTGACTACCTTGCGGATCGTAATGCGACTTACTCAAGTCCCATAATCGGATAGTGGCATCCATAGAACCTGTAGCAAGGATGTTGTCTTCCACTTGCAGTGCCCGTACCGGTGCGGTATGGCCTTCAAGTAATCCAATACAGCGTCCAGCATTCAAATCCCAAACCCTGACCGAGTCGTCCATAGAGGCCGTAACCAGGGTGCCGAATGGTACATCGAAATCTAACGTTGTGATATTATCGGCGTGAGCTTTAATTTCCCGTATCATAAAACCTGGTTCGAAGTGCTCGTGCAATATAGGCATTGACTTGCGCTTCATGGTCTTATGCTTCTTTTTAGATGGGGCAGCAGGAAGCTTCTCGTATATAGATTTGGACATAAATTCATCCGTATCTTGATCCGTTACTAAGTCGTCATCGTCAGATTTGTTTGGTGTGTCGACAGCAGCAGCTATCGACTCGGCTTCGTCAAAGAGGGTCTGAGCGTCTTCTATCCGACCCTCCATATCCACAACTATGTTCTGCGTCAGCACGGGCTTAGAAGCACATTGGTGGGGATAACCTACTATCATGGTCCAAAAGTGCCTCTTCTTGTTCTAAGCCTGCTAACCTCTCAAGAATGATGCGCCTCATTCCAGCTAGATTGGCGATCTTGTTATCAATCTCGCGGATCTCACAGCTTGCCATATTCTTCCGAATGCTAAGCATCTCAAGCTCATGCATAAGCGATGACCTTTCTTTCTTTAGCTTATGGAGGTGGTTTGGGTTATCTGGAGTTGTAGGGCTCTCTTCGAGCATTTTTCTCCCTCTCGAGACTTTTCTCCTGTGCTTTTTACCCTCGTGTGTCAACTCGGGAAAAGTCGCTTGGAAGCCTTGAAATAAGGAATAGGCATTTTCATTTTCGGGTAAATTTTTAAGCATGTCGTCGGGCAGGTGTGCTAAGGCGCGGGATTGGATCTCGGCGGTAGAGAACTTGGAGCGAACCAAGTCAGTTGGCGTCGTCCGAGCCATGGTGAACATGCCTCGTTGGATGCCGGGCTTCCTCAGCTGCTTATGAACTTGAGCCATGGCGTTGTGGTAGTGGTTCCCAGCCTGATCGGACCTGGGACCTACTAGATGGCTCGCTGTTGTCGTCACCTTTCTTGTGAAGGCCTCGAGTCCTCGCGACTATGTGCGAAGTTAGTCCTCACGTGCGCATTACAAAGATAAGCGGTCAGTAGGGTACCGAAAGTATCGAATCTTCACCCGGCGGGGCGTCATCACGAATGGCATTGTTCAGGTCTGAATCGGCCATGCGCGGAGTCTATGGAATTTGTACTGAAGCCGGAGAAGTCGTGTGCGGTCGCACGGTGCAAATGCCACACATTTAAGGTAGCATACAGGAGGTTTTTATTTTTCCCGACAAGTATTAAATGGATCTCTCACAGGGCTACTTGGTAGTCCAACCTGAGGAGTAGGGCAGTTATCTAAGATAAGTTGGTAGGTACGGAAAATATTTGATGGCCCAAATTAAAACCAAGGCATTGACAAGGCTAACGAAGACGGACGAATGTACCTTTTCCCGCAGTGGACGTTCTAAAAATTTTAGCTTGAGCCCTCGGCATAAGCTGTGCTTGCGCGACCCACATCGCCGGATAAGATTTGTTGCAGACGCCGCATCTACGGATAGAGCAGGTGCATGTGTCTTTCGCCTTGCTTGCATCTCATTTGCCTGGTAGACCTGGCCCAGCTTACGTACAAGGTACATGTAGGAGATAGACTTGTAATGGATCTCTACCTAGCCTTATCAAACCCACGCCGTACCAGGCTAAACCTCACAGGGTTACACTAAAAAGAATAAGGTTTGCGCACCGCAACCATCACTCTACTCTTTCTTAGCTCACAATGCCGGGTGCGACACTACCTAGCTACCCTGTAAATTATAGGGCAGTAGGTAGGTAGGGACGGCACCTACCTCATAAGTAAGCTGACTTGCATTCAGGAGCTCACGAAAAAAAAAAAAAAAAAAAAAAGGTACCGATTTGATATTGGCCGACTATCGGCCGTAGCTGCGTAGCAAACGAGACCCTTGAGAGAAAGAAACTGCAGCCTTGTGAATTAACATCTTTTACTCCTTACATCTTGAACTGATTGTGAGACATTGCCCACCACTTGCGCTTCACCCCGCTCGTAAGTGAGGAGGGTCTTTGTACTCCAATACAAAACTCTGCTCGACTACCTATATCTTCTGGTTGCGCAACGATTTCTTCGTCTTCTTCTTGACTGTTATACCCAAGCCAATACCGACCTGTTGAACCAGAATAGTGACCATGGATACCATCATTGACATCAAGGACGCCTCTAAGGCCCTTGATCTATCTAACATTCGCTTTCAGTTGATGTACGCGCAACTCTTCTTTACCTCCACCGTCAGACATAATAGGATAGGCGCATTGCTAACAACTCACTCATTAGTCGACTAGAGGATACGATCACTTTCCACCTGATCGAACGAGTTCAGTTCCCGCTCAACAAGACCATCTATATCCCCGGAGCAATAGAGATTGGCCAGGACAGTAAGCTCAGCTTCATGGATTGGTACTTGAAAGAGCAAGAGAAGCTACAGTCTCTGATCCGACGCTACGAGGCACCCGACGAGTACCCTTTCTTCCCTGACGCGCTGCAGAAGCCCATATTAAAACCTCTCAACTACCCTAAGGTTCTGCACCCGAATACGGTCAACGTCAACGAGAAGATCAAGGCGTTCTACACTGAACAGTTCTTGCCGGCCGTGTGCCCGGACTTCGGGCGCCCAGATCGCGGCGAATCGGAGGAAAACTACGGTTCCTCTGCTACGTGCGACATTGCCTGTCTCCAGGCCCTCTCGCGAAGAATACACTTCGGTATGTTCGTAGCAGAATCGAAGTTCCAGTCCGACCCGGAGACATATACTCGATTGATCAAGGCGGGTGACCGTGACGGAATCGGCGAGTCTATCACAAATGCAGCGGTCGAGAAGCAAGTTCTGGCGCGGTTGGGACTGAAGGCGCGCACCTACGGCACAGATCCATCTACGAATGGTTCGGAAGATGATCGCAAGATCAATGTTGAAGCAGTAGTTTCCATGTACAGGGACTTTGTCATCCCGTTAACGAAAGAGGTCGAGGTGGAATATCTAATGCAGCGACTAGACTAGGCGAATCACGGAGCTAGACATGGAAGGCTAGATAAAAAAAAATCGTGGGTGGTTTATGTCTTATTGCGTTGATTTTCTTTTTACTTCAAGACGGAGGACTTATATACTCCCCTATAGCCTTCGCGGCATCTGCGAATTTACTAGCTTCGATTAATATCATGAAGCCACGGGGCATGACACCCATCTCCTGGAAAGCTCGCTTGCTATCTGCGATGGCCTCGTCGATCTTAGTATAATCGTAGCTGCCGCTAGCTACTGCGTGCTTTTGCAATACCTCGTCTTCCGGATGGAAGTAGAACATTGTCGCATCTTGCTTTCCTTTCTTACGTTTCCTCTCCTCAACGTCGAGTGTCGACTCGATCTCATGGTATGTCTTGGAAATGATGAGATAGTGCGAGAACTCGTAGGGCTCTTTGTCCTCCACGGCCGCCTCGACCTCGTCAATGAGCATGTTGTACATGGGCGGCGAAATCTCGGAGGGCATATTGATCAAGCGCTCCGAGAGCACCAGCCCTACATGTTTTCCAGAAGATATTAAATCTGGGAGTCCCGCTAGAGCTTTATTCGTCTTAGCTTTTTCGCAGATATACCTGGTGAGATCGGCGATCTGCTTCTTTTCGCGGTGTTCGTACAGATTGAGCGCAGTGAGGAAAGCATACGCATCCGCCTCCTTGCCGTCGACCTTGACTGTCGACCCAATTGTCGGTTGCGACAGGATTAGATCGGCCAGTCCCGAGATGTCGAAGAGAGTCGCGTCTACATCAAAGAGTTGTCGCAAAAGGGATTTCGTGCCGTGAAAGTCGATTTCTGGGTCGAAGTTGAACCATTCGAAGTCAACATTGACCATATCGAAATCCTAAAGTTGGACTTGTCAGTCAACTGCTACAACAACACAAGCCGCACTAATAAAATGCTACGAGTCTTCCACTCACGTCATCGTCAAAGCTGTCGCTATCTTCGACCATCTTGTTGGGCGCCTCGGCGGCACCGTCGGCTTCTCTCGCTCGCTTCTTTGCCATTTTTCTCTTGTTGAATTGCGTGAACGAATGCTACGATATACGATAATAGGTCTGAAGAATTAGCCTAGCCTCACGCGCCTCGAGTTTCGCAATTTGATAATGAGTGCCAGCTTCAGGCGGTGTACAAAATTATTCTGCCACTGTCCTGCCCCTCACTAATCTTCTTTTGGTCTGATAAGATAAAAGTTTATTTTCGATAAGGATCCTTGCAGGTACCTAGGCACTAGCCCACCAAGTACGAAGTACCTAGTAAGAACCTTAGAGTTTAACTTACTATGTGCCTACCTACCTAGGTTAGGTACCTAAGGTTAGGTAATTAGGTCATGAAGAACCAAAGCTCTCATGTTTACCTTCATCACATTAGACTCATAGCAAACTCATACATGCCTAGGTTAAATTACTACGTTCCAGCCATCTTCTGATGATGTTATATGCATGGTGCATATGCATAGAGGAATGCTTTCACTCAACCATAACGTCCGAAGCTTCTTTAAACGTTGAGCTTATTGCGGAAGTTTATCATCTAACTACCTGATATGTTACTATATAGTTATTCCGACAATCAATTGGGGCCTGTAGGTAGTTCTAGTAAGGTTAGGTACTCACATGAATTGTAAATCAAGCGATATGCGTGCTCTAGTTGCATATGAATGAGTTTCAAACGCAGAGTAGAAGCAAAGTATCACCTTAATTCCATACCTAACGCAACTACATGTGACAGCGTTCATATATGGGCATTAAAGGCATACCGCCAGTCTTTAAGACACGTTATCATTATTTATTTTTATGTATTCTATAAAGTCTGTATTATACAACTTGGTCTCATGCCGCCAACGGTTCCTCGTATAAGGTCTTAGGATTCTCAGTCGAATAGATAGATGAATAGAGGCGGGATAGCGTTGCATCATTGTCAATGGAGACTTGGATAAATCATAATAAGCTGCTCTACAAAGTAAAAGAAACTTAACTTATAACTAATATTGGAGAAGACATTCCAATTAGATATAAATAGGCCAAGACGGTACAAAGTGAGAGAAGAGAAAGCTTGTTGCTAATTCGCCTAGGCGCAAGAATCAGATTTAAACATCTTCGTCCACTCTCTAGAAAAAAATATTTCATACGTAAAAGTCACTAAGCGCTACTCTTGAATTTTAATTTGCTTTCTCCCTTAGGTACCCAAGACCAAGGTTCGTCAAAAATATATGTATGTGTATTTAGCCAATTCTATTAGTAAAAGTCATACGTCTACGTCGTTCCATCTCAAGTCTCGACGGATCGATTAACTCGATCGAAATGCAGACATAGCGTATTCGATCTCGCAGTTTTGCGTGATCGCCATAAAAGCAGCATACGCTATGTATGTATCGCTGTCCCGATTGGTGCTTTCAAACCGTTCTTGCGTGGTTTACTGGCGACTACTGCAGGGAACAGGCCAACCAGCTGTGTCATTTTCAACCAGTTAGCCCATTATTAGGTTAGGTGATATCGATATATCCAGCGGATCGATGCCCCTGGATAGCGTGCAACCCATCTCTTCACCTTTCTCCTGCCTATTATAGACTCCTTGTGACTGTCCCATTGGCTAGAAAATTTCCCGAAGCCTACTCGTCCATGTGACATGCATGTCTATATAGAAACCCTATAGAAACCCGGGGTGAAAGGGCATGGTAGAAAGCCTTCTCAGCTCTAACGGTGGACATCGGTCCGTTCAGCCTGGCGCGGTATAAATAGGCCCACGATGAAAATTCTGTCGTATGAGTAGTAGTCTTCTTACCAGAGTAGAAATGAAGGACGCAATTGTAATCGGGCCAGGCGTTGAGGCCATCAAGACCATGGTGAACGGATGAAAGACTAATATATTACTAGTGGGTATAATTTTGTAGGACGCGTGTCCCCCAATGTGACCTTTCCAAGCCAATGCAAGACCTGTACTCCGACCCAGGACCCGGTCCCCCCTAGAACTCCATGACGCACAACTCCCTTGGCCCGGATGGGTCGACCCGATGGATGGGAAAAAACCAGCAAGATTATCGAGAAGCGGAATGAAACCCTGGCCGCGGTTCCAACGTAAATCCAACCAAGCCTATGCAGCCAATATGCTATGCAGGTTAACGAAGATGGTATATTTTCGAGCGTGCAGAATCGTAATCACGCCTTGACATCCGATTCATTGAGTAAATGCCGTCGGGGGGAGATGTAAATAGTCCCCCGGCAAGGTCGTACGGTTACTAAAGGCCTCTCGAATTTCTGGCGCAACATCATGAATGTGACCGAATGGAGTAGACAATTCTGACTTGGGGGTATCGACAGGTGTCAGTTGTATACCCAAGCCAATTATAGCACGTCCCGAACTCATCGACTTCCCATGCTTGGCCAATTTGCTTTCGTCCTCCATTCCAATCTCCTCATTGATCAGCTCTCGCCGAGCCATCTCGATATCGTGTCTCGCTTGCTTGATAGATTTAGCCTCCCACAGAGGAAGAATACGGTAGCCCAGGTTTTCCATAATACATCTTTCGGTGAAATTAATCTGCTCACACGTCCAGAGATTCTGGCCCCATGCGGAGCCATAGTATTGGGTAGATTCCTGTAAATCCTCCACGAACTTGTCTGCAATCACTAATGCAGCCAAAATTATAACCTCGGGGAGAACATTATCGATATGGACAGCCTGAACGACACCGGATGGTAGAGTGTGGCGTTTGGGACCGAGTTCGTTTGGCCTGTTTAAGGGGAAAGATATCCGCCAACTTCGAGAGAATCGAGAATTTAACGAGTCCAAGATGCAGACCGCCAACGCAATGATATCCATCGGTAGGTCAGCACGTGCCAGTAGACCTTGCACTATTGGAATAGACGGCGTCATAAACGAAGCTCCAGGAGGTAACATTCTTGCTAGATGGGCAGCGGGGCCTGCCGGGAGGAATTAGTTGAAGCATGTTTTTGTCGGGGGGGGCGCTACTAACCTAAGAATTCTGGACTAACGCTCTCTTCATCCTCGGAGGTGATGCGAGGGCTTTGCGCGGCAGATGAATTTTTGGAAGAGGGAGGCGGCGTGGGAAGATTGGATAAAGGTTTGTAGAATTGCCTGAAATACGCATCGTCGAACTCGAAGTCGTCGTCGTAGGTAGAAAAGCACCGGGAGTGGCCCATCTTGGATCTTGGATCTTGGATATGATTTTAGGGCGAAGATATTTTAAGGTCTTAAATAACTAATAAACGGCGCCAAGGAACAAGGACTGCTCATATTCGAACAAAACCTCATATGTCTACTCCCTAATACTAGAAGAATCACGCGCTCAAGTTATTTAGATAACGTGCTAAGTCTATTACCGTCAAAACAGCGGGATCCAGGTCAGGTCAGATAGTTGAGGAAGGTGTCTTATATACGCGAGCAACACCGCTAACGAGTACGAGCACTTCGGATATTCGGCCAGATCCAGAGGAAAGGAACAGTAAGATCGATTCCCGGAGATGCAGACAAATATAAAGACTTATATAGAATAAATAGGTATGTAAATATGTAGATATGTAAATAAAAATTCGAAGAAGTAGACGGATGAGGCGAGGGGGACGGAGCTTATTATGCAAAGGCAGCACGGGTCAGAAGCGAAGCCGAGCACTTGCAGGAAACCCGGTGCCTGTCCATCCATGTTAGTACGAGGTTAGGTACCTACTCTACCCTAATGCATGCATAGCCATTATTGGTATTGCACTTATGATTTAAACCCGGTATGGTATTGTACCTTCAACATTCATGTGAGATGGAACATTGACTGGATGCTGGTAGATACCCGAAGTAAAAGACTCCGACGTCAAGGGTTAAAAGCTGGGGAGACTAAGAATGGCATGAAGCTGAATCGTAAGTGCGGTGGCTAAAGCAAGCCGGTTCTTCTCAGGGAAAAGTCAATTAAGAAGCGCACAATACACGACAAGCTCTAGCTCGGTAGATGATTCGGGTTGGCTTAGGTACAATACGTGGTAGTGTAGAGTACGAGGTTTGACAAAGTTGTCGGGTACGTAGGGAGGGGAGATCACGCAAGCGTCCTTGCAACTTGAAGATCTCCAATGCCGCTTTCCATTTTGACATGGGTATTGAGGGTATTGAGGGTATTGGGGGTGTTTGAATATCGAAATAGCTTTGCTACCAGGTAAGTTGCTGCTAGGTAACTGATCAGTGGTAACTGATATGTTAGGTACGTTCCACGTTCAAGACCTAGTCTAGCTCTAGGTTACCTATTGAAGGATCAAACTGGTCTTTCTATCTCATACTGCTGAGGCTGAGTGTCATAGAAAGAGAACAGAATTCTCATACCAGGGGCAAACTGATTTGGTAGACTCAGTCGACCATCTCATACCTCTCATACCTCTCATACCTCTCATACCTCATCGCCTCTAAGCTTCGTTCCTGTTTCGCATCAGGCCACCAAGCTCCCTAACTCATAACTGTTAGCGGGTCCTGACCCTTAAATCAGTCAATAGGATAGCGCATTGGTGTATTCGTCTATCGAATGTACATACTAAACAATGTCTAGTGCACCTACACGACTGTCGAGAACGGAAGAAGCAGGACGGCGACAGAGTGGCATCGGCCAAGGATATCGGAGGCTTGTTTTGGGGGGTTCGTTGGCGTATTGAGACCGAACTTCCAGCGGTGAGCCTTGTGCTGATTATTGTAAATTTGTAACCTTTTGAGTTAACAAAGTATTATTATTTTGGCTGTTTGGGTAAGTTGAACGGGGATTTGGCGGGTTAATTCAGCCCCACATTAGAAGTGTTAGAAGTAGGTACTTAATACATCAGATACATGCGATACACTACATACATGTAAAAAAAAAAAAAAAAAAAAAAAAACATGGTGCCTACAGGCTTACGGTATGTGTAGGCTATAGCACAACTCCTACCTACCTAATTGCTTTAATCCTTGATTTCATGTAAACTTCAACTTCCCTATTTGCAAGCCAAGTTCTGTGGCGCAAGACATCTCTTATTACTTGGTACTTGATATACCTGTAGTTTACTCAGCAATCCAAGGACCTATTGTTAAGCACTACCTCTCGGTCAACCCCTATCAACGCTTCAAAACTACCTAGGATTCCGAATATTACGACATCGTAACAACTTGAAATAATTTTATTAATACTACCTAAATAGCCTACTCTTTCACTTATTTTAACTACTACCTACTTTTACTCCATCTTAGTGTAATATATATCGCAGATCTTACACTCAACTGAGTCGTTTAGATTTTAGATAGGTAGCCGGCTACTCAGTACCAAGTCAACGCCAACGCCGACGCCAGCGCCAGCGCAACGGCCCTCCTTAGCGCACGGTTACTAACTGCCCCTACACCGCCTTCCACAAAATATACCTAGGTGTACAAAATTACATAGATAGTTAGATGTATTGTATTGTACGATGAAAAGTAACATTACATGTAGGTACCTATTGTACCTAAGGATGGTATGTACCTCCGAAAAGTGACGTGTAGGGAGGTAAAGGCTACACGGACAATACACAACATATACGCTATGCAGGTGCATATAGTTTACACAATAACGAATCTTATGCATATAATCGTCGGTGACTCCTCGGAATTAACATTCTCGATCCATCCTATTCAAGCTTATCCTCACTATGCAGTTATGCATTTATTGAGTTAACTAGTGGACCTATTCATTTTCACCATACATTAGGTACATTTAGGTATGACCAAAATATATTTTAGGGGTCTCGCTAAGAGATACCAGAGGTGGTGCTTATCGCCCAGATCCCATTGTCTAGTTTGCTCGGCACTGGAGAGGTCCCCTCTTTTACGAGACCAGCGTGTCAATCACACAATGTGCCTCCGTTGAGCCTCGTATGTTAAGATTACCATAGCGGGAAAATACGGGGAGGTAGAACCGTTGTCACGTGTTACAATCGTTGTTTTTTATACTAAAAACGACTTACCATTGTTTAAGAAATAACGATAAGGTGCTTTTGATTCGTATAGCAATAATAGCTTTTCGGGAAATAATTTTTTTAATAATATTAATTGTTTAAAATTATACCGTTGTTATTATTATATAATGTAATGTTATAATTTTAAATGTAACGATTTTAAAAATTATAATGATTTTAAAAAAAAATAATAACGTTTTAAAAAAACGTAATGTTAATATATATAAAATAATATTTTTATTAAATGGTAATTTTATATATAATATATAAAATTAACACGTTTTTCGTACGTGTATAATATTATAAAATAACGTAATTGTAAATATTATATTTTAATATAAATTTTTACCTTATAATTTTATTAAATAAATAAAAATTAAAAACTTTAAATATATAAAACTTATAATTCGATTTTAATAATAAATAACTTTTTTTTATTTTATTTTAATTAAATAACGTTGATTTATATAAAAGTATTATTAATATTAAAATTGTTGTTAATATTGAAATTATCGTTGCCTCCGAAATTATTAGCCGCTGATTAGGCGTTATTATAGAAAATAAGCATTGTTCAATCAATAATGCGTATTTGTATTAAGGTATTCCTGCTATGGTATGTATTGTACATTGAGTTTCCAAGAGACATGCACCATGCATAGGGGTATCCGCCGTTTCCGAACCTGGAATCCATCTGCAAGAACCTGAGGTTTAAAAACAATGACGACTGCAACTGCGAAATCTCTTCAAACGCTTCCCGCTTTCGCGAAGGTCCGAAGCCGAATCGAATGTTAGGTCTCCGTCAAAAAATTGCCTCTCGAATGTTACCTGCAGCAGTCCGCGTATACGAGATCTAGCTACATACCTAAGCTGTCGAATGAATATCTATTGAATATTTACTACATACCTACAGCTTCCAGTCGCAATGCAATCTCGTGATCCCTCCGAATTTTTAAAGGAAATAAATTATTTTGTCAAACCATGTAAAATCCCTCCCGGACGACATTCGATAAACAAGCGAAAAGGATCAGCGATCAATGATCGTCAGGCACGGCAAGATTTGGTTCTGGCCTCCTAAACCCCATATTCCGATGTTGTGGTACTTGTTTTGCATGACGGCCGATCCGAATGTTCCCCGTCATGATTCATGAACTAGACGGTAAATTTCTTGCGACACTAACGATTAACAACTGCAGGCATAACTGCGGCTTTTTTTATAACACCTACTCTGCTCTTGGGCAAGTGTTTACCTAAATTTAGTAACAGTTCTAATGCAGTATCCAGGACTTATACGTATAGTCGCCATCCCAAACCAATAAGAGAGAGGCTTGGCAGACGTAGTTTCTTCAGCCTCTTCAGCCTCTTTGGAGCACTATTCGTAAAAAGGCAGAAAATTCAAGGAACAAGAATCGAATTATGTGGGGTTTCAAGCTTGAATCTTGCCACCATTCCCATTGCGAAGGCTACTGGCCAATATTTGTCTTCTGTGGTCACGTGCTTAGCAACATGATGGTGTGAAGCAATACGAGTGAGATACATATGCTTATGATTAAGATGGTTATCTTCGGTCTTTGAGATGTTATACCGGCATAATTAAATGTTGCTAAGACATTTTGGCATATTAATCCCAGGTAGAAGATAAAGTGCTTACATCAAAAATAAATAGATATTTACCTTACTTGTGGTGAAAGGATTAGCTTTAACGTTTTCGTGCCAATACTTTGATTAACAACAGAACACTGTGTATAAGCATAGTATTGAAATCACTTAATATGACATTTATCATATTCCTAATGCGTATGTTTTGGCCCTTTCGAGGCCACTGGCGTAGTTCGACATTCACGTATTCATTCGACAATTATCGATTTTGGGAACTAGATATCACAAGGTCAACCCTGAGGGTATAGAAACAACGTGATTATTGCTCGAGGGATTCTAAATGTAGATATCATTATAGAGGCTAGTGACTATACTGTATACATACTGACAACATCCTTTAGTTATTCTATTCTATATACCTTATACAAGACCTTGACTTTTATCTCAAGATGTAATTCATTAGGAATGACATAGCTTCCGCTGGTATATTACTGACTACCTTTGTCATTCTGAAACCTAGGTAATGATGCTTACAGTTGTGCATATTATATTACAGTGACTATTGTCAGGATTATAGATGAGACATCTAGAACGAAGGATATGTTCAGTATGAATAGACGTAGACCCTCGTAGCTAGGTTATAGTTCCTTGCAGAATAACGTTGTTTCCATGCTATTTGGTCCTACCTCGTGACAACTATGTCGACTTTATTAGGTACTTAGAAATATTAATATAATATTAGCGGTTTAAAAGTGTAAAAGTAAGACTCTAAACATCAACCAGTAGTATAATAATAATGCCGATGGCATCACCTTAGCAGTTTTTGACGAGCTTCGAGTGTATTATACATTATATTAATGATCCTGTTAGCTACTTGAACGTAGTTGATAAATCTGTGTCTGAATTATGATAACAAATCCCTTCTTCATTATAAAATGAATTTGCTCTGGAAGTCAAAGGTACCCTAAGGTAAATAGAGATTTAGGTAAAGATCTTACTTCGACCCATACACAACTGCCCAGCTTTCACATGTTAAAGCATTTATGCCATCAGTCGCTAGACTGATTAAATATAAAGCAAAATACATGGGATACATATATTCCCTTATACCTATAAAGGTTCCCGTCCAGGGACTTTCCGCGTATAAAGTTGCGGGCCTAGATATTCAACTTACGATAGCACCAAGACTAAAATTCATTTCGATGATAGTTGGAGCTCGAGCCTCCTCAGCATTTAAAGTGCTAATACTGGGACATCTTCATTTAGCTTCTACGAGTGTCACGAGGTAGAGCCAAACAGTAGGGAAACAACTTTGTTGTTCCGCGAGGAACTTTAACCTATCTGTAAGAGTCTATGTCTAGGTATACATAATGAACATGTCCTTTGTTCTAGATGCCTCATCTAGAATCCTGATAACGAGTCTGTGCTCAATTTCGTGGTTACCTTAGGTAAAGCTCAACATTCCCAAGCCCTACCTTGATGGCCTCCCATGAACTTTCATAGTATTAGATTCATCTCCTAGGGTCCCGTACGCTGGTTCCGCATCATGTGGAAATCTATATACACCTAGGTATCTATGTAATACAATGGCACCAACGTGCTCCATCCAACGAGAAACGTGGCACACTATTAAGGGATGCCAAACTTTGATGCTTGCACTAGAGGCGCCCTAGGTCAATCACTTCTAGGGATAGCAATTTGTCTGGCGCTTATTCACGTTGGACAGACGCCATGTCCTTCTATGCACGGACAACGGGAGCTGTCATACGGCACATCTAAGTGTTAGTTAGTGAATAATTGGCATGTGTTCTTTCCCGATCCCGCAAGATCTACCCGGATGGACAGTGTTAGTCTTTAAACTAAGAACAATCAAGCTGCCTAACTGCCTCTAAGACACCAAACCAACCTAAAATACCTGGATTAAACTAACCAGCTTGTCTTTACTTATCAAGGATTGTGTTTGCACAGAGCAAGAGTCAAGGGCTTATCTTACAGCATAAGTGTACCTTAAGGGCAGCCTTGTTGTCTGTTAACATAGGTGCCTCATATACAATTTGCTACTCTGTCAAATATATGAGAGGGGTTTTTACTATTCTATGGCGTAGTTAGTTGATTATATAATATAAGGATCTAAACTTGGATATACTCATTTTAATTTTAATTTCAATTGCATTCCGAATGCTAATCTGGAGTATCATCCAATGAGCCATCTTCATTCTTCGGTGGCGAGCTATGAGGATTTCCCTTGATCTAACAAAGTCCATGAGATTCTTTCTTAGCTTAATTTGACGATAGAGGCTATGTGATGACAGCCCTTTCAGATGATATAACGAAAATCAGAAGCTATCGGAGCACAATACGGAATGAGGAAGGATCCAAATAAAGGATTAAACCCCATGGCATATTGATTCGCTAGAGTAGATGTTCGAAGGAATCATCGATCTTAAGAAACCCACTAGTAAGCTTCGGGGTGCATATAAACAACTTTTGGCCCTTATTATCAGCTGAACCTGCTCTATTCTAGATAGGTAGTCAACTTCTTCAACTTGAATGGAAAACATATATACGAGAAAATTTGGTTAGGTACTTAGTATTAAAGATTGTTGGTATATACATCGCGAGCCTAATATATAGCGTAGGAGGTGCGCCCACTTACAACATACAACAAACGAATGACGCCTTCACTGTAGGATCGCTAGGGAAATATTTTTTAACCTACACCAACCATAAGCATCAATAGGCGTACCATGAAATTCTCTGGCGCGTATTTGTTCCTAAATCCTTTAGACCTCACCGTCTCGATGAACATACCCCGTGATTTTGGTGACAACGTTGGCCTCATGCGATGGCAGTGTTTTATAGCGGCGGGACTCCCAGAAAGTTGACATATTTCCTAGCATTAGGCCCAGATTTGGAGGGGTTAAGCTTTTCGAGTTTGTAGATAGCTCCCGTTCAAGATAAAGTCCTCTAACCAACAAAGCAACACTAGGCCACCTTCATCGTTAGCCTATCCAGTAAGAATGTCCTAAATTGTGATCACCGCGTCTAGGCGTGTTTTATCAAACTCGTAGGTTTGTCAAGATACGGTCGCCAAGTAAAGGGCAAGCCTCATAAGCATTCTGGGCGCTGCAAAAGAAATGTTCTTCGTACGACCTAGTCCTCGCTCCTACGGGTGGCGCTGAGATAAAAGGCCCGGCGGCTTGGCACTTCGGGACGGTGAAAATGTTTGATCATGAGATGAGTGGTTGGTATGTAGAGCATTTGAGATATACGAACATGGCGTCCTACAATGAGGTGAGCTACATAGCTCGGCCTGGTGCCCGAACGATGAGAGGAAAACAAGAAACCAACACGTTTTTGTCCCAAACCCGTGGATCTTTGCGTAACAAAAGCTGGGGAAGGCTTGCTTCTAGAATACTCCCTTGCTATCGTTATCTCTGCGTTGCTACAATGCTACGTCGCATCCACAATATCGTAGGCGTGATTTGTGGACTGGCGCCATGGGTTGGTTCGCGTTATCGTCAACCGTCAACCACCTGCCTAAACCGGCCGAGTACAATGCTAACCGAGGCGATCCTACTGGATAACTGGGTTTCCCAGCTATGTAATTGGATTTCATTGCGAATCCAAAATCCGTTAGACGAGATCTATCATGTCGTCCTGGACGTGTTGGTATAGATCTTGCGAGTGTAGGATTGTCCAGGTTGATGATATTTGATATGGAGGTGGCCATGTACAACTAGATCTCTGGCTTCATGAATGGCTGGTCTGGACTTGGCGGCGTCTAGGGTCCAGCGGAGGAGCTACCTGTTTTTGTATTTACCCAGCTACCAAGGCGCTTGGCGGATTACCGTTGGTGTGAACTGGTCCGAGTGTTGTATGATCACGTTGAGCCTAAGTCGTATCTCCACTCCTTGGGGGTTCGCGGATAACCTCGTCTAGGAAGCTGGGATGGTAAAAAGAAGACTATCTTGTCGCTGATAAGCTAAGGTAGGCTAGGTAGGCTAGGTATCATGATCTGGGCAAGTCTTGGTTCTTGGTGTTACGAGTGGCTGGCTTGCCTCGATGGCTTGAAGCCTGCGTAGCCATGTACTACTACTATATAGCTGGATATATTCCATTATGCAGTGTCGCATATGTGCCCTCCTGTCGATCATTCTGTCTCTTCCAGTCCCCTCTCGATTCCCTTATCTTGGGTGCGAACCCTGAGTAGTATCCTCGCTTTCTTGCCTTGAAGTGTCTGCTCAACTAGAAAGCAGATTTCTACAATGGGTAAGTTGTTCGTTCTTGTTATAACTACCTAGTTAGACTTCATTCTGCCGAAGGAACTTGCCGATATCCTCATAAATCGATGAGTCAATAAGTCAATAGGTTAATATGCTAACGCTCTTGCTATAAGATACTGGTACTACCCTTCCCACCGTCGTCGCCCCCGTCAGCGCGGTGCGGGCGTCTGTCGACGAGAAAGTACTCGATGAGAAGCCCCAGGTTGGCACCAATGCCTCAGAAAAGGCTGTTACTGAAGACGGCCATGCGGTACTTCAAGGTCTCGTCATCCCAACCGAGGAGGAGAAGTCTACGCTAAGGCGTGTTGCTGGCAAGATGCCGGCGACTTGTTATTATCTCTGCGCTGTCGAGTTCGCCGAACGGGCTTCTTATTATGGATGCAACCAGGTCTACAAAAACTTCATCAGAGCCCCCTTACCTCCCGACGGCAACGGCAGTGGTGCTACAGCTCCCGGGTCCGAATATACTGCCGGAGCTCTTGGTAGGGGTTCGGTAGTAGCCACCGCTATGACTGAAGCATTCAAGTTCTTAGCATATGCGCTGCCGATTTACTTCGGTTGGCTCGCCGACACTAAGTACGGCCGCTTCAAGATGATTTGCTGGGGTGTTGCAGTATGTGGTGTGGCTCATATTATCATGATCATTTCAGCACTTCCACCTGTGCTTCTCTCAGGCCACGCTATCGGCCCCTTTGCTCTATCTTTATGGTATGTATAATGACGTTTTTACCAAGCTATCTTCTTCCTCCTTATTCACGTATTGTCGTATGGGTACTTGAAAGCTAACCTTTGTGTAGTATGTCTTGATACCCCGAATCTTATCGTCGTTGCCCGTGTTCTACGCTTCCTAGAAGCAGCGAAGAAAGACAACATCAGATTACTTCTAAAGTTCTAAACGGTATACTGACTTTTATTAGACATGCTCTCAATTGGTGCTGCTCAGTTTAAACCCAATATTTCCCCTACCGTGATCGACCAGAGCCCTCATAAAATTGCTCATGTCATCACCGACAAGAACGGGGAGAAGGTTATCGTGGACCCTGAGGAATCTGTCAACAGTGTTATGCTGTGGTTTTACCTGCTCATTAATCTCGGCTCTTGTTTCGGCATTGCGACGACCTATTTGGCTAAGCTTGTTGGATATTGGTCGGCATACTTGATCCCCACGATTTTGTACCTGATGCTTCCACCACTACTATGGTACTTGAACCCGCGCCTTATAAAACAACCTCCAGGAGGTTCAGACTTGGGAAATGTGTTCAGGGTCCTCGGTGATATCTTTACTCATGGTGGTTTGAAGCGTATTGGCCGTACAGGATTTTGGGAAGCCGGCAAGCCAAGTGTGCGCAAAGCCGCAGGCAGCACGAAAGTATACACATACGACGACCACTTCGTTAACGATGTTCGAAGGACCTTCCAAGCTTGTGGCATCTTCCTCTTTTCGCCTATATGGCAAATCAACGACGGTGGTCTTGGTGCCGCTGCCAATGCCCTCACTGCTGGAATGGATACTAATGGTCTCCCCAACGATCTCTTGGACAATCTAAACGCCGTCTCTATTGTCCTAGGTATGCATTTGCCCCCTTTTTAGTCCAGGGAAATAACATGGGTAAATCAAGGCTAACGAATATATAGCGGTACCTTTTATGAACCATGTCATCTACCCGCTTCTACGCAAACGCGGTATTAAATGGGGTCCCATTTCTCGAATGACCTTCGGGTTCGCGCTTGGTACAATCGGCTCGATCGGCTATTCTATCCTTCAGTACTACGTGTATAAGACTTCACCATGCGGCTGGAATGCTACGACATGTGCTGAGATCGTCCCTGTCGGTGAGGTTTCGGTTTCTACCGTTTCCTACGCCTGGTACGCAGTCCCCGTTATAATCACTGCTGTTTCGGAAATCTTCGTGAACGTCACTGCCTACGGTATTGCCTATTCGCGGGCTCCTAAGAACATGAAGGGTCTTGTCGCTTCAATCAATCTTTTCATGACGGCCATCTCCGCCGCCATCGGCCTTGCCACCGCACCGGCCATCAGCGACCCCTATCTCATCTGGGCGTTTGCTGGACCAACCATTGCCGGTGCTGTACTTACCGTTGTCTTCTGGTTTACGTTCAAGCATATCGACAAAGAGGAGTTTGTCCTCAATTCTGACCTTGCTGATTTAAAGAAGGACTCGGAACGCGAAAGCGACGAAGAGAAAGCCTCCCAACCGAAGTCAATCGACGAGAAGAAATCATAGAGCCTAGACTATGCACCAGAGATAGATCTGAATCATGTATACTCTTTTGTTCGGAGATTTACCTCGAAATATTTAGACAGGGAAACGTAGCATAGTGAAATAACAAGATATCTGACGTAAGTGAACCACGAGTAGATATCAGCCCATTATTAGAACACGAATGCACTCTTAATAGCATATATTGCCTAGGTAGGTAGTATTTTATGCAAAGGACTTCCTTACTCAATATTGGGTTGGAGTATACCTACCTATGTACCAGGTAGATAAGCACAGGTCCGTCAGCTGTTGCTAGCAATTCCTGCCAAGACCGGAATCTAGCCGAGTTAACGAAGTACATGGCAATTCTGACAATCCTATTGGTGTAATACAAGGGGTTATTAGACCGAAAAGAAAGGGGAGGCGGGGGCTAAAACTGGAGGAACGCGGCAGAGCCTCATTGTGCCTCAGCTAAGAGCAAATATTTGTGAAATTTTCAAAAATATCCTTGTAATTTGTTATTCCTTAAACAGAAAGTGAGATCCGTGCCGACCCATGGAAGTAATATTCAATAACCCGCTTGCTGCTGCGCTTCTTTGCTGATGCCACTCCATGCCCAGCCGACAGAATGCCCTTTGAGCCGGAGCTGAGATGCGGTTGTACGGGAACTTGCTAGGGTAGGGGTAAGAGTAAGATACCTGGATGAGAATGTTGAAGTAGCAAGTTATTTTCGACAATAAACTCTGGATCTCTTCATCACTTCCACCCAGTCTGCCTAAGCCAGCCATGACATTGTCGCCCACATAAATACTCCAATCCGCACAGAATTAATCCCAATCGTTTATCGGTCGCAGTCTCTTTAGATCGAAAAACGGGCTTCCTTATTGCTGTTCTCCTAATATGAGATTTTTAAAACCTACATTGAGCTGGAGGTCCCGCGCCTGGCAGCCAGTACCTCTGAGAACATTGGCCGAGAACAATATTTGGTATGCTGTCACGCATGGTGAGGACGGCGAAGTTGGAAGGACTCTAGAGAGATGGGAGAGTCTAAAGCAATGGGTCACCGAAGTAGGTGAAGATGATAAGGCCTCACTAGTGAACACTTTCAGGAATCTCAAACAAAAAGATATCGAAAATATTCAGTCTCAAATTCGGGATATGATGGTCGATCTACACACAGGGGTAGGGTATTCTCTTCTATCTATCGCCATTTGCCGGAATTTACTCAAAGACGTCAAGTTCCTGGTTCAGCACAAGGCCATTTCCTTAAATACACCAAGCGGCAGTAAAGGCCTTACACCGCTTCACATAGCTATCATCACAGGACGTTCCAGTTTAGTTTTCGAAATTCTTCATAATCGCTCAACGGCGCCGTCACAGCTAGTCAATGCCCGTGACTACGACGGAAGAACAACACTACATCACGCGGTAATGAAGTATGACTGGAACGAAGAAGAGCCTACAGGGAACACAGCCCACAAAGTTATCTTACAACTTCTTAAACATGGAGCAAATATCGACGCACAGAATCATAGCTTCCACACACCTCTTCATCTACTTATCATCGATGATCTTAATCAGGAGACAATGCCATTTGCTCAACTCCTTCTAGAAAATGGGGCTGAAGTGAACACGAAAGATGAGTACGGTGAGATAATCCACATTTAACACCGCGTTATTGTAGAAACTGAACGAAATTTTTAGGTGATTCGCCCTTACATAGTGCGTGTAGGCGCGGGCATCGTGAAATCATCCGACTACTGGTCGATTGGGGTGCAGATATGGATTGTCGCAACTTAGACTGGACCACACCCCAAGATCTATTCTTGAGTAGAGATGAAGTATCCGAAAATGATAAAACTTTTGCTCTGGAAGTATTCTCCAAGTTAAAGAAACCAACCATGACACGCGAGAGAGTTGGGAACATCCCGCGGGGTCCTACAGAGTGCCTTGATGAGATGAGAAACATCTGTACTGAATTCCCTGTTTACTTCCGGTACCAATGGCCTGGACTAGACCCTAAGCCAGACGGAAACACCTCTATGTCGTGGATTCGAAGTGACATGAAAGTTTCTCATGTCCTTTATCCAAACGACGAAAAGGACGAGGAGACGCTTGAACCCGTATACGGCGGAGAGGGTTTCCTTGTCAACTGCGAGAGAAAATTCAAATCGAAAGCTTGGGAGGAAGAGTATGGGTGTGACTTAGGTGATAGACATAAAGCCACTGGGCTAGAAAATGGAAAATACGAAATTAGGAGTGTAGAAACACGGAACCAAGGACTGGAAGATAAGAGGAAACAAGTCGAGGACGACGTGGGGAAGAATTCATGGAGATGGATCAATTTCCCATCTAACAATGTAAGCAAAAACATCCCCACAAGAGTCAGTAGATAGGTACTGTACTGACATACGTATAGATGACATGGATCAAGGTAGAAAAGAATCTTCCCGTAATGTATGTCAACCGCCTGCTTGGTTGGCTAACACTTTCCAGGACTTCATAATACACAACGCCAGATACAATGAGAACAACAAAGTGGATGGAAGAACATGGAGGTTTTTCGAAGAGAATATCCGCATCCATGAGACAGACAGCTTATACTCACGTGTTAGGATCCCCCATGCAAAGGGAAGTTCATTCAAATAGCTGATACCTTGCCCATTCTAACGTACAGTTTAGGCTAGCAACAGCTGGGATAGGAACGATAAGACACTTCAGAGGAAGAAAGAAAACTCAAAGAAAAGTAGTTAACAGCGGGATCCCTTCTCAATGAAAAACCCAGCACTGACATTAGTTCAGAGATAGCAGATAATTCCCTGTCTAGTACCACTACCGCAGAGAAAGAGCAGGATGAAAAGGAGGTAGAGCCCAGCGCGGCTCAGTCATGGAAAAACACAGATGCTTTCATGTCTGGCAAGATGTTATCTTTGGTGGTAAGTTTCGTGTGACATATTCGAAACTTCCTCGATACCGAGGAGCTTACATGAAATACCATAGGTGCCTTTTTTAGATATTGAGACGGAAGATCAAGTCCAATCTGGCTTTGACGGCCTCGAAACCCAATGCCAAAGAGTCAAGAAACTTAACGATGTGTACTCCCCTTTTACGGGTATGCACGGTGTCCAGCACTCCCAAACACTGGACCAGATTTACTACAACACTGAAAGCGATGACACAAAGTTGCATACGGAGAAGGATCAAGTGATATATAGGTGGTCTGAGAAAAAGAACACGGAAAGGAAACAGCATCAAGAGCATCAAGAGCATCGATCGCAGCAGCCCGACCAAGTGCGAATTAAAGGGAACAATGCTTCTATTCCCCCGGGAGGATCAGGCAGTACTGACCAGGGTATGCTTCAAAAGTTATCGGGATTATTCCATAAGTTTTGGGGCCAACAAGAGCAACCCCAGCGGCTGAATTCGTCAAAGGTAATAAACACACAACAACTAGACGCAGACCCAATAAGGCCAAAGAGGCACGGCGGTAGAAACGCTAAGAATGCCAACGCCAAACGTATCCGCGAAGATCCTTCGCCAAAGTGGCTCATGTCCCGGCAGTTGTGGCTATGGAAACTTGATGATAGTAAGTAGAGAAAATATGTCTTGATATAGGCATTCGTACAGGCTGATTCTTATGCTTAATCCAAAGATACCATCATCACGGCGATACCGTCTCGAGCAAACGGAATGACGGCCGATACCCTTCTCGAGACCATACGCCAGGGTAACCTGGATATCCTCACGACGCCGAACGACCTCATTAAGCGTATACTATATGAGACAGTGACGTTCCTTGACGAATTCAGGTGGGCGGGACTTGGTAACCATATCCTAGATATCTTCGAAGGAGAGATTGCGACTGAGGTAAGCCTTTAACCTGATCCCCCAGCAGACAGAGCTACGTACGTACCTACCTACATTAACCAACTTTTGTAGACGGACCGAGAGGCCGGGTTCTTCAAGAACTTTAGCAGTGGCAATTGGAGTCCAAATAACGTCAATGGGTTTATACAAGAAGCTGCCCACTGCACCTATAGCGTCAGGGACATCCGAGACGAGCTTCACCTGCTACGGCAAGTCTTCGAGACACAAGCCAAGGTAGTTGCAGACTTTGCAGCGATATTTTGGCCTAGCAGTACCTCTGGAAATCAAAAACAGGGAAATATTGCTTCAAGGGACTTGCGGGAAAGCTTTATTCGCGATTGTGGTCTCCAGTCGCTCATCCACCGAGTCAGGCGAATGGAAAGTGATGCGTCAACCACACTTGAGGGGGTAGGTGTACGAGCGGGAAACCCAAGTTCTCCCTGCATTTTTTCTTTTCCTTGCATCTAAACAGTACTCTTCATGGTTGTTCTAACCATGATGTTTACCTAGTTGAGTACCATCATCCAAGCAATGCAGGCCCAGGCATCCCTCAAGGAAGCTGAACAATCACGGTTCTTGAATCTCATGATTCTACCCTTCACAATTATAACAGTCATATTTGTGAGCTTGAATCTTCTGTCGTGACCACATAACGACGTTGCTAATATGTCTGTTGGGCAAACAGACCCCGCTCTCTTTCCTCACGAGCCTCTTCGCAGTGAATACTTTGGGTTTCCCGCACAATGACGACGGCGAACTACGATTGCCGGCCTCGTGGTTTTCTTGGAGAATGGGTACGTCGCCATCAAGTACTGATACGATATCCCCTCATTCTAACCACGTCTTAGTCGTCGGTGAGGTTTCCTCTCTGCTTCCCCTCGGGCTGCTGGTCCTCCTGATATACTTTTGGTATGGAAACGAGAGTGGTGAGTCTTACATCCTGCGCAGGGACAACTTGTCATTTTCCAATAGCTAACTATGGATAGATACTGTTCCCACCCAAAATACGGCACGGAAACGTTCAAGCCTGCGCAAAGTAGTGAATCGGGAACAGCAGCAATGTGCTGATGTTTAACCCCTGAGACCTAGATGGCCGCTCAACAATAAAATTAGCTTCATAAACTACTCCGTATAGACTATTGCCTATACAATTTAGAACGTGCTAGCTTATAGCTTTAATATGGCGGTCGTGTATCACTCTACTAACTCCTACGAAAGGTGTCGTGGTATGTTGAAAGGAGCGGGTTGGAATATATATTTCTTGCAACTTGATCATATTAATTGGCACTTTATTGAGAAGAAATAACTACCAGGAAATATAACAATCCCGGAAGGATATAATACAGTTACCGAGTGATCACGTGGATCAAACATTGAAACCAGCAGCTTTCCGAAGGCGCTAGTCCCTGGCTGGTTTTGGATGACCTCATCGGTACTAAAAGCGACCTTGTTTTTAGCCATAATAGGTGGGATGGTTCTTAAATCGGTTTCAAGTACGATGGATGGTAGCGACTAGGCCAATCAATTGTATGCTGCATGGTGACGATACAAGTTGTAAAGATTGTTGTACATAGATGTGATGCGACAATTGCCGCCTTGGGGGCGAAGCGCCGCGAGTCTCATGAGCCGAATGCATTTCTCATTGCTAAATGCTAATGGGCCGTATGTTAGGTACCTAATGTAGGTACTATGTAGGTCAGCGGTTAGGTATCTGCTTTAGCTTGCCTCGTTGCTCGTTGACATCACTTTAGTCGCATTCTCTTAGCGCGGAGACGCGATGCAACTCTCCGTAGGTACCTAGGTACCTACGTTATGCAAGGTTATTTGAAGCGGGAAACCTGAAAGTGTTCAAGATCGGCCTCGGTCGAGATCTCATTAGAGGTAGGCAAGACCTCTCCGGCTGCCTTGGAAACCAAGCTAACATCTAACATCTCTATCAAACATGTTGTCATCTCTATCAAACATGTTGTAAGTATCATGAATATGTGTTGGTTCCTTTTTCTTCCTTTTTTGCATTTATCTTTTTATATACACAGCCTGATGTATATTATATACCTATATATATTGTAAGTGAGTGCATATAATTATATTTACCTAGGTACCTACCGTATCTAGATATGTATTTGACGCGACATCGTAGATGGTTGTACTGCATAGCATGCAAAAAGTAGTGTAAGAACGGAATCCTGCAGCTGGATACGAAGTACGGAATCTGACCTCAAATCCAACACGGAGTTCTTGGTAACCTGTGAAAGTCAATGCCACCTGCACACGCTGGTACATAGGTCTCGGCAGTAGCCATGCTCCGACCCGATACTCAGCTTTTGTTGTCCCTCTGGATGCAGGCTTAGCTGAGCCCCGAAGTGATGCGTATTTAGGTCAAGATGCTTAATTGAGTGCCATGCACCTTACCACCTGCGTGCACCTTAGGCGCTCTTGGTAAGGCAGGTAGTACGCAATAGGTGTTCCAGACCTTGGAAATTCATCTAATTTCCACTGCTTCGTCTGGGTATTTCTCACTACCTAAAAAGCACTAACAAGCACTGACCACACAGCATGTATGTACATACAATACCTACATAGGTACTTTAACGTCACTACCTACGGGCTGTCGTCCAGGCGATCAACGCTAGGTTGCGATCGGACGGCAGAAAGTCCTTCCCAACAGCCTATGCAGGTATGTACCTATTCGCTATTCGACTAACATCGAAGTTAACTAACATCGAAGTTACGTACCTTCTTGCTGGCTTCCATCCAGTCTATATTGTTTTGCTCTTGTTTTTATATTGTTTTTGCATTGCGCTTCCAACCTCTCCCTTTTCCATGTTAGCTATCCAGCATAGAATGCTTCAAAGCCGCTTTTCGATCTTACTTAGCGATTACGACCCGAGAGTACCAAACTTCAAACTTCCTTGTTCCTTGTTAACCGTCGTTTCATCAACCAGGCCGTTTCAATATCGCCTACGACCGCCTACGACCGCCTACGTCCTAGTCACTTCCACTACTCGCAACGTATCCGCTTCGTTACACAACTAATACCAGTTTCCTTCCGATGAACTGATTTTTTAACCTTTCCTGCACTCCATATCCTAACACGATTAACCTTCCGCTGCCGCCTAAGCCCTAGCTCAAGGTTCACCTATTTAGAGTTGGACCATCCCGTCGGTCTTCCACTGTGTTTGTAACTCAAGTTTTGCGTTGGCAACGTTACGGCGACCTTAGAAAGTTCGAATTGTTTTCATGAGAACGGAATTCCTGCGCTGTCTATCTACCTTCCCATGTTTAGAGGATTCGATCTACGCGATCTGCACAACCCATCTATATACGATTGTCCTACGCTTTGCGAAAGCTAGAGTTTCCCCTACAATAAACGAACGATTCAATAATACGTGAAATCCACATCTATCTGCAGGCGGCCATCTTTCGCCGTTCTCACGGTTCTGATATGGACCAGACGGGGCAGCTCCTCGTCGCGGCCAACCACATATACGCCAGAGCGAACGAGACAAGCAATGACCCCGCGACACAAACCCGACCACCCGCCTACAAGGCCATCGGTATATCATTGGCAGTTGCGTCTGGTTGCTTCATCGGAGTATCATTTGTGTTAAAGAAGGTTGGATTGCTCAAAGCAAACGAAAAATACAATGAGGTCGCTGGCGAGGGTTATGGCTATCTTAAGAACGCCTTCTGGTGGGGTGGAATGACTTTAATGATTATCGGCGAGCTTTGCAACTTCGCTGCCTACGCCTTCACAGACGCCATCTTGGTAACGTCACTGGGAGCTTTATCGGTCGTTATCACAGCCGTTCTCTCGGCCATATTCCTAAAAGAGAGACTGAGCATGGTCGGCAAGGTTGCATGCTTTCTCTGCATAGTTGGATCCGTGATTATTGTCTTGAATGCCCCTGAGGAATCTTCTGTGGCGAACATCCAGGAGTTACAGAAATTTGTCATTACGCCGGGGTTTCTAAGTTACATCGGTGTTATTATAGTTGGTTCTGCCTTTGTTGCGTTCTGGGTTGCGCCACGATACGGCAAGAAAAATATGTTTCCGTATATCTCAATCTGTAGTTGGATCGGAGGGTTGAGTGTCGTCGCTACCCAGGGTCTTGGTGCTGCTATCGTTGCGCAGGCCGGCGGCACTGCTCAGTTTAACCAGTGGTTTACATACGTTGTCCTGGTCTTCGTAATAGCGACACTGGTGACGGAGATTATTTATTTAAATGTGAGTTCGCTGCAATTTTATGGTAAAGGTATTCTAACTTTTTTTTTTTAATAGAAAGCACTCAACCTATTTAATGCGGCTATGGTTACCCCGACTTATTATGTCTATTTCACAAGTACGACTATCATTACTTCAACGGTCCTCTTCCAAGGTTTCAAAGGTACCGCGATGCAAATTGTTACGGTGGTCATGGGATTTCTTACTATTTGCGCTGGTGTTGTTCTGCTGCAATTGTCAAAGTCTGCCAAAGATGTGCCAGATGCTGCAGTTTTCGCTGGGGACTTGGACCAAATCCACACGATTGCCGAGCAGGAACAGCCCGAAACCGAACCTAAAGCCGACGCCATTCGTGGAGCCGCCGCCATTGTGCGGCGCATTTCTCTTGCTCGACAGAAGATGGAGGAAGAGGAATTCCGGCGACTTCGCGAAGAAAAAGAATTAGAGCGTCTCGCGCCAGTCAGTGAAGATGGTCAACAATACGAGTGGGATGGGTTAAGACGGCGGAAGACTGGACTTGGAAGTTATAGGAGCCGTGCGACAACATCACCAAGTATCGTCAACACGCCAGCCCATCCGCCTTTGGGCAGATCAAGATTTTTTACTGAGGAAGAGTTAGCCGAAGAGCGTAGTCGTCAGGTGTCACCGGGTATGCTATCAAGCATAGCCGGTACTATTCGAAGTCGGGCGAGGAGCGTTTTGCTACCAGGACACCCCGATTTTCCCCAGGACGCTCACGATCCTAGGATTCAAAGTCCGATGCACCCGGTACAGTTGACCGATATTGCTGTTCCGGGTCAGAAATACGCAAACGAAGCTAGTCCATATGGCACTAGCCACGGCAATATTTACGGTCTCCCGAATAGCCTACGGAGGACCGAATACGAAGGTGCAACTAGTATAGCTTCTGGCAGCACTGCGCGTCATATCCAGTTTACGGAGACGCCGAAGCCAAATGCCAGCGTATCTTCTCTGGCACCGCCGACACCGCCGCCTCACGGGGAGGTCCCTGTAGCACGTCGCCAATTCTCGTTCCAAAATGTATTCCGTCGGCATCAAGCTGACAGTATACAGGAGCAAGCGCTGCCGTCGCCGAGGAATTCGTCGTCGCGCCAAGGGATGGGATCGCGGGGTTACTCGGACCGACAGGTAAAGGTGAAGAACGCAAGTGAGGAAGAAAGATTAGGCCTCGTTAAGGGTGATTCACACTCGATGCCCACGATACCTCGATATGACGAGGATGATTACGACGAGGAAGAAAGTGAAGACGATTCATATTCAGACGATAAGAGAGCGGAACGGTATGGTAGGGGCATTACCAGCAGTCCGCCGAGGAGAGGAAGCGACGATAAAGAAACCGAGTACGAAGACTACGAGTCGAGAAGGTGGAATAGGGCTCGCAGCGATAGCGAAGAGACGGCATACCGCAGTTCACCACCACGACCACCAGGGCATAATCCCCCAGGGCATAATCCACCTCGGGGTAGAGATGGCGCCTTTATCTGAGGCCATGATAAAAGATCATGAGATATGAGTGATGCTGCATCTGTTCATTTTGTTTACTAGGTGGTTACACTTGCATACTTTATTGGCGGTCTGGCTGGATAGATAATGCTTGAATCATCATGTTTAGAACTGCACTTATTAGTGAAGAAACACTAATAAGACGCGGAACAGCACGTTGCACGGGATTACGGTTGGAGATAGAAATGTGTTTGCATCAATAGCAGGGGTTGGATATATGTAAGAAAACGGTTGTATTATAGTTACATAGGTATGGATGGTATTAGCTGGTAGGAAAATTATCGGAGATGTGTACATGTCTACACGTGCGAGCGGCTTTTATGGCAAGCTGATAACAGGTACTGAAAAGCAAACAAAATTCCATGTTACTACTTGATTCAATGATCCTTTTTTTGCTCTTTGTTTTATTTTGTAACAATGCTCAGCCCCTGACTAAAAGCTGAAATGTGCATTTCTATTATAGCCTAGTAGTGTCGATACTGTGATGTAGAATTGCGAAAGGCTATTGATATCTATCTTAATATAGAATAAAGAACTACCTGCCTAACCTAGTTGACTATAGCGTTGATGATATGAAAATTCTAAAATTAAACATAAAGATCGGAATGGTGCCATTATCGCTGTGGCACAAGTTACTGAGATACAAGGTACCTAAGGTATTTAAGTAGATAAAGATACCTACCTAGGTAGGTAACTTAGCATTAACGAGCCCTTTTTACTTCCGCACTAATAAGCGCTAAATCAAGTAGAGCAGGTGCATATGTCTGATATGTAGATAGGTATCCATAGTTTGTGATTACATAACAACCCCACATCAATCAATTCGATTCTATATACTAAGCGCAATCAATGCGAACAATTTCTATCCAGGTTCTACATAGAAAGCTTAACCCGTTTTATAGGTTTCTTCCCGTAACGTAAACTTGCGAATAATCTTCCTAGGAAGTAAATAATAGTATCACGCACCTCAACATTTTCTGTTATTTCTCTTCAACAGCGCATACACTAGAATGGACCCCTCCACTTCATTATTCAGTCCTTGTAGGATTTGTTACGGGTCCTTTCGTGTGCTTGGCATTTCAGGGGCTACTTAATGCTTGACCAATTCGGGCCCATCACAACCCTCATCTCTTCAGATGAGCCACTCCTAAATAAATGAATAATACAGTTGCCTAACCTAGATGCCTAGACCCCATCTCGCCCTGTTGGTCATCGGGTCATGGCGGATCTTTGTCTTTCGGCTTGCTGCACCGTGCCATCCAACTGGTACTTCTAGGCCTGGTCACTCTAATTTGCATATATTACCCGCTTGGCGCCATCCGACTCTCATAAAAAGTAAAATAAAAATAAAATAAGCATCGTCTCTCGCAGTCTCTCGCAGTCTCCGCCGTATCTCCCTTGGCAATGCCATTGTCGCATACTTCCCGCCCTCAGTAGGGCTTTTGATATATCATCTATGAGAGGATCACCGGTTGCAAGGCCGTTAACGCGTCCCGATTCGGCATGGGACGAAGGACGTATGGATTTCCGTCGCGCTCGATCTAAGCTCGCCGCGATGATGGTGGTGGACCGCGACTGGCTGTTGCACTACCTACACCATCGCCTAGTAAGGCGATTAATCGTTATAGGCATAATTGTTATCGGGCTCTTCATGGTCATCTTCGAGGTGACCCATCACGAATTATATCGATCAGCACCCTTTCAACGTATAGGCGGCCTTCTAGCGTCTGACAAGCCCGACGACCTGGCAGGAAAATGTACCACTTGGCCTGTGGATGCGAAGGGTCGATACACGCCCATTCCGCAAAATAGCACAGCAGGACTGAAGAGTCATGCCCCCAAAGATGGGTGGAAGAAGCCTGAGGGTATCAAAATCGTCGCGCTGGTCTTCTACGGCCGCAAGAGAACCGTCGACTTCTTAGACTGTTACCTACAGCAAAACCTCGCCGCGAATGGAGGATACCTTGACGAAATCCGGTTCATGGTACATACGAACAACGAAGACGATCTTAAATACTTAAACGGCCTTGTTTCTCAAAGGAAGGAGCACTATCACATCGTAGAAGCCGGTACTTGCGAAGGATCAAGTTATGGATGTATATGGGACTCGGTTGTGGAGGACGATACTATTTACGTGAAGATCGACGATGATATTGTAGGTTGTTCCTATGGCTACCAATAACCATGAAGTGTGGTTTTCTAACCCGCTTTATTCCAGATTTTCATCCACCCGGATGCTATTCCCCAGTTGGTTCATACCCGGATCGCAATCCCTCACCCCTTTGCCATTTCTGCGAATTTGGTCAACAGCCCTCTTACGGGCTATGAGCACTTCCATGTTGGTGCTATCCACGCCTTCCGGCCTGACCCGAGTGAGAAGCCGTCATATGCTGCCGCCGAGTCGTGGCGACCGTCCGAAAAGAGCCGTTTTCCAGCTTCAAGCCTGCCAGAGCTAAAGATCAGCAAGCCCAAGAGCATAGCGATGGATGACGAGATCTACCCCAAGCCCCCGTATAACGGTCACTCGTTCCTTTTATTACCGGACGCCCCCTTTGATCTAATGAAGACTCCGATGGGGCTCAATTATCTACGTGGAGGCGATAAGGGCGTCGAGACCATGTACGAGGCGGCGTGGAAGTCCTGGGCTATTGCGAGCCAGCAGCAATACTCGTTATTGAAGAACTTGGAAGATAATGCCATCTCACGTTACTTCTTCGGGTCGCCAATGGAGTTCCCTAACATTACGAACTCATCCGCACCGGTACTAAAGTACCAGGCACAAAACAAGGGAGGCCCTGGAGCAGAACAGCTATACAATACCCAGTACAAGCGTTACAACCTCAACTTCGTCGCCTTATGGGGCCACGACATCAAGAAGTCGCTTCCGATCGCCGGGGACGACGAGCAAGACATCACGGTCACGATCCCGAAGCGAACGCGCCGGCCATTTATCATCGATACGCGCGCCGTAGTCGGGCACCTGAGTTTTTACCCGCAGCACAACGGAGTAAAAACTACCGATCTGCTGGATCGATGGCGAAGTTTTGCCAACGAGATGATATGCACACCACATAATCAAAAGAAACCGTTCGATATTCGGTGCCCGGGGTTTTGAGGACCATAAATAGATGATGTATAATAGGAAACGTACAATGATGAAACCTTTCTAATTCATGGCGTATGATTTGTTTATCACCGAGGAGTTCCCATTTTGTTTTGTGCGACTTGGTGAGCTATGCTTTTTTTTTTTTTTTTTCTATTCTGCCCCCCTATGCGGGATATGTGTTTATTGAGATATTGCTTTTAATATCCAAGCAATGGCACTAATGGCTCGAGGGTTTACGAACGAGTTTTAGGTGTAGGATTAGATATCGTGCAAAGGGCTCGAGGTTAACGAATGCGCACGATTGTAATATCATACTTGTATCATACTTGGAAGCAAATAGTCAGCAGTCACTATTTCATCATTGCGTATTCCGTATAGGTAGGTAGCTACCCCTATTCGGTCCGAGGCCCGAACTAAACCGAGGCCGTAATTATAGTTTATCAATTATAAAGGTTCGTCTTTTAAGATTTATGCGAGAAAGAAGCGAGGTGTCAAAGGCAGAAGGCGTATGTACCTTATTCATATTGTCTTGCTTCTTGGTTGTCTTTGATGAAGCGTGCTTATACATAAGGCTTCCATTGTCTATGAGCACATGGTATGTAGGTATTTATGGATGTGTCTCCTAGAGACGGCTTTGTTGCTATACTTGTGATGACCACGTGGTTGTAAGCGAACTTTCTCTTTTACATTGCTCGAGTTGTTTGTTCTTGGTGGTAGGGCGCAGAATAGTGTCGGGCCTCTACAGAAATCGCCTCGATCGTCATGCGGACCACAGAGGCGTGGACGCTTAATCTGTCTATCAAGGTGTTGTTTACTAATAATGGAAGTGACGAAGAGATAGCCAGAGAGGAGTGTGGAGGGTTTCTTTGGGAGGTAGGGGTCTCAATGCATAGTCGATAAGACGTCCATGTATCGAATTATGTGGTATACTGTTGACAAACCAGTTGTTACCTTGCCATATACAGTATCTAGGTTTTTATAAGTTGTTCATATTACATTATGTATCCTGGTGAGATGTGAAGATTAGCGAGAAGCCCCTTAAAAGAAACTTCATTGCGAGGTAGACATGCCCCCCAGAAAAGATTCAATAAAGCATGTCACAGTTCAAGGTACGAATTCAGGGCCACTTACATCTCCAGATGAATACATACTCTCCCTAAATAATACTTACGATACTAAATGTCTACGACTAAACTAATCAGGTAGTCATCGCGATGCCCTACCCTTACGTACGTTAACTCTTATCCTCGCCCCGGCGGTCGTATACTCAAGAATTTGCACGCCATGTAATCTCTACGACTTACTCTTAGAAGCACGGGAGAATACATACCTTGGTTCCGCCGTACCGCACTTACCGGCGTGCCGGAGAAAGCTACGAGGGAGAAAGCGGCATATCTACGACTTACCCCTGGGTTCCGCTAGGTCCCGCCTCGGACGAACCACCAAACATATCAAAATACTCGGTAGTATTCCATTCGGGCGGCACGTATGACGGGGGAGACTGGTCTTCTACAGCGGGCCAGTCAACTGGTGGAGGCTCATCGATAAAGAATGGGGATGGGGGGTTAGGTCCCGGGGGCGAATCAAAGTTGATCGGTTGAGCGCCGTGATTCGCTGGTGAGCCATGTCCGGCCTGCTGTTGAGAGTTATCAGGTTGCGTTTGATGCGGGGACTCGTTTGGTATCGCATTATCATTTGTCCAGGAAGAAAGCAATTCGTTCAACTCCTGCTCGGTCAGTCCTTGTTCACCAGATCCCGTATGGCCTTGTGGGAAAGCAGACGATCCACCCTGGTGTAAAGGCGATCCTAGTGACGGTCCTGCAAAACTAGAGGGCGATTTCAATATGTCAGATGGTGATACATATCCCTGCGAGTCTTGCGGAACAACAGAGGGTTCTGCTACCGGTCCCGAAAAATCAGGATGCTCGAATGGTAAATCAAATACCGAATTGTCAAACTGCGGGACCTGCTCCGTCGGCTGAAGAGGGGGTGCCGAAGCTGATGATGGGAAATTCGACGGTGAAGGGATCTGGTTGCCAGGAGTTTCTGGTATCGGCTGTGCAATATTCAATGGAGAATAAATCGGTGTGCCTAGTTGAATAGCAGGATCGCCTGGTTCCTGTTCTGGAACATCTGGAACGTTCGGCGGCAATGGCTGAGGAGCTGGTGGTACCGGGTAGTTCACTTGCTGTCCTTGAGGAGGTGGTGGTATCCGGAGCGGCTGCCTATGCACATCCACATAACCGAGACCAACCCCTGAATATCCGTTCGAGGGCTGGTATTGGAGATGATAGTCTAGAGGTAACGCAGGACGACGAGCTGATCTTGAAGCGGGATAGGTAAAGACACCACCGTCTCCGAACCCGGTTCTCAAGTAGTATAGGGGCTGGTCGTCACCGGGAACTCCTCGATGAAATGTCCCCTTAACAGCTCCGCCGTGACATGCCACTCCAAAGATGACACAGGAGTCGCACGGCCGTTTCCGGTCGCAGGGTCTGCCATATCGAACACACACATCGCAATGAGAATAATGGGCCTGGTCCCGTGTAGTGCCGGCGGAGTTGGATACCGTAGGTGGAACTATAAAAATAAGAGTCAGCATGTGATGACTTCAAAGAGATTAAAACTAGAAAAGGGGGGGGGAGAAAGGTGGAAAAGAGAATTTGGAATATTACTTACGAGCTGCTCCATCAACTATACACTGCACTCCCCAACTGCTGCATTGGTCACACCCCCTAGGAATTGAGGGATTAGCGTTACATCTCCGGCTATTTGTACGCGTGTGGCCCTGCGAAACTCTACTAGCACACAGTAGACATTGCTGGCCTCCGTCGGTTCGTCGTCCGGAGATGTTAAGCCGCCTAGTGACAGTAGGGTCAAACGTGGACGGCTGAATGACGTCCCCGCCCCTGGTACGGAACTGCGCAGGGCTACGACTTCTCGGCCCCGCAGGAATAAACGTTCTCACCGGATTACTCTGCCTCTCCCTGCTTCCCTGCTGGCGTCCTGTAGAACGCGCAGGCAGATGACAAGTGGCGTCGAAGTGAGTATTGTTGCTGCCAAGAAGATACCTGGGATACAAACCCGGCGAGCCTCCTAGAAACCCGTGGGAGCACGGCTGGTTAGCACGCACACAGCTTGTACACTCCTCATAGGGAACACCACTCGGTCTATTCCGCCAGGAACAACCCAATATGTCTAATCTCGTACATCGATCACAACTTATCGGCTCCGTCAGGCCGTCAGGTCGCGGAGCCAGACGTACGTCGCCCCAACGACAAGTCCTGTCACCCTTCTTGCAGTGAGTGCAACCAACCCCTGGAGACACTCCTATCCAAGCGTCGCAAGGGTAGCCGGGGCGATCTGCGCGACAGGCGTCGCATTCGTTGATCGGATTCCCAGCAAGGTCCGTTGAAGGTGGACGAGTGCCCGACGGCCAGCAGTTTACCCAATTAGCTGGCAAACCAGCTCGCCGCTGGGGGGTAATAAAATCGTCGTCCCTATTACGGGTTGATGGGCCAGCAGCAGGGGCAGGGTTCTGAGTGAAATCTGCGGGAGTAGGAGCAACAGCCAGATCGGGATAAAGAGGAGCTGGGGCCGGAGCTGGATCAGGGAAATAGCTAGGGGCCGTGGATGGGTCATAACTGGGGATACTCTCAGGGAAAAAACTAAAAGTAAAATTAGAAGTAAAACCAGAAGTAAAACCAAAGCCAAAACCAGAGCCAAAAGCATACCCAAAGCTAGAACTGGAAGTATAACTAAAATCAAACCTAAATTTAGATTTAAAAATATAGCTAAAACTGGAATCGGAATTAGAAATATAATTAAATTTAAATTTAAATTTAAATTTAAATTTAAAACCAAAACTAAAGTTAAAACTAAAAATATACCTAAAATTAAAACCGGAAGTATAATTAAAATTAAACCTAAATCTAAATTTAAAAATATAGTTAAAATTGGAACCGAAATTAGAAATATAATTAAATCTAAATTTAAATTTAAATTTAAATTTAAAATTAAAATTAAAGTTAAAATTAGAAATATACCTAAAATTAAAACCGGAAATATAATTAAAATTAAACTTAAATTTAGATTTAGAAATATAGTTAAAACCGAAACCAAAATTAGAAATATAACCAAATTTAAACCTAAATCTAAACCTAAATTTAAAACTAAAATTAAAACTAAAGTTAAAAGCATATCTAAAGCTAAAATTGGAAGTATAATTAAAATTAAACCCAAATCCAGATCTAAAAATATAATTAGAACCAAAACTGAAATTAAAAGCATAATTAAATCCAAATTTAAATTTAAATCCAGATTTAAAACTAAAGTTAAAGCCAGAGTTAAAAGTATACTTAAAGCCAAAACCGGAAATATAATTAAAATCAAATCCAAATCCAAATCTAAAAATATAGCTAAAATCAAAACCGAAACTAAAAACATAACCAAATCTAAATCTAAATCTAAACCTAAATCTAAAACCAAAATTAAAACCAGAATTAAAAGTATACCTAAAACTAAAACCGGAAGTATAATTAGAATTAAACCTAGATCTAAATTTAAAAATATAACTAAAACTAAAATTAAAACTAAAAATATAACCAAATCTAAACCTAAATTTAAACCTAAATTTAAAACCAAAACTAAAACTAAAATTAAAAATATATTTAAAACTAGAATCGGAAGTATAATTAAAATTAAACCTAAATCCAAATTTAAAAATATAGCTAAAACCAAAATTAAAATTAAAAATATAATTAAATTTAAATTTAGATTTAAACCTAAATTTAAAATTAAAATTAAAATTAAAATTAAAAATATACCTAAAACCAAAACCGGAAATATAACTAAAATTAAATCCAAATCCAAATCTAGAAATATAACTAAAACCGGAATCGGAACTAGAAATATAACCAAATTTAAACCCAAATCCAAACCCAAATCTAAAACTAGAACCTAAGCCAGAGCTAGAAGTATAGTTAAATTTAAAACTAAAACTAGAAGCATATCCAAAAGCATAATTGGAATCAAACCTAAATCCAAACCCAAATCCAAATCCAAATCTAGATCCAGAAGTATAGCCAGATTCAAAACCAGAACCATAGCCATACGAAGGATCCGGCACGGGATTAAGACTTAGGCCGAAGCCTCCTGGAGGCGGCAGAGTAGAACTGCTTGCATCCGGTCTGTTAGGGTCATACACGGTACCCACAAGACCAGCAGTATACGACGATTGCCCCAGATCTATTCCTCCCGTCCCTGCGGGAACAGCGGAATTATTGAACGCCTGAGCGTATCCCTCCGAGTATGATAGCGGCTGCGGCTGCGGTTGAGCTTGAGCTTGAGCTTGAGCTCCTCCCTGCTGCTGCTGCCGATCATGCTCGAGCAGACGCGGGTCGATGAACCTATCGTCGAACAGCTCAGGCTGAGCGGCCGGTTGCGGTTGCGGTTGCGGTTGCGCATACGGCAGCGAGTATCGCTGAGGCTGAGCGGCCGGCACGGGCTGGCCGAACGGTGTAGGTTGGGCGTACGGCGCAGGCTGGGGGTACCCCATCGACATAGGGGCGGGAGCGCCGGTACACGGTCGATTGGCGGCCTGGCATTGCGCACACCCCTGGGGGAAATTGCAGTACTGGTTGTAGACCATACACCAATCGCAGCTCGGGCTGGTAGGATAGTATCTCCTACGCCACTGGGCAAGCTCTGGAAGGCGGTTTTCGATAAAATAATAATTCCAAACTGTATCTGGCCTGAAGCCAGTTATCCGAGGGTTGAACGCATCCAGCGACAAGGGGTCGACGCCATCGTCTTCTCTTCGACGGACTCTTCCACGATTCATTTTGGATGAAATTCAAGCTTAAGGGTAAAGGCAATAAGATATACGATATGTTAAGTTGTGAGGTTTTTCGAAACTATGTATGTCTATTCGTTTTGTCGAATGATCATGCCGAGGTTCTTTTCTCACGATAGAGAGCGGAGCATGCTATTATATCGACGATCGATCGTCGGAAACAACGCAATTGATCGTTCTCATGCGTTGACGCCGGACAACTTTACTATTGCCAAACAACATCGCTGGGAGGAGAGGAGATGGTCTTCCGCTCTTTGTTTAGCAACATCCAAGAGCGAGTTGATTGTGTTTCTCTAGCAATATAACTTATCACCACACGACTCTATTCCTACCTGGGTACCGACCTATTCAGTCAGCCAAGATGAAGTTGCCTAAGCAATACAGACATGTAACTAGGTTAGGTAGTTAATAGTTATGCTTCGATTTTACTTACTATTATGCAGCCCTCTTGTGCTCAATACTATATGCCCTAAGATTCATTAAACATGACGATATGCAAGGGGGAGGTAAGTGACTTGATGTGCTGTATAATTCCTTATATTACCAGATTTCTGAGGGGCAATATATCACAAGTATGCGGCTTTGGGCTGGACCTAGGAGTGGACATGCACAGAGACAGGTTTTCTGAGACCAGGTTATTTGAACTGACGCCTGAACTTGAAATGGGGGAATCTATGATGAAACCACTAAAAAAAAACGAAGATGAAAATAAGTGAAGAACATTACAAGTAGTGAAATGACCAGCAGGAGAGATCATCTTCCACATCATCTGCGATGATCTGGACCTGAGAAGGTCCACGCGAAGTATTCTGTACTCCTAAACGCGTCGTCCACAAATCCGCATAGACAGCGTTGTCTTCTCGGGTAATAGTAGATTAACCACTCGATTTGTCCCTTTATTCCCCTTTTCAGATGCTGATGATTTTGCTTGGTCCCATAATAAGCTGCAAGACCCCGACTCCCATTACCATGCAACAATTTTGCATCGATCGAACCGACATATACGTCCCGAACCCGCTAAGGTCGTTCATAGCGCTCATGTCGGATGCGCATAGACACAATCGCATACGCACCCTACACATGTCCAGGTAGGTAAGCACCCACATCTTCTCATATGCGTTGCTCAATCAATGAACCGATTATTTTCGCACCATCTTGAACCACCTCATAGGACTATGCACTTAGAGCAGCAACCAGCTTCGGCTTCGCCCTCGCTCACTTCCATCTTAGTACCCGGGCCATTCATACCACCGTTACCGCCACTGTTTGTCGACAGACCTTGCATGTTACGGTTGTAGTTGCGGATTTCTCGAACGAGATCGAAAAATGCCTTGTCGACATTTGTTCGGGACTTGGCGGAGGTCTCAACGAAAGGACATCCGAATTGCTTCGCAAGAGCCTCACCATCTATGACATATGTTAGCAAGAGGATAGACAATAGAAAATGCAACAGATTTAAATACCTTGTCGGGGGACCTCGCGTTCGCTCTCTAGATCGCACTTGTTGCCCACCACGACCATCGGGAAATAGTCTGTAGGATCCTTGTCTTTGACTCTTAGAATCTGTTGTTGAAAAGTGCGGATCTCCTCAAAACTTTGATCGGATGTGATGGAGTAGACTAGAAGGAAACCTTCGCCGGTGCGCATGTACTGCTCCCTCATAGCCGAGTATTCCTCCTGACCGGCTGTATCAAGCACATCGAGTAGAGCGACTTCGTCATCGATAACGCACTGCTTACGATAGGAATCTATCGATAGTAAAACATGTTAGTCCAGGACATTTCACAAAGAGCCGAAAATGATAGGATTTAGACTCCGACGAACCTTCAATGGTAGGATCATATTCGTCAACGAAATGGCTCTGTATCAATTGAATGGTCAGGCAGGATTTGCCTACGCCTCCTCCGCCGACTACAACCAGCTTGTACTCTCTTAAAAACTATACAAAAAGGATCAAGTTAGCAATCAATACCCCGATTAGAAAGAGGCGCGCGAAAAGGGAGGACAAACCTTGGATGCCATTGTGAATTCGCCAATTGGCAACAACGCTTCGTTCTACTGATAAATATTCGAACTGAGTCGAGAAGTAGAAGGAACCGATAGAAATTTGAGTCAAGGGACTGCGGTTTTGATGCAGCACCGGTACAGCTAAGATTGTCTCAAATGGCCGGACAAAGGATTTTGTCGTCACGGATTCGGCGGGAGTTTAAGCGACGGGATCAGATGAACAGAGATATTTATGGAGAGGTGTTGTAAGATTGTAAGATTGAAGATTGTAAGATGATGGCCGTCGGCGATGAAGTAAATTGTGGTTAAGAAGTAAGAAAAATAGAGGCGAGAGGCGTTGCCGGATTACGGCAGTATCTCGCGGGAAGGAGGGGAAACGAAAGAAAGGGATTACAAAAGTAAAAAAAGGATCGGGACGGATCTTGGTGATACAGGTAGAAAAAAGAGAAGATATCTCGTCGTGTGCATGTGTATGCGTCCGTGGATCACTTTAGGGATCACTTTAGAAAGCAGTGACGGCGACTGGAAGAAGGGGGGAGTGATTTCACTACGCGGTTACTTTTTGGAGGTAAAGAGAAGGAACTCATGGGGGGCGCTTGATTGCTTTGGTTGCTTGGCCATAGCACTTGCAAAGGGGGTGGGTATCTAAGCTAGGTACCTACCAGGCATAAGCAGACATGGAAGATATAAAAGACAAGGAGAGAGGTACTTGGATGTACTTGCAAATATGTGTATACTTGCATATGTTTAATGTACATAAATGTGCACGTAGGTACTCCGACGCACATACGATATCAGTGGGGCAGGCGAGGATCACGGACCAAACGAAATTGATTGGACATTGGCTGTTAAAGTTTCTCATATGGTTCCCAGCGCTTTGATTAACAGGCACGGATCACCAGGTTAGTCAATTGGCAGGTGGGTAACCTCTTTTAATTCCAAGAGTGGACTACGCTAAACTAAAGCAGGGAATGACCGTTAGTAATTTACTACCTGTACACGTGTATTTGCAAATGTGCCTACATAATATCTCTTTACGTAAGCACAATATATTACCTGATGTGGAAATGCTTGAGTTTAATGCACCTGTCCGTCCGCCCTGATATTTTCTATCAGAGATGAGATAGGTAGAAAGGGAAACATTACAGTACATAGTGTAGATTTGGTTGGATATAAAAGAGCCGATACCCCAGGCACTTAGCTAGCGCATGTACCCTGCCGGACTATGTGAGATAGCTATGGTTAAGCGCTACACGTACGAGCTAATAAGATGAGATAAGGTACCTGAGTACAATACACAAGTTACGATATCTATTTCTCTACAATTGCTGTTAATGGTAGCTAAACCATAATATTACCTAGGTATTGGAGAGGTTTATTATATGGACGTGTAGATTAGTATTTAGGTACCTATATCTATCTGTACTTATCGCAGAGCTAAACTACATGTATGACTTGAATATATGTATAACTACCTTATGTAAAAGTACTTAATGTAAGATGATTAAAAGGAACCTATCTAATCATCGGTTAGGTAGGTAGTCAATGCTATCTTCCGTGTGTCTTGCGTCAGCTTTGATACATATATACGTTGCCTCAGTTCAGATGATGCTATGTACCTAGATGTAAACGATAAAACACAAATCTCTCGCTCTAGCAAATATATTAGGTAGGTACGGACTTGATACATACCTGCACCTACCTAAGCTATAGTATATTCGGTATATCGATGTACTAAAGAAAGGAGAACTTGACCTTCCCCCCCTTCCTTCTTTCCTCCTCCCCCCCCCCCCCTAGACCTCTTCAGCGCCTCGGCGACCACTTACACGTCTTTACGAGCATCTGGATTCGATAGTCCACCAACCTTAAAATTCCAGGTCACATCTTATCAGAGGCTATATCATACTAACAACTACAACGTGCACCTAAAATTCAACCCGCTCACTCCATTCCGACTCGCTATAAACTTTCTATCCTCCATCCCACATGTTGGTCCTTTTCTTCGCGCGCCTATCATGGCCCATATCAACCAATAAACCCGCCAACTAAGATCATTCGAGTTCTCGATTAGGATTGTCAACGAGCGCCAACTGGATGGCTTCCTATATATGTAGGTGATGTGTAACTTACATACATACATACAACTCCCACTTTGTGCGTTTGCACGGCCGGAATATCCATTCTTTGGGTCGATGTCATCGACCACATCACCATCGGCACATATATACATATACACACACATACATACACATACACATACGCGAACCACTGCCGTCCTATGTAGGTAGGTAGGCATGTAAAGCAGCCGCCCTAATTGCTTCTTCCAAGGCGACCACACACCGTTCTTGTCGCTCAATGACAGCTTCGCGTGAAAGGACGTACATATTGACAGCCTCCAAAAAATATCAACCAGCCCACCTCTGTTGAACCCCACTGGTAATGCTGGTAAATGTAACCCTGAGCGGTGAACTGGCTTAGAACGTCGACCGCTAGCCCATCATCCTTTCATCCCATCATATTTTCTTCAACGACGCGAAGCAAGGCGAGCGCCAGCGCCAAACCAGCTTCCCCATCGATCAGCATCCTACATACATCCTATGGGCAGGCATCATGGGTCCTTACGTGGACAATCGTCCCGACTCGCTCAACATTATTACGATATTCAACAGCGCCGATTATTACAGTCATATTTTCCGTCTCGTCTCAGCTCGGTTTCTGTAAATTTGATTGATTATTTTAAAACATATTCATAACCATGAACAAATAAACTCTTGTTCCAGGGACTCAAAAATAGAGCGAAATAAAGGCATTTCCGTTGCCCATGAAAACAAAGGCGCTCTAATTTTTAATCCAAATTTTTAATCCACAAGGACAATGTGACACGGGTCTAGAATTGGAAATGAGTTTCATTTCCTTTCTCTTATATACCTAGGTAGGTAATGAACAATTACACTTAGCCTTGGTCTTAATAATACCCGAATCGATCCATCAACGCGACACGATGCGATCGTGACAAGGTTACCCAGCATTAACCCCATCAATATATCCAATATTGTATCTACCCTCAGACGCTGGATTTTCATGATCATTTTTCTATTCCAGAAACCAGAACCATGGTCCATTTTTAACTTTTCTAGAAGCTCACTAATCATGTATCTCTCATGCATGTACTGTCATGGGTGAGATGTTCTAACCAGAATAGTCGCCTTCTACGCAAGGGTTGGCAAAATCAACCCCGCGAAGACGGGCAACTGTCCGGCCACGCCGAGAAGGAGTCCGAAAAGAATATTTCATAAAAGCTGAGCGACGCTTTGCGTAGGCCAATTCCGGAAGGAACCATCTTGTTCATGCAATAGAAGAGGAATCGAACGACAGAAGATAATAACATTTACAGATCGGCCGAATTTAGCTGTACAATCATCGAAGATCTCCTAACACCTTCTCCATCTATGAAGGAGCATAGAAGAATAGCGCCGAGCTGTCGGTAGGTCTCTATCAAGAAGTCGGACTAACAATATGTATGCCTAGGTAAGCGTCGAGGCTGCGACCTCGGGCTCATCATCCTCTCCCTCATTTTGAACCCGCTTTCCTTGGACTTTCTGCACAACCTCCGGTACTAAACTCTCGATATACTCCTTGTCCCTTCCGACAAGAGTAACTGTGTTGTTCTTCCTGCCCCATCGAGGATAGCTTCCGACTTTTACATCCTTATGCGCGACTCTGGCTGCCAAATCGGTGAGGTAATCGGCAATAGCGCTCTCACCCATCGGCGTAGAGATGATAGCTCTAAAAATGCCTTTGCCCTCGGGATCTACTAGCCGGTCGACTATAAACGGCTTGAGACCTTGCAAAAGGCTTTCGACTAGTAGTCATTAGTATTGCGGCGCAGAAGTTCAACCCAATTTAGCAACTTACACAACTTTGGTACACCTGGGAGAATATGAATATTCCCGTTTACTACGGAAATAGGAACCCAAAGATCGTCACGTGGAAATAAGGCCTGGTTTGCCAGGTCGCGTGACTCGTCAGTGGGTAGATGGACCATCCTAAGCCGGGCGGTTTTGGCTGGGGATTCTACATCCCAACTGAAGTTCGGATGAGATTTGCTCGGCTTGGTGAGTTTCTTCATCCGTTCATACGCCTCTTCGTGCAATATGAGTTTCAAGTCGAATGCCTTGGCGATGGATTGGTAGGTAATATCGTCATGTCTATTTCAGGTAAGCTTTTTGTATAAGATGACGATAAGCTTTCTAAGCTTACGTCGGTCCTATGCCACCACTAGAGAGGAGTCAGTTTCGCTGTTTACATGGCAAGGGGCAAGATCTTTCCAGTATAAGTAATACCTTGTCACGACAAAATCATAGCGGCCACTCATTCTCCGTACCGCTTCTACGATCTCATCCTCGTCGTCTTCAATGACCTCGACTCTCTTTAAGTTCTATAACAGCACATTCACTTTAGCGTACGTTTATAATAAGAGTTAACAGCCGGGGCTCTTACTATGCCTAGAGAAAAACACCACTTCGCCATATAGGCGGAGTTTGTCTGATATAAGGGGTTAGTCTTCGGCATATCCAATCATGGTCTGTATAGAATTTCACATCAGTTGTCTAAGAGAGTTAGCTAGAAGCACATCATATAAGATATCTAGCCGGATGGGACAAGACTCGTACCTTTCCCCCGAGAACTTCATCGCCAATGATTAAACAAGCCGCTGTATGTATGGTTCTCGAATTCCGCTCATCTGCCGAAGCCATGATTCTCGATGCCAGACCGCTGGTCCTGAATGCGGATAGATGACTGAATCCGGGGTGAGGTCTCGAAAGATGACGAGCGAGCTGCGACAATCGTGAGATCATAAAAGAAACGGTTCTCGAGGTATTGTGTAATGTACTTCCTACTTCTCGTCCGTGACCGTGGACAATAAATAAGAAATTAAATGCAATCCGACTCCTCTCTAAGAACACAGTGGGATCTAGTAGAATAAAGTGTAAATACCTAGTTGGCGAAGTTGAAGTGAGACTCGGGGAATAAGCGGGATAGTCGGGGACCGTTTGGTCCCTCCCCTAAGCAAAGCAACATACAGTAAGGCAAGAGTAACATAATGGAACTAATAAGCAGCTAAAGCACCTTAGGTAAGCGTGCACTTTTACTAGGTATCTAAACACGGAATATCCTTGGCCGACATTCGCTCGGTAGTAGACGTTTTACTCACTAAAATGCATGATGACGATAGTACCTTAGGTACCTAACATATTAAATTTATTACACGTTGTACAAAGTGCCTAAGTACCTAACCTTGGTCTATTCGGAAGCCTTGGGTATAGAAAATTTGAAAATGCTCCTCATCAAAGAGATGGAGATGCCCGGTGATAAATATCTAGTCTTAACGCATTCCGGCACCGGACAAGCTGCCGATTGAATTCAACTCCTACCCCAGCGCTATCGCTTTACTTCGTCTTAGATGCCAACTTAACAGGCGCTCCAAACTTCTCTTTAATCTCCTCCTCGGTGAAGCGTCGCGTGCAGCGCTTGAGCAAGGCGGCGCGCTGCTCGATAGTCATGGCGATCTGCTTCTCCCCAATCGGTACCATGCACCGTGCCAAGTGCTCGTAATCGTGTATCAACAATCGAAATGTAATTTCTAAGTAGTCTATATTATGGAAGACGAGCGCGTGTTCCGCGCTGTAGGTCTGTTTGTTGGCCAGGAAGTGCACGGGGTGTTCGCGCCAGTGCCGTAGAGGGTTTAGATGATGCGACGTGTGATACCCGTCATTGAAGCAAAATCTATTGCTCTACGAGTTTGATATCGTTAGTGATAAGCAAAACATATACGGCGTGTTATAGCCCAGCGAAAAGGAGTAGAACTCTAGGTTAGACGAATGACTAGGCCGAAGGGAAGATGGGAACTTACAGGGACGTCTATCAAGGTAATGCTGGATCGGTAGTCGGAGTCGGGCTCGTCGGCGTCCACAAGGGCGTGTTGGCCCCAGTTACCTATCATGAGTCCTAAACGAAGCAACATGAACGGGAGCAAGAATACGAAGAACGCCGGACGACTATTCAGCCGAAACAGAGTCAGGAGCATAGCATAGCTGGATAGCTCCCAGAACGCCGTCTTTAATGCGAACGTAAGACGATCTTTCCGGAAGAAGTACAAGGGTAAGTCCAACCAGACGAAGAAATAGAAACGGCCAACGTAGTGGAGAAAATGCCAGATGTTGTCGCGTTGGTAGCGGACAGTCGAGGAGAGGTCATCAGGCCCGTTGCCCTCAACGTGATCTAACAGCCGAGATAGACAGAATTAGCATTTGACCCTCTATCTTTATCAAAGGTCCGATGTACGTCCTATCCACCTAGCAAGTGCCGAGGATATGAGAAAATAGTAGAGTTGATATTTGCTTACTATCAAAGTGTTAGCCACTATACACGGAGGAACCTCGAAGACGACTTAGAAAACTAACCGGTGTTTAACATGATGGTAATAATAGCTATTAAACGTGTGGCCCATCAAAGGGTCGGTAATATACGGGAATATTACGTCGAACAGGTGGACCCAGGACTGTTTACGTAGCACGCCTCCTGCGTGAATATGTTGGTGCATCATTAACGTATATGTGCCTACGTAGTAAAACTGCATGGCAGCGTGGATAACCCCATGCACATAGGTAAAATGGTAGAAGAGCCATATTGCGCTGGGAACTGAAGTGGTGAAGTAGATGATCAGGTGAGTAACCATAATCACATCGCTATATTCTCATCAGTAGAGTCCTCACGAGAAGGCTTTAGATTGGGAACAAAACTATGACCACGCACTGCAAAAATGTTAGTATGCGTTGTGAACAATGGTATGATAAACCATAAGATGCGATGTTACTATACATACCCTGGGATGTCTAGCAATGCTCTGAGCCCATTTGATATATGGCATCAATATATACTGGTATACCACGGGGTGCAGTCGTGATGATAAATCTCGAAAGTCCACGGAACAGAATATAGATGGCTCGAACTCTTGGTGTTCCGGATCGTTAAGCGCTCTCATGCGAGCCAGGTCCTGCTCGTCCCTAGATGACGGGGCTCCATGTCCAAGGGCTATAATGAAATCCTAGTCAACACGGAACCCGGATCCGGAGTAGTCCCTTGGGTTCTGCCCCGACTCCCTTGTTTTGATTAACGGGATGGACCTACCTCCATCAACGGCCTCTTGGCCGGGTGTCGTAACGGCGTCTTTGTCAGACGGGCCGGTCCGCTTTTCTTGGTATTGCTTAATGTCCTCGGCAAGGTTCCGCAAGAGTAAAACATCGTTCGGAGGTAACTCCGGGCTGATAATAATCGTATCCATGATAAACCTGCCCAATAAAACGGATTGTTAGGAGGAAATCCTTTTCATGTCGTGAAAAGTAATGAGGAAATGTAGTTCTGAAGAGGGAAAGAAAACAAAAACTAGTAGGGAACAGCGTAGGACAGGGGGTGCATCACAAATGTACCTCGTATGTTTGCGGTCAAGGGGTATGTATAGGGGGAAGGAAAAAAAAAAAAAAAAAAAAAAAAAGAAGTGCAGACACCGACACTTGGACAGTTAATACATTGTAGGCAAGGATTGATAAGGTAGGTTGATAGGTTAGAAACAATACCAGCTTTCGCGCTATGTTTACTCACTTCCTTCTATAATTCAAAACTTGGTTCCATTAGTGACATATATGGCATACATTGTTTGAATTGAGCCATTCTATTTGTTTTATTCAAGAGAGACAAGTACATTCTAAAAAGGAGTTTGCAAAGTATTTCATTCAATTCGAACTAGTGCGAAATTCGCAGCGGAATTGGCATCCCACAAAACTGCAGGTCCTAGGACGCTTTGAGCGTACAAAGGCATGTTGTTCGATGATAAGTCGGCATTTGGTTCGCTTATAAATGAGCCTAAACTTATATGGGAGTAGCGCAGGGGACAAGAATTGAGGATCTAGATTCGGCATGTACATATTATCTGATACGACGTTGACTTGTTGAGCCGCACACCTTGTTTTTTTATAACCAGATCGGTTCTGTGTATGAGCGGAATAAATCGGAGATATCGGTAATAGTTATCAGAGATGAACGTCTTTATATAGTTAAAAACAACTTATCTACGAATTCCCTGCATTTTAATTATCGAGCTTGATAGCGCGTTTGAAAGTTATTTCATTTATCGGCCTTATCCCGTCATCTTCGGTGGCAACGCGCCTTATATTGTCTTCGATGACATGCCTCTTGTTTAGCCGAACTTACTATCTTAACCCGCTAGATGCCGTCCAACTAATTTCTTGGCTTACAAAAAATCAAGAAAAATAATAGTAATAAACAATCGCGCTCGAAACTATCACCTTCGTTGCTGGGGTATCGTTGAGATATGATGCAGCACAACCCGCGTTCGGCCTATCCCTTTTCCCAGGTTGCCGTTAAGCCCTAAACCTGTGCTCCGATTTTTTGTTGAAAAATCTGGACCCCGTTTCCAAACGCCTGGATATATGCTTGTTGAAATGGTAACTCCCTTTGTCCGCCTGCCGAATGCTTGTTGAAAAGTGCAATGACGCCGTTCCCTGTATCAATGCCATGCTTATACCACAGCAATTGCTCCGTTTTCCCTGACAGCTTAAATGCCGTTCGTCTCCTTATGAACCCCGTTATGCTCTCCGTTGACAGGTGCCACGGGCACATTGATGTCTTTGACGGTTAACCCATCGAAAAGCTCAAATATAGTTCGTGGTTGATGAAAGTCGTTGTTGACTACATAATCTGTATTAGTATTGCTCTCTTCTAAGGGTCACGGGGTAGCTTACCGATGTTAATCAAATACCACTCGTTCATGATCCTTTCGATCAAGATGCGACTAGGTGAGTTGGCATCGTGACAATGGGCCCAATCCATGCCAAGTCTAAATGCTTCGTCTTTCCAAGCTAAGAAACTAGTACTCTCGACAATTGTAGGTTGTACGATCTCTTTTCCCGGGAACACTCCCCATGTGACCGCATTGGGGCCTTCAGAGGGGGTGTTGGTCGTGAGCTTCCCAAACTGAGTGACAGCATAGTATGACAAATCTGGGTTGGCGTCAATCCTTCGGATAACCTCGGGATATAAATCAGGAGAGACTAGCAACTCTAGATACGCCTTTTGGTAGACATATCCATTCGGGGGCCCCCATCCGTACACCGGATGAGTAGACTTGACGCCGTCTACTGCTGGCTGGGAGTTGATAGTCAATAGGCCACGGTGATTGAGCTTGATGAGATCATCTTTGATAGAATCCGACTCGCCGGTTAGAGGTGCTTCGCTCCAAGGCAAAGAAGGGAGATCTCTTTCCATGTACCGCACGAAGAGGGAAGCAATATCTTGGACCGACTTGGGTTCACCCCATCTCTTGCGATTAGACTCGTTCGTACCGGTTAGACCAATTCCATACGCATCCAATTCACCGAAAGCAGGAGAACGCGAGTCTCCCCATCTGCCGTTCGGAAATTCGTCCCAGTCCTGAGTTCTTGATATGTATGACTTGTTGCGGTTACGCCAGAAGATAGGACGGACGTCTTCTTCGCGCCGCCCAAGTGCAAGGGACTGTTTCCATGGCAGAGCCTGCTTTCGGGGGCGTGTTGTGGTCGGCATCCAATCCAGCTCTTCTAAGACCATACGGGTTGCCTGGGCCAGGTTCATAGTATAGAAGTGAAGGTGAACAATGCCAGCAGACATAATCTTTCGGCAAAGCTCAGCAACTAGCGTCTTTCCAACCTCCCTCACGGCAGAATCATCATTCTTGATCGGCTCGAGAGCTGTCATCCATTCTTCGGGTATCTTGCAATTCATATGGTTTGCTCGTCGAAAGAAACTGGCGTAAGTTGCAATAGGCATAATACCGGGGATGATCGGAATATTAATACCCCTTTCTCGTACTTTCTTTACCCATCGTACGAAATTATCGGCGTCGTAGAACATCTGCGTGACAATAAAGGTAGCACCCATATCAACCTTCTCTTTGAGGTGGTCTAGTAGTTGATCTTCATCTTTATTATCGTCACAGCCCTCAGGATAGCCAGCAACACCAATGTCGAAGTGATTCCCGTATGTCTTTCGTATATGAGCGACAAGATCCCTTGCATATTTGAACTTGTTATCAGTAGCTACCCACTGCTCCTTTTCGCGAGGAGGATCACCTCGTAGTGCCAGTATGTTAGTACAGCCCGCCTTGTACGCCTTCCTCAACGCGTCGTTTATCTTGTCCTCGCCCATATCTGTGCAGGTCAGATGCATGCAGGTTTCGAGACCAAAGTAGGCCTGCGCCTGAACGACCATGTCGCAGGTCAGCTCAGCAATCCGCCCTCCTGCTCCCCATGTAATATCGATGAACTTGGGTCCAAAGTCGTACATGCGTTCCATACGGTCATACAAGTTCTGCACACCTTGGGCTGTCTTCGGGGGGAAGTATTCGAAAGAGAAGGACGGCTGGCCGGTCCTCTCGGCATCTGCGAGCATCTCGTTGATATGCATTTTGGGCGGTACGGTACAGGACGAATACTATTACTGAGGGCGCGTAGAAATAGAAGTAGGAATGTCACAAATGAAATCTACGCAACAAAGTCAGAAAAGGACATTCTAGAGAGGAAGGGAAGCAAATGGCTTGAAGAGGAAGGGTTTAGGTATGGCTAAGGACTTGCAGTAGGCCTGAGAGAAAATATAGCTTGCTCACCTAGCAATCTTGCGTTAGGAAACACATAGGAATGGCCCTCTAATTGAGAATTGAGAAGCCAGGTATTCCCGGATTTTATTTTATTTTAAAAAAAGAGACAACTCCCTTCAACCAACTTAAACATAACAAGTTCAATGTTTGTACTTGTGTACTTGTATAAGAGTAAGAGAGGAAGAAGGAAGAGCCCGGAAATTCTACAAGAATTAACGGATCGACTCCCTTGAACTACGACGTAGTCCAATTGGAAAGTCCCACCCACGCTCTCTCCCGCAATTCCGAGTCAGGGGCGGAATGATTGGTCCATCTACTAGAGTCTAGTGTATTCCAGCCACATTTAAATGCTTCTAGCGGTAAACTATTACTCCGTCCGATGTACTGTATTGCACCTAAATGCTCCTAAATGCTCACCATGCATATGCGGCTTACGGGTAGGAATAACTCCTGCGCGTACTATGTAGACGTACTAGACGTACCGGACGTACTTACATGTACCTATTAACTGTGATGTAGCAGCGTAGACACCACCCGTGGTTATGGGAATGGCATTAACGTGGGATTGTAGTAACCTAGAATAAGGTACTATGCCTTACCCTAAGTAGCCTAGCAAAGAGGTATAGTTACACGCATGTACTAACTACCTACCTATGAGGTAATAAAGGATTGATTTATTTATCGTTGGACCCTGATGGCTGAAGTAGGTACAGTAGCTGAGTAGACCCAGTCCGCATAATTAATTACCCCTCATAGCTGCCCCTCCACGTTGGAGTACCTGTTGTACTGTAACCTAACGGTCCAACTAACTCCCCTCCGATCGGCAAGGTACAACCCCGCTTCACCGCCAGACAATCAGCTAATTACCTAGGTAGGTTCTTTCCAGTGGCTTAGTAGGAGCATCAGCTGACGGTGACGGCCATTATCAGAGGCTCATGCACTAATACAGGTAATCCATGCACTTTGTACTAAGAGTGGCCAGCGAAAGAAACTATTCCTACAATAAGTCAATCCGTAGTATGCCTTTTAGATGGTATCACATATTTCATCTAGTTATACAACGGAAATCTTTCTTAGTTAAATTTTTCACATTCTTCAACATGCAAGCCAAAGACGACGGGAAGCATAACGACCCAATGCCTAATACCAAACTCAAGCATCCGAGACAAGAAGCTGTATGGTTCAGGTAGCAACGCATTAGAACCGGCAACGTCGGATGGCCTCAAGTAAAGAAACTGCAAACAGTCAATTCGTTTAGATAAGTTCAATTGGGTAAGTACCTACCTTTTACTGTATACACGCTCTAGCCCTAAGTATTACGAACCGTGGAAAGATGAGACGCCGACATTATAATTTCAAGTCATAAGTTATTTTAAAAAAGGTTGAAAAGTTGAACCAGCCCTGACTATGCTGAAGGTACTAAGCAGATAGAAGTATAATATATCTTCTAGGCTTGATATAAACATTTGACCGCGAAGGCACTAGTTTTTAAGACCATGTGGCTTACTATATTTGTATGGATAGCTGCTCCAATATAAATTATCTTGGATAGCTTAAACCGAGCAAGCATTGAGGGATGTACATATTAAAATGATTGCTATAGCGTTTTGCTTGAAGCTTAGTCGTTGGCTTTCAGCCCGGAGGACTTGCTACACTCGTAGTACTAATATCAAGTTCGTTTAAATATAAACCAATTTAAGTAGAAACACGATATAGTAGTAGATTGATAAGAATCAAGCTATTTATTAAGATCTAACAGATGACAGAAAGCTCGGCTAGTTGTCCATTATATTTAAAAAAGCCGCTACTAGTGGCTTGGTAAGGTTGTTGTCGGCTTTTTATAACAAGTGCACAGCATGGAAATAAGACCGTACCCTCTTAACAGAGTAAAGAGAGCAGCTAGTTTCTGATTAATGGTTACCTATAATCAATACTAATGAAGGTTTGAATAGGCTTGGACTTGACTTGATTGGACCTAGTTTACGTCACTTGAAGTTGGTAGAGAGTTGAGTTAAGTAGTTTACATGTGGGGTAGGCAACATTGAATGAACTTGGTTACCTGTATGATAATAGGGATTAGGTGGGCTAACTTTTAATGTAACCTTGGATGTTATACTAGGTTAATAAAATCACATTCGTGCTATTAGTGTAACCTCGGATTAAGTTGTTAAGTCCTTTATTGTTTATAAAGACTAATAAGTCCCTGACATCGCAAACCAGGAAGGTGGTTTTAATGCTCAGCCTTATGGGACCTTTTTACCACTCAGCCCATTTCTTCTGATGGCTGGCGTCAGCGTTCCTTATGCGGTGGCTATTTTGCCTAAGGAGATATGTAACCAACGGATATAGCCACTCCAGTGCTTTTCAGCTAGTTTGCCCTTCTTTATATATTACGTAGTGTAATACCCATATGTCATTAAGTCTTAAAATTGAGTCTATGACCGGGATGGAATCGTAGTTTTTACTTTTTACTTTAACTGACTAGTGGGTAAGAACTAGTAGTAGCGTATAGTGAATTTTGACAGGGTAAGATGTATGAAGAGGAAGTATTGGATTGTAACCGATGTAGTTAAATGATCCAATCTAACTTGTCTTACCCGTTGTTGTATAATATAAAGTTGGACTAGCATATGACAGGTAGCTAAGTATGATTTAAAAAAAAATAATAATAATAAAGTGACCAGTGACCTTATATAGTTTTAAAGTGTCATCTTCCAAAGCTGTATTCCATATTCTAGAATCTAATATGTTGCGGCTTTCCTTCTGCTAAGTTGTATTCGGTCACGGAGACCCCGCGTACCCCGGTCTATTTTCATGCAACCCTGTCGATTTGTCGGGTCCGTGTTCCAATACAGCCCAAGTTTTTAAGGGGACCTTGCCCGATCCCGTTTTACGATTGGCTATGCTGCATGAACCAAAGATTCTTGTTACCTGGAAACGAGCAAGGATTAATAGTCCTATCCTCGATCTGCTTGTGATCCTGGAACTTATTCATATCTAACCTAGGTATGTCCCGTTGTTCCTGATATTGCTCTTCTATCGACACCGGCCACGATCTTCTTCCCTGATCGTGATACTTAACAGAGACTGTGGCGCTCAGAGAGCTTTAGTAAATCTTGAAGTTAAGCAATACGCATCATTGTTTGAACTTCCCTCGTTAAATATGTCTCCGAGAGTGAGTTCCCTATCTCACTATAATAGCGCTCTAACTCTTCTTGACCCGCTTAACTAATATTTCAACGGCATCGCAGTACGACGAGGCGCCCGAACTGATACCTCAGAATTTTCCAGAGGTTCATCAGCCATCTGCAGCACCAGAAGTGGCCAATACATATGGACAACATACGTCGGCAACTCCTGTAAAGCCTGAAGAGTCGGCAGGATATACAGGTTTTGCGCCAGTTGAGCATCCGCCACCTTCGTCGTTTACGTATGACTATCAAACCGGGTATGGTCCTACACTACCATCTGAGCACGGCAGAGCACGACAACGAATACTAGGATGCTCAGTGCTAGTGTTTATTCTATCCATTATCATTGCCCTTTTATCGACAGCCGTCATCGGCTTAGCGGCTGGAACTGGAGTCGAAGCAAGCCGAGCGAACGACGCGGAGGCGCGTTTGGCTGCACTTAGTGCCTCACCGACGACTGTTACTGTGACAGCACCAGGGCCAACATCATCCGACTTCAGCGCGATTGATAAAGGATGCTCTACAAATTCAGCGGGAGTGACGGGAACCGACTACGAATCTCAATGTGAGTGTATAGGGTTGACGCGAGGACGCCAATTTAGAACAGCTACTGACTATATGAACTCAAGTTTATAATAATCCTAGTTTCAAGATATACTGCAACAGTGACGCTCCAAACAACCCACTCTCTTCTCTCTTCGTGGGCAATTTTGACGACTGCATTGACGCCTGCGCTTCTTATTCTTTCTACATACCTTCGCACTTCCCCAGTAATTCCACGTCTGGAAATGCGACCTGTGCCGGGGTCAGCTTTATTCCTGCTTGGACTAATCGCACATTCGCATTCGACGGAGGCGCGCCGGGCAATTGCTACCTTAAACCTGGGCCGCAAAATCAAACAGCGTTGAATAACCCTAACATAGGGGGCTCTGCTGTTCATGCAGCGATTCTAGATACGCAATCCTAATAACGACATATTGACCTATCGATTTACCATTTACTGTTATGCATTAGGTTTAACATGAGGCAATAAGGCATGTCCTTAACATGATACCATGGCGCAGGAGTTGGGTGTTCACATTGGAGGCCTTCTGACACGAGAAAATATATTTAGTGCACTGCCCTACGTGGCTTTGGGGGTGGAGTTCTACAGTTCTTGAGCCCAGGAGTTATTGGGGGTTTTGAATTACAATAGGTACTCGAGATTTGATAGTAAAAAGATCTAAGGCATATAATACCTTTCGACTAGGATATAGAAGAAAAAAGGCCCCCAAAATCATGAAATATTCCTGGACTTCTTCCGTAGGGTATCCTCTATCACTGTAACCGTCTGGGGTGATGCTGACTGACATCGAGCTATAAGCTGATTCAGCTAGTAAGCTTGTGCTGTGCCGCTGAGCGACAGCTCAGGCGGCTACGTACATAGATAGACTAGCTACTGTCTCAGAACACTGTCTAGAAATGCGGATTTGTTACATACGGTCCCGAAAAATGTTAGCCGAAGACTGCCAATGACATTCCATAGGCAACATGTATCTAAAAATGAGTAGCGGGAGGTAGTGGGATATCACATATTCTATCTGGTAATACTTTTAAGATAGAAGATGCTGCCAGGGCCACGAACCGCGCCACCATCCATCTAGTAAAAATAGTGATTTGTCTTCGGGATTGCTAGGGCGCTGCCATGCGGATATCTCAAGGATGAGCCCCGGGACAGACCGCCGGAAATCCAACGGTTGATTCCATACCAATCATTCGGTCTTCTTACACATATAACATCTTTCGATTTCAAGAATATCCTGCTTACCTCATAGGTGTATTGCTCAAGAGCCAGTTCGTATTATCATGCGTATATGGCCACATACCCACCCACCTATCTAGGGTCCCGAATTTGTAAATATAGACATCATAGGAAAGCGAGATACCCTAGCCCAGCCATGAACAGTAACATTAGGTACGAGAAAGTGTATGCGATGACCCCACCAGTTAATTCAGGTACCCAGAAACATCAATATCATATCATCTGAAGCGAAGCTCTTTGAATCAAAGAGACGAAACTGATAAATAACTCTGATGCGTAGGCAGTCTCAATTAGTTACCTACGTAAGGTACATATATTTATGATGTTTAGCATAAGACGAAGCACTTAACTACCTGAGTACCCGTTATATGTATCCTCCTAGCTATGAATTCAAAACATGACTACATATCTTCTTTAATTGTCCTCCCAGCTAAAATCCACAAAACTGTTACCCAGTAAGCCGAGCAGACATGGGAAACCACTTCGTCATTCTGCAAGGAACTCTATATCAGGTAAGCTAGAGGCCAGTGACTTTACATAAAAAGTTGCCATCGTTCGAGATGTCTTATCTGGAAACCCCAACACTCAATCACGATCTATTGTCATGTTTTTAGAACCATTATATTACCGATTATGAGGGTACCTGATTGATATAATATACCTAATCAGGTCAATCTATGTGTATAATCTAACAATTCCATTTCTAAAAATCATCGAACACATTAAAGAACCAAGAATCATTGGCAACGTCTACGGGCGTTGTAAGCCCACCCCGAACTCCATCAAACATATTAGCTTCGTGATTTGAAATGCTCACTGTGTCTATACTTTCCAGGTCATGCCGCCAAACCTCTCTCAGCTTCCGGAAAACCCCAAGGACCCAGTTATACGATTCATCCTCGCCGCCGTCGAGTGAAACCAAGGCCGAGGCGGCCTTTAAATACTCGAACAGCCCGATGATTTTATCACAAGTCGGAATGAGATCAACGGTTCTCCGGACCGCTGCGCGATCCCAGCTTGGATCTTGTAAAGTGGTTATTGTATGTAAGCCTTTCATAACCGTGACAAGTCGAGGATAACTGGCGAATGACATGTTACCGAGAAGAACTATGGGAGTGGAGAAGAACGCATCAAGGTACGCTTTAATTGACACGAGGCAGCGCTGATAGATCTCAAACCGCCGCAAGTCCGGCCCATTCCATGGTGTGGCCGGCTTGCTTATTTCGGTTTCATTTATCAGAAGCTCTGTAAAGTGATAGAGCTCTAAGATCATATCTAAATAGAGCGTATTAGTGAGAAAATGGATTGAAATTAGTGACTATAGGTTTACCGTACGATCATTTCTGACCTCCGCGCCAAGACTTTCCTGTCTGGTTATCTCATGTAGCTGTGATCGGAGAGCAGATAAATAAAGTGCCGGAGGCCGGCCACCATTGGCATACAGAGAGTCATCATATATTTGGTTTGCAATCAGCTGCATCTTTACCATTGCCGTGAGGCTTTCGTCCAGAGATGCTTTGCTGCTGTGGGCAAGGTTTGAAAGGTAAACGTCAAGGTAAGGGGACCAACGGAGCCCAGGTGCGTGTTTGAAGATGTTCGATATCCTAGGTTAAGTAACTTGTCAGATATTGAATGTGTTAGAGCGAGGGTGGGAAAAAAGGTTTCTGGCTGATAAACTAACATGGACGTAACAACAAAAGCACCTAACACTGCGCGTTGCTCCTCGTGGGTGCGCCCCTTAAGGAGAGTTGATACTTGCGACTCGCTAATACTACCGGCGGCACAAAACATAGCTGGGTCGGATGGTGGCCTATGAAGGCCCAAGTCACAAACTAGAGTAACAATTAATTGAGAGAATAATGTCCAGAAAGGTTTATCTCGTTTATGCAGATGTGACCTAGCAGTAACGGGTCAGAGAAGAGGTTCGAGATTTCAGAGTGTTGAATCGGGGTATTGACCATCCTACTAATATGAGGAGCCCTAGAAGAAGATCTATGCTCTTCTCCCTGGACATAACCACCTTTAGGACTATAATATTCTTTGCCTGCTCGCTTATGGCGGTTCGTCTTCTCGGCGACGCTGATACCGTGCACATTATAGTTAACCACAGGAATGGGTACGTTTCCCGAAGCTGTTGGGCTCTCGCATGTGGAGGAATATAGACCAACGGCAGAAAACCCTATATTCAGCAGTTAGTGATATATATATATATAGTGGTTTAGTGGTTTGGAAGCTAGGAGCTTAACTTACTGCAGTTTCATCTCGGAATTTTCTTAGTAAATCTTCTGCCTCTAACGGGGGCGTTTCGTCGGAATAATAAATACTTGAACTCGAAGTTTTTGTAATGTCAAATGCGGTTACCCCTCCAAGACATTGAGTAGCCGGCACTGAAGACGCGATGGTGGCTGATGGTACTTCTGTATTGGATTCAAGAGCTCCTTGCTGCTCATCGTGATTATCTACTTCGTCTTCTATATGGGGTTCTCTGGTCTCTTTCTGTGATTTAAGACTCGACATAAGCTCATCAAGTTTTTCTTCAAGCCGGGCAGTTCTGGAAGCGCCACGACGTTTACCCACACGCCGCCCAGCCGATACTGTTGGCGTGCAACTTTTCTTTAGGCGGTAGCATCTAGAGAGTGTCAATACCCAATTTAATTTCGAGTCCTGAGAGGAACGGCAATAAGATGTCTAAACCTACCGTTCACAAACGGTGTTGTCACTCCGATATATACACTTGCATTTAACTCGAGAGCAGTTAGAACATGCTCTTATACTCGATATAGAAGCTGACGTAGGCTGAGACTCGGGAATATTCGTGGGCACTGCCGTCTCCATATTCTTAGACTTCGATATCTGAAAATTAGTATATGCGCAGGACAACCCATATGTGAAAGATGCCGTGTATGAACGGATCCGGGAAGAATCTAAAGTGTTGTCTTCAAACTACGGCTGACTGCGTGGGTAAGGAGATAAAAAGTGTACCCCGGCCGCCGGGTACGGGAGTAAAATCGTCACCCTGTTCCGGTTGCTCTTATACTAAAGGAGATATTTTATTGGGTCTGCTTAGTCTTCCAACCTACATACCTGAGAACCCCTGTAGAGATGCTTACGTCGAGACATCGTTTTTAATTAGTATGTCTCGGTGAGAATCTTCCTAACGAGAAAACCTCCTTCTTTAAAATTGGCATCACTAGATATTCTGGGAACATGAAGATATGGAAAGATCCTAGTCTCGGTACAGATGCCCTAATAGATATAAGGTGACCACTGCTAAATAAGCAAACCCCCCATCCACCATACTCTGAACCGGCAGAAGAGACTGCCCGACGGGATATGGCAGTGACCGTCAGGATTGCTGAAGGACGGTGGTGGTACAAAGAGTCTTTCGATCTGGAATAACTACCTAACATGCGAATCTATGCCGAGTTTCACGGGCCGTAAATGTGTAGCTCCGGCCGGACCCTCCTTATTTCCGGCTGACCTATAATTATGTGACTCCGATATCTCCTGATTCAGCACTTACAAACTCCGACTTCATTAAATCCCAAGTACTCGTATAGTCTACGTATAAATACTATAAAATTTATAAATAAGATAACCGCTTTAAAAACTAAGTATACGGATGGAGTTTTGAATTGTATCTAGTTACCCGGTTGACCTCCGGATATCAATTCGGATACCGGCCCCATTATTATATTCCTCGGTACCTAACCTTAGGTACCTCTTAAGCTATCATCCGGATTCTTATCACGGGTCTTGATATCATGATATCATTCGACGGCCATGGACGACAAAGACTGGCTCCACTCATAAACCGAATAATTGAGACTTTAGCCATGGAGCCTTGAAGGAGAACTAAGTTACGTAGTGAGTGAGTAGATGTTCATACTTAAGTTGGTAAACTTAATAACTACCTAGACAGTGATAATACTTTATGCGTTCATGAATCAACACGCATACTCTTGGGGCGTCTAACTGCTTTGAACTTTAGTGATACTTTTTCATAGGAGCTACCTAGTCGAACATTGCTTGATTGCTGGCTGGCATACTAATTAGCCAGGGATGTCTGAAGGCTGAACAATGCCATTGTGTTTATTAGTTGTCAGTTTTCTCAAACCAATGAAGACGATAAGAGCTGGTTAAGTCTAATGACTTATTGTATTACGCGATGTCTTTCTTAACATTCTGTAGCTTGCTTTCTATTGGCCAATTGCAATTGGATGTAGTGTACCGGATCCGTAATAACTGGCCAACAACATTAGAGCCTACATATTTATGAATTTGCCTCTAGTCTTAAATTCCCGCGTTCTACGGCATATTTAAGCCTCAGCCACTTTTGCCTTTCGTGATTCGACTGCTTCTTTTCCCTCATGGCTTCTAGAAAAATCTCTGAGGTGGCTCTGATATGTGGTAATACACTCCATCTATTTAGATCCTTTATCAGCTTAGACATGTCTTGGCGGTGTAGACTGCGCTATTCGGTCACAACTGCACAGTAAAGGGACTGGGATATATACAGTCGCAGCAATATGCGAATGGGTTAGTGTTAATAGCCAATAGTAATAATAGTAGCCCCCCTTGCCCCCCGCCTTTTTGGACCGGATTTCGACGGACGCCCTGCTCGTCAACCCAAGGGCGCGTACTCCACACTGAATTACATGGGCTGCATGGATTAGTTCGGCGCTGTCAGCAGAGTTCGGAAGTGGCTTTTGCGGTGGTTGCGATATGGCGGCCCAGCAAGATGGGACGATGACTCTTGTTCAACTTGGGATCTTCATCTTTCCCGCGGCTGGCTTTAGCGACAAACGGAGCAGCGTATGCAAATCATATTGGAATGGTTACCTATGCATTGCCGTAGTTTCTAAGGATCCAATTCGCAAGGAGAAACATCTGTCGCGTGCCTTAAACTTCTTTTCCCCATCCCCTCTTCAAAACCTAGTCCAGGTTGTCTGTATTCTTCCCCAGATTCCTATCACCTCTTAACAGGGACGTGTCCTCTTTTTGAGTTACCTGCTTGGCTTCTCTTGTAACCACAACTGCCATTACACTGGCGCCCTTCTCGCTTTCCCAATTCTTACGCCCTAGGTGTGAATCTCCTGGCCGGTGGCCGCGCCCTAAATGACGACAATCGACGAGCTAGGAGAGATGGAATTTGTTAATTGGGATGCTGCCGTAGTCGGCACCGGCTCCGAACCCGTAGTCACCTCGGAGGGCGTAGCTGGTCCTATCGACGCTCCTGCTGCATCAGTAGACCAACCCAATATGGACCTTGTCTTCGGGGACGTCGAAGGGGATGACTGGTCGTACTGGGCTCTTGAACACTTCGAGTCCACTCAGATGCCTCAGGGAGTCGACTCGGTGGCGCTGCCGGAGCCCGAATCCGCAGCCAACTCACAGCTTTATTGGGAGATACCCGCCGTGCCTTGTACGCACTGCGCAATGGGTGGTTACCAATGCAAGCAAATCAGGGAAGGTAAATATAATGGTTATTGTACGAGTTGTGTTGCTCTACGTTGTGAATGCAGCTTCGGGCCTGTAGAACATAACTTGACTGCCGGGGCGGGCGCGACTTTTCCTGCGAACCCCTGGCCTATAATGGGCGATAGACCAGAGACGTCCATCCTGCATGAGGATGAAATAGCTGCTATGATTACTTCAGCGCCGCCTGCACCAGGCCTGGTTGCAATCGCCGAGGACAGAAAATCATTGTCAAAGCCTCAGACTACGACCAAGAGCGTTACCCGATTTTCTCGCGAGTCAGTGAAAATCCTGAAAAACTGGGTATCGACGCATAGTAGACACCCGTATCCAACGGAAGAGGAGAAAGAGGGCCTTCAGAAGATAACTGGCCTTAGCAAGACACAGATTACGAACTGGTTAGCAAATGCCCGCCGTCGTGGGAAGATCCAGCCGACCCGAGCGACGTCCCCTCATATTGGCCGAGGATATGTCCAAGCCATCGATATTCCACAGCGGAGAGGCACGCCGGCGCTGTTCGAGAACATGAACCCCTTGCAGCGATGGGCGAATTCTCCGCCGGAAAATGAACCTGCGTCCGTGGCGGCCATTGCCAAGGCCGTGTCAGACTCTTCCAATTCATATTCGCAAACCTCAGGATCGGGTCGGAACAGTCCCTACGTTTCTAACTATTCAGATGATGGATCGAGTAGGTCGCTGTGCAATCAATCGTCTGCTAGCAGTTTGGGCACCTCTCACTCCAGTGGAAATTCCTTCGCCTCCGCATATTCCAGTAAATCGCGTGGCTCCTTCGGCTCGCTATCGTCATTCGTCCGAACTCGAGGCCGTCGTCGCCGTCGTCGAGCTCCACCCGTACGAGCCGACGAAAGTCTCAACCAACCGCTCAAAACTTTCCAGTGCACGTTCTGTACCGAGACTTTTAGGACTAAGCACGACTGGCAACGGCACGAGAAATCCTTGCATTTATCTCTCGAGCGGTGGATATGTTCTCCCGAAGGCCCGAGGACTTTAAACCCGGATAATGGCATGATGAGTTGTGTCTTTTGCGGCGAGGCAAATCCGGACGATGGTCACATGGAATCTCATAATTTCTCCGGCTGTACGGAGCGGACGTTGGGAGAGAGGACGTTCTACAGGAAGGATCATCTTCGACAGCATCTTAAACTCGTGCATAATGTGAAGTTTCTTCCGTGGGCAATGGACAAGTGGCGAGTGGCCTCTCCCGAGATTAGGTCACGATGTGGTTTCTGCGGTATCGTGTTAGATAGCTGGACAATCCGAGTGGACCATCTGGCCGAGCACTTTAAGACCGGTAACACTATGGCTGACTGGAAGGGTGACTGGGGTTTCGAAGCCCCCGTGCTTGAGATGGTGGAAAACTCCATCCCACCTTGTGAGAGACAATCATCCTTCTCTCCTGTGCAAATATCTAATTGACGAGAACAGATTTAATTCACGACGAGAGGAATACTCCTCTGCCTTATAGGGCTAGTAGCAGCCCCCCGGCGACACCGATCAACGCTTATGAACTACTGAAATGGGAGCTTCAGCACTGGGCTACTATGTTCACTGCAGATAATGGAAGGGCGCCAAACGATGCCGAGATGCAACTAGAAGCCTGTTCCATTCTCTATGGATCGGAGATCCAAACCAAGAATTTCCAGCGTCCCCGTTGGGAAGCATCGTCTTGGTTACGCGACCTTGTACTGTCTTCGGAAGAGATATCTCGAAGCGCTGCCTTGCGACCGATTCGGGAACAATCAGATAACCGGTTAACCTCGTTACGTATCAATGGCAAGGACAATATCTTTGAAAACTGCGAGTTCGAGAGGCAGATGCAAGACTTCGTCAAGGCTAAGCAGCTACTGGGCCTAACGGCTATGGATCATGAACTTCAAGTCGAAGCTTGTCGTATCATCGGTAGGATGGAAGAGAAGTCTAGTAACCCCATGGAAGACATAGCAAACTGGCTGTTGCGCATCATATATGGTTCTCCGACCTGGCTTCAGAGTTTTAGGCAGCGGGCGCATCTTCCGCGCAGTGAGGACGTCGGGGACGTCAATCTAAGGTCGAAAGATCTCAAGACTATAGACTCTACTATTCACAGTTACAGTAGATTGGAACGGGAGCTTGGCGAATACCTCGAGGGACAGAGGTCAGCAGGTGTCGAACCTCAAGATGCCGACCTCCAACGAGAGGCTCGCGTCATTATCTATGACAGCGACGATGAATGGAACCAGACGGCAGCCGATGATAAAGAATGGCTCCACCGCTTCCGAAAGCGACACCCACGAGATCGTGCTGCTACTACATCTACATCTATATCGAGCGTGTCCCCTATAAATCAGAGGCCATCGCCGTCTCAGAACCAAACTGTTACAAGAGACTCACAGTACCTTGGGCCTCTACTTGACGAGCTACCTTCCTGTCACGACCAACAAGCAACCAATAGGGCCCTCAACAGCTCTATCAAGACTGGCCCATACTTCCTTAACGATACAAACTGCTACCGCCGCTTAGCTCGGGGTCTCAGTCGCTTCGTAGCGTCGACCATGTCTCCCAATAACCCCAACCGACACGTGCCAACCGACGAAGAAATCCGGTACCAAGCCCGGTGGTTAATATACGACGAGTAAGTCCCCGCCCCTCTCTAGCTGCCCTTCCTAAGACCTCGTCTTGTCAACTAACCCCATTCACCACCAGCGACGACCCATGGAACCAGACCGCAGCCGACAACTTCGAGTGGCTCCAGCGCTTCAAGCGAGACGCCGGGATCCTAGCCGCAGACAGCGGCCCGGGTCTCGGCAACCCCAAGGACTCAGCATGGGCCCCCAGCTCAGGGGGCACCGGGTTTGCGCCGCCGTACGTCGCGCCCAACCCCGCCGCCACGATCGAGCCGCTAGCCTCGAACCCGACGATCCTAGTCCGCGACGCGCGGCCCTTCGAGCCCGCCGCCAGCACCGCGAACCGCTTCCTCCAGTCCTTCACGCGGCGCTTCCCCGCGCCGGCCAAGGTGTTCTGCAGCCGCGAGCTGGAGAGCGGGCTGACCGAGTACGTGCGGCGCGAGGTCGGCCGCACGGGCGTCTTCCCCTCCGACGACCACCTGCGCGAGCGCGCGCGCCAGATCATGGCCATGCAGAAGACCAGCTGCGACGACCCCGTGCTTCTCGAGCGCTTCAAGGCCGCCGTGCAAAGCGCCGGCCTCTCGGACGCCGGGCCGCTTACCCCCGGTGTAGCCGCTGATATCGCAACCGTCGCCGCCGGCGATGCGGCGCTCGCGATGCTGCCGGAGGACATGGATATGGATTTCCAGTTCACGGAGCAGGAGATGAACGACATACTGCAGGACGTGAGTCCCGATTTCGAGGGAGGGGCACCGCTCAACCAGAGCCCCTTGGATGACATTAACAGCGGCGTCGTTGGTTCGGGTTTCAACCTATAATCTAAAAATGATGTTACGAAAACAAAACGCCGTCGTTTTTCTTCGACCTCTTTCCTTAGCATATTAGATACCATTTGGGAAGAGTAGCATTTTTCTTTCTTTCCTGTAGGCATATATGGCTGGAGTTGGCATTTTGGATTCACCTCTGCTCATAGCGTCTATAGCATCTAATAAAAAAATAGTAAACCCAGGAATTATCGTATTATAGTTATATTTCATTATTTTAATGTCCAAGAGAAACGTTGTTACCACTGAGATTAACTACCTAAAACCAGGCCAACTACTTCGTACACGAGAATTTTTATTACAGCACTTGAAATTATATTTACCATTCCTACAACAAAATTTGTAGAGCGTATTATAAGCATAGTATTTGCAACGAGCCAAGCCGGCCGGTTTGAAAAAAGGGTATCGTAAAATAATGGCAAAACAACGAAACCTCCCGGAATCAATAGCTCGACAGCAGAACCTATAAGCCAATTCCTGCAAACGCCATCATCTCACCGCACGTGAGAATCTCCTCTAAGTACCTCTATACTTTGTTTCCTGCCAAACTAACGAGCGCATACAATACCTATATTGGTTCGATTATTTATAACTCCCATAACGAGAATTAGTAGCGTTGCGGTGTCTCGGGTATCTCCCAAATACCTCCATCTTTTGTTTCACCTTTACTCTGAGCCCGTGCTCGAACCGGAACATGGTTTCTCGGCTTTGACCAAGACTCTTGGATTGATCGAGGAGCAAAGGGGATGTTTGACGTAGAAGTAAACCCGTGTCCACCATTTTGGGCCGGGCTCGAAGGGACTGATGATGCGCTGAACGTAGGAATTCGAGTTCCGTTTTGTCGAGCTGGTGAACTAGTAATCGGTTCCGGCATACGGATCGGGCTGGAAAACGGAACGGTAGCTGGAAGCTGTCCATTGTGTTGACGCTGCATAGAAGTCGCCTTGCTTTCGCCCGCCTCTGGAGTGAGTTGTTCTGGAGGACTCGGGGGGGACTGTGATTGGTCAGGCTCGGCTGGTGTTAAGATAGTCGGTACATTTTCTGGACTGAATCGCTCAATCTCTGGTTGGAGCGGCAAGATATTGGGTAATCCGGTGCCCAATTTTGAAGCCCTTTCATCGCCATGCACAGCATTAGGTTGTGATGGCAGTACGGTCGTATGCTCATCTTCGCCTGCGACTGACAGCGAAGGATATATTCCAATTGCGGAATCGGAAAAAGTAGGGCTCTCAGTCGGCTTTGATTCCTGGCTGACTTGATTATCCCTTCTTGCTTTTTCCTCGGCTTCGGCTTTTTGCCTAGCTTCTTTCTTCTCTTTGGTGAGCACGTTGATCTTAATCTTCTTCATACCACCAGTAATCTTCTCTATGTCGGCTGCAGAATCCTTCGCGATTGCGGTCGAATCCCCTGATGAACCGACTGGAAGCTCTTTTCTCGCAGGTTGTGAATCGCTCTCAGTTTTGACAACTGGGGCTTTAGTCTTTTTTGGTGCCCGAATACTCTCCTTTTTAGTGGGCACTACTGGTCTAGTCTTCCTCACATTCAACGTGGTAGATGCCTGGGTTCGTACACTCATGGATGATTCGGGGCGAATGGTTTGTGAGGTACTAGGCCTTGGTAGTGCACCGGGTCCATCATTAATTGCGACTACCGCACCAAAATTCCGAGGTTGTCCTGAGCCATTTTGTGTAGGGATCCCTCGAGCGAGAGCCTATAAATAATCGTTAGATGCCTACTCGAGATGTGTTTCAAGCGGGAGCTTACCTTCTCCGTGGCAAGGATAGACGACGAGCCCGAAACTGTTTTCCTACGTGTTTTTGGGTCTTCGCTTTCAGCATACTTAACCGGCTTTCTCTCCCGCTGAGACTTCCTTACAGGGGCGGCAGTCGGGGCTACAGTTGAAGCTGCATCATCACTAGTTGAGCCGCTCTGAGGAAGAGACTGACGTTCATGTTTGGCTTTGGTTGCACCGGTATTCAGCTCCTCAAACTTAAAGCTGTTGACCTGACGGTCTTTCGGAATGAGCAGCTTGCTTAACGCATGAGCAGCAGCAGTCCAAGGTACATCAGGTAGAGGCGGAGTTGGGGGCCGAGAAACGGATAACTGAGAAAATCCCGACACGCTCCGTCGGACTTTAGTGGGATCAACTGCCTTCGCGCTTGATGCCTGTGTCGGGGAGGAATAGTTCCCAGGTACAAAAGCTCGCAGCTTTTTAGGCTGTTCTATTATATGTGGTGCATTCACGAAGGCATCAAATTGGTCCAGTTCAGAACCAGACCACCAGTTTGGGTCATATGGGAATCCTGCGATGCCCTGCCCAGTCAAGGTATTTCGTCTGCTGAGCGAGCCAACCCTATTACTCATCTCATAACCGAGTCCATTGGGAATCTCATCCTTTACCGAAGTAGAGTCATCACCAGCCAAACCACTCAGATGACTGAGAACACCTGAATATAGGGCCCTGTCGCTATAACCGCCTTCGAGAACGCTAATAACCCGGCCATCAACACTGAGCCCTTCTTCAGACGCAAGCTTAACCACATCTCGAGTAAGACGGGCGTAGAATTCGGTTGGAACATTGACTTTATGTCGTTGCATCCCCGCGCTCTCCCATTCACTCGCATCGAAGCCAGCAGACAAAAAGATGACGGCTTTAGGCACCTGACCAGAAGCGCGATATCGTTCGGTCTGCGTTCGGAGATAACTTCGAGCTTTTTCCAAGAGAATCGAATATTTAGACTGATACAGCTTCCAGAACTCTACGTCTGACTTCCATTCCTGTAAATGAACGTTCCATATAGACTGTCCATGCGCGTTTTCCACGCAGACACTGGCATTCCTAACCTTCTCATCATCGCCGTACTCACAAGGATACGAGTTAATATCGTGAAGGCTGAAATATCCAATAGATGTTCTTTTCCATGCAGACATATTCTTTGTTGCTGTAAAGCTACGCTTGTTGTGGTCCCAAGCAATCGCCTGGGAACCGTCTCCGTGGTGTAAATCAAAGTCGATTATTGCCGCATGTGTTAATCCATGATTCAAGAACCCGTGCATAATACCCACATGTGCGTTGTTGACCCAGCAGAAACCTGACGGGTGAGACGCGGAGCAATGATGACCGGGAGGACGTACGGCGACAAAGGCACGCTTGTACGGTGAGTCGTTGAAAACTCCATCTACGGCGTCGCAAACGGCCCCGAGAGCGCCTTCGAATGCATTTAAGGACTCCGAACATAGGTAAAGGTCTCCCTTGTGGAGCTCCTGGGGAGGACTTGCATGTGATCCTCTATTCATCTCGGGCCTGCGCAACTCGTTCGTGTGTTGGGCGAGTTTCGTTTCGGCGGATTCGCACATCATCATCAGTTCTTCCATCCACTTCGTTCCATGAACATTGGTCACTGCTGCTGAATCTAGTGCAAGAGTGCGGTTGGTCTTACGAATATGAAAAGGGACAGTGGGAATCGAGGTGGGATCAAGTTCGGGGTAGATAGGGTATCTTCCATCGCAATGTCGTTCTCCGAGTCGAACATATGCCATTGATACACCAAGTACACTCGCTTGGATTCTCTCAGGTCGTTCGACAATGCTATTCAAGTCGCCCTTGGTGGCGCGAGGTCTCGAATATCGATGTCCATAGCATGCATCATTCAGAATGACTATAGTTTCTGGATGGTAGCCTGCCGATTCGCTGTGAAGCAATTCCAATTCTTTCTTCATGTACGAGCCTGCCACGGAGGAGGCAGTAAGTGCCGGTTTCTCCCTGAATTCCGCTATGTTCAATGGCGACCTGGGGCCAATCGGAGAGAGGTGATTGGAGCTACCTCGACGTGAGGGTGCGCGACTCGGGGTAATCCCGTTGGAGGAGTGAAGAGAATTCATTGAAGTCTTCCGTAACAAGGTCGGCGTTGATGATCGGGACAGGGAGGTGAGTCCGTTCGAGTTAACCCGGTTTACAGGACTTCGAGAGGGCGCCCTAGCGCTAGGGGAAATAGAAGTCAATCTTGAATCTGTATGATTTGATTGCGCATTCGAGGTAGGGGAGGGAGATATGCGCAAGGCCGAAGGTCTCATCGTAGAATTCGCAGAGGAAGTGGAAAGGGACAGCTTATTTAACGAGCGTAAAAGTTCACGATCGTCAAAGGAGTTTGCTGTTTCTTCGAGCTTCGGCTGAGCTCGACCACGCTCAGGGAAAGCCATGGTTTCAATCTTATGTTCATTGGAGGAATTGTGGTAACCAGGCAGCCAGGCCGATTAAATGCGGATACTATAGATGTGGACGACGATGTTTGGGCAATGACTGATGGATACCTACATGGAAAGGAGGGGGTGTTCGACGATGTTGATGTTAAATTGTTTGATTTAAAACGGACCCTGTCGATAATGTTTTCTATCTTCACGTCGCGCAGACCCGCGCAGACCATATCGGGTTTAGACCGTGTCCTACTTTTATGCAGTCTCGGTTTAATGTGGGCCATTACGTTTGAATCCAGCTGCATATCTGCATGTTACATAGCGATTCCGGAGGTTCACTTGTACTATCCTACGTATTTACCCCACCAAGTAACAAAAGAAAGAGCCATACATTTATCGATAACACCTTCGATCTTACATTCTCCGTATTTGCATGTGCCTATTATTTCTCCCAGATTTCTAAGCAAAGCTTCATACTAATAATTGGCAATTGACTTAATTTAACACACCAAACTTCTTTCTGAATTATATAGACATACTATTGATCTCCTCCGGATATATGGTTGGCTCTGTTTCAACCCATTTACATTGTCTTTCACCGTAACAATGGCGCCCTCGTTAGAAGAGCCCGAAGCCGTCCAGGACGTCCTCGACAACCCGCTTAAGACACGTCCCCAACTTGTCGCCCCCGAACCCGAGCACTGTCCAGGCCCTGAATCCGAACAAGCCGGCAAGGCCGACTCATGTGCTGGCTGCCCGAACCAGGCGATATGCGCATCGGCGCCCAAGGGTCCAGACCCGGACATACCGTTAATTTCAGAACGGTTGTCGGGAGTCAAGCACAAGATCCTCGTCCTGTCCGGCAAGGGTGGCGTAGGCAAAAGCACATTCACGAGCCTCCTCGCACATGCTTTTGCAACAAATGAAGACATGACTGTTGGTATCATGGACACTGATATATGCGGACCTAGCATACCCAAAATGATGGGCGTGGAGTCTGAGACGATACATATTAGTAACACAGGCTGGTCGCCTGTCTGGGTTGCCGACAATCTGGGTGTCATGAGCATACAGTTTATGTTACCAAATCGCGACGACGCAATAATCTGGCGTGGTCCAAAGAAGAATGGTTTAATCAAGCAATTCTTAAAAGAAGTAGAATGGGGAAACATGGACTTCTTACTAGTCGATACACCTCCGGGGACAAGCGATGAGCATCTCAGCGTGAACAGCTTTTTGAAAGAGAGCGGGATTGACGGTGCCGTCATGGTTACAACGCCGCAAGAAGTAGCATTGCTGGATGTAAGAAAAGAAATCGATTTCTGCAGAAAAGCAGGAATAAGAGTGCTAGGTCTAGTAGAGAACATGAGCGGATTTGTGTGCCCGAAATGCACACACGAGAGCCAAATTTTTAAGGCTACAACCGGGGGTGGCGCGGCTTTGGCAAAGGAAATGGATATCCCGTTCTTAGGCGAGGTACCACTTGATCCAAGGATAGGGATGGCATGTGACTACGGGGAGAGCTTCTTCGACCATTATCCCGATAGTCCGGCATGTAAAGCACTCAAGTGTGTCGTTAAAGGCGTGGCTCGCGAGATAGGCCTCGACGCACAACATATATTACCCGATGACTGAACAAAATTCAAGTATCAGGCCAAGATAGCATCTCGCTATAATTGGTATAGAGAAAATCTCTAAATATCTGGAAAGCGGGGGCTGGCCTGGTAGGAGGCAGCCTATTCGGTGCTCAACTTATTGGGGATATCTTCTAAATCCTCCGGGCTCTCCATATCAATAACCTTGCCGACCTCGGCCGTATTCCTCAAGAGCTCCTTCGCTCCGGCATACATCATGCGACTCTCCGAATTACACGTATTCGGTAGGTAATATAGGAGGACGTAGGGCACAGACAGGCGGCCGGATGGCTGCAGCAGTAATTAGCAAATTTCGAGCCATGTAATTGTTCGGCGGCAAGGCATAGGCGGGTATACCAGAGTCAAAGGGTAGCTTAGAATAATATAGCGCGGCGAATTATCAGGCAGGTCGTCGGCAATTTCGTCGAGAGACTTGTATACTACCTTATCTTCATCTTGCTTAATCTCATACGTTTTCTTGTCGATATAATCTGTTTAGATGCGCATTAGACCAGTTACACTCAAATTACTCTAGAGCAAGATAGGGATAGAGATAGACATACATACAGATCACAGCTTGTGGCCCACTGGCTCTTGATGTAGTTAAGCGAAACTTGCGTAGGTGGTCTTTGGTCTCCTGAGAGAAGGTGTAGAGTCTTGCCTCGGAGCTCTGTTTAGTCTTTAGTATGTCAAACCCCGGAGCAATTCGGATCGCGGGGTATTACCATCTTGGCGGGGGTCCGTAGTCCTAAAGGTGTAATCGATTCTACGGAGTCGAAATATGTAATATGTCAAAATATTGAGGAACTAGTTAACCTAGGTAGACTAGTACATTATTAGCAGATGCCGTATGCTGTGTAAAGTAAAAGCATATGTTAGGTAGGTAGGTAGGTAGGTGTTACAAGCCTGTGGCAGCGATGCGGCTGGCGCAAGTCAGTCTCAGCCCCGCCCCCGCCATGACGAAAAGCAGCTGATTCCCTATCGGACGTCTTTCTTAGCTTACCTAAGCTAATATCTACGAGTTGCATTATGTAAGACAGAACAAGTCAGTTTAGCTGGTTACTAAAATATACTGTATATAGCATTCAATATACTGTGTATTGACATTAGTGAAGTCAGCAATCAATTGGAGGAATTCACCTCCTGCAGTTAAAATATATTAAATTTATGATACCGTCAGTATCAAATATACTACATCCTCGCTCAATCATAGTCATCCTGTCTCTCCCCCAAACTCCGAATACAGATATCGAGTAGTTACTTGAATCGTAACAGCATAAATCCCTGGGGTATCAAAAACCATAGCCGCCTGCTCACGGCTTCGTGCTCAATTACAGTAAAAATTGCAAGCTTCACTCTGAGCTTGGAATTTAGTAATAGCTTTACTAATCCGCATTACTATGGTCTCAACAAGAAGACAATTTAATGCTCGAAGCATCCAATTATATAAGCGAGCTTATCCGTACCTAGTATGAAGACTTCATCGGCGCCGGTCCCGGTCCTCGCTGAGGGTAGCTCTCAGGGGGGTAGTTGACACCGTACTGCGCTGGCCATACCGGTGGCGGGTATACCACTGCAACAGGATGGATCCTATTTCGTCGTTGGGTTTCGACGCATGCCCGGACAAAAAGGCTGAAGTGTATAGCCCTGCTCATTCGTCAGGAACCTAACACTAAAAACGCTGAGCGACAGGAAAACTTACCATAATAGACCGCAGAACGCGATAAGAGCCTGCACGGCTGACTGGAACGACTTGCTGTTGACGAGAATGCGGTCACTCTCCGGACAGTAAAACGACGTGGTGTAGATAGAATTCCCACGCCAGTCGATTTCAGAGGAATCCTCGATGACCCAGTCCGGATCATTAGGATCACGTTCCCATTCGTTGCACCGTACAATGCCGTTCTGGACACTCCTCCACAGCATACACGAATAGAATAGCACATATATCATGGCCAGGAATATGATAAGCTGCACGCCGACGTGGGCGCCGGGGTGAATTCCACGACCTGGAGAGCCTCTCCGCTTCCGGATAAAAAGAGTCACAAACTCGGCGATCGTCCAGCCCGCCGTCGCAGCGGTGACAGGTGCCGTCAGTATTCCTATGCCATAATCGCTTTCCCAAGTCTTTCCAACGCTGAGCCCAATGACTATAATGCAAAACACGAGCGACGTAGACTGCAGCACGATTTTGACAATCTGCCACTGTCGACTGCTCACTGGCTGGACAATCCGTCGTCGGGTCTCCATCGCGATTACCGGGTAAGCCCCTCTGAGCAGGACCTTCGCAATATAAGCGCGCTTCGAGAACTGCGGAACTCAAATCAGTGCCAGCAAAGCAGCTGCCGGTTATTAATAATTAAAAAACAATCGGATAGGGAAAAGAGAACGTCTCGATAAACGAGGGATCGTAAAGGGATAAAGAGAGAAAAGATCGACGGGAAGAACTCGTGGAGACAAGATGCTTCTCGGCCTCTGAAACAAAACGGCTCGTTCTATCTTTTCGGTCCATGCCGAGAAACTCGCCAGACCAATACTGGGCAGATATACTTTTCGAAATGGCGTTTGCCAAATCTGCCAAGGTCTTGGGTGGGATGCTGACTTTAGATCTCGTCCCCTAAATTGCTCCATCCGGGGTCGATATTCTACACTGACTCGTAGCCCTACTAAGCCTGCTTATAAGATAGGCTACTTGCTATTAAATAAGTCGGTAGACCTGTTGAACGCTTATTATTAATATAGGCAAGCTACAGAGACCTTACGGTAGAGTAGGAAAGGGGCTACCACACCGCAGCGCGCGTATATTGAGGCGACGCGGAGTATAACATGCCCAGATGGCGAAGAAAGGGCCAAGAAATATTAGCCAACCATCCCGGTCTTTTCAGGCAAGCTGTGCGGCGCGGACTCGCGCCAAGAGACACGACGGCCTAAATTTTCCAATGCCACGATACACCGTTGGTAATGGCGCCAAGCGCTCGCGCACCATCGATATCTAAGACTTTTGAATACCTATAGGCTTGCCTCTAGGTAGTATGTACCTATTAGGGAGCAACCCCCTAGTGCTTAACTTTCACGAGGCAAAATTCTATCAAACCAATATGCGGGTTAACAATTTCAGGTTAAGGCTGAGATCTCAGTTCAGGAATTCATTGCAATTCGTTCGCCTTGCGGCTATCAGTCTACGGGGTATAGCAAATAGTACACTAGAGACTCCATAGTCTAGGCTTTCACTCTGCCCTGTGCCATGATGAAAAACATCTCCAAGTAGCTCTTTAATCCGAGCCCACATAAAACTCTGGCCAAGCCTTTATCCGGTTTTTTATGCGCACTTGGCTCCTTTGACTATTTCATTGAGCCCGGTATCATGATCTCGTATCGTCTAGTCATCATCAGCTATGACTTTCTCATCAGAATTTGGGTTAGAGGCTGATGGAGGTGGGCGCGTGCTAGGAGCAGGGTCCTTCCAGTTCTCCATCAGGATCTGAGGTAAGAATAGGTCAAAAGAGACGCGAACGTCCTTGACCGCCTTGATGAAGCGAACGCCAATGTTGAGCTCGCATACAATGGCCTTGATCTTCATTCCCTTGTCAAACTTATAAAGTAAATCGTCTTCAAGCAAATAGTCTTCTGACTCTGCGCTGGTGAAGTCAACTTGATCCGGACGAGGTAAGTTATTGAAGCCGAAGTCGATGACAGAAGGCTTTAGAACAAGAATGCCCGCCGGCTTTCCTTTGCCAGAATGGCCAGCTTTCTCTAGCTGTTCCTTTACCATCACGATGTCTCGCTGGCGCGGTAGGATTACATCCACTACTTCGTAAGTCTCCTCCTTTGTGTTCACAACACGAATAGTTGTAGGATCGGAGTCGATAAGACGTTTCTTGATTTTCTGGTCAAGTGCTGACGAGAAGACTGTAACCCGGAATGAAATCAACTGATCATAGTGATCAGGCACATGATGCTTATCTACCTGTCGGTCGTAGAAAAGCGAGTGTGCAGCAGTGTTGAAGGCACCCGGAAGTGAAAGAATAAGCTCGTGCATCATGCGTAATTCATAAGGGGCAGCGTCGCAGATTCGTCTAGCAGCCATGATATCAAAGGTGTACTCGGGGCAGACGTCGTGCATCAGAACATAGTTGAGGAAATTCTTAATGAGGCTTGCAGCTTGGAGATTAGCTGCCTCATCGTACATGTAAATGGTTGGAATGATTCTGGATCTAATATTGCTGTTAGTTACCGCGTTGTTCCGAATCTAATTTCATCCATAGAACTCACAGGAAACATTTCACGATGCCCTCGAAATCAACGAACCAATGCTCAGGCTTTAGAGGATCATAGAAACGGATACCACTACCGCCAACGAAGTCAGTTGCCGTCATCTGGCGAATCTCATCAGCTTCTGCCTCGGCAAGAGCATCGCGGTCCTCAGCGAAGCCAGTGAACTGGCGTGGAGATGAGTCAATGCCCCCGAGCCACAAATATTTGTTGAAGAGCATAAGACGTTCGCTATCCATTCGGCGGCTAGCTCGGTATCTCTGGATACATTCTTCGATACGGCTGTTATTAGTTAGTCCTTAACGTTCCATGTGGCTAAATAACATTTGCGAATCATACTCGGAGAAGGAGCGTGACCTGCGGTAACGTTAGCATAGTCCGTTTCAAGGCAGGATATTGACACTTACGCATTATAGATTTCTTTCTTCTCCTTGGCAGCTTCGGCGGGGGTAATGGGAGCATCGGCATAGAATTCTAGACTGGATGTTAGACGAGACTTCGCCCTGCAGGACCACGCATAGAACCAACCTTCGAAGCCTGTAACATTTTTTCGAGCAGCAGCACCTTTCTTCTTAGACTTCTTTCTCTTCTTCTTCTTTTCCTCGGGTTCAATACCAAGCTGAACCCCTCCATCAATGGTATCGGAAGCCTCTTCTACGTTGGCGGAGTCTGCATCACCTTCGGTAGTAGGAGTGCCATTGGTAGCTTTTTGGTCACCGCCCTGCTCACTGACCTTAGAGTTAGGCGATAGCTTTGCGATATCCGCTCCAGAGGTTGTCTCCCCGTTACTGTGCGCGTCAGACTGACCGCTAGTCGGTTTGCTCAGGGACGTGGCCATGTTAGTATCGTTAGTATGCCGGGGTAAGTCGCACATTGCTACTTCTCCTTCAGCTTATTCGATAGGCGGATGACGAGGCAGATCTGTCATATTATGTCGTCAACAGTGATGAGCCGTAGCCGAATTCGTGTTAGTCCTCAAAGAATTCGATGTTCTGGAAAAGTACGAGAAACAGGGCAGTGACGATGCACTGAGATGAGGCTGAGATGCATAAAAATGCAGGGCTAGCGCACGTAAGGCAGGAGTAAAGGGAGTAGCGTGCCTGCCAACGAAGCTGAATTATGTGAATCGCTCTTTCCTACCTAAGGTTACGAGAAATGGTACTTCTAAGCATGAAATAATTTAGTTGCTGGGGCCTTAGGCAAGAACCTTAATGGGAGAAGTATTTCAGCCCAGTGCTGAGGTCTAAGCTGACTTAGGGTAAGAGTATCTTGGTAAGTGGGAATAATAAGAAGAAACGATGACTTCAGCAGGTATCTTATTATCTGGACTTAGGTAAATATTAGAATAGGTAGATAAAAAGAATGACACATTGATCACAATGTCAGGCAGGTGGTTGCTAAAGGAGACGCTATCCATCATGCTTGAAGTAACACCTACACCGGCTTCAGCGTCTTACAACAACAAACGACTTATGAAGGTATATTGACAGCTTGAGCAAACGCATGTTGTTTGTTATATTATATTGGTTGCCTGTAATAATTTAACAATAGGTAACCTAATCTAGGTACATAGTTTCGGGAGATGTGATAACTACCTTAGGATACCTAAGTACTGTCTGTCTAACAGATATATATTAAATCGACGTTAAGACACTTACACAAAAAAGATGCACCGTCCCGAAATACTTCAGTAGCATCCCCCATTTATAGCTGAATGATATGAATGGATGATCTCCATCATGCAGATTTCCTACAGGAGGCCGTCTTACCCTTCCCTAGGATGCAAAGGGGGAATATTAGAAGTTAACAGATTTATTCGGCAATTTTGAAGTAAGCTATCCCTATTGAATTTAATCTACACTGCCCAGCCCTACTCTATGATGCCTTCGACCTGCAGTTACTTGGATGGAGGTTGGTCAAAATTGTCCTGCCGCCTTGAATGAGTCAAATGATGCGGCAAATAAACTTTCAAGGCAGATTTGTCCATATATTTTATGCGATAATGTGGCTGAGCTGGTATGATTCTATCAATTTACAGCCAGTAAACGTAGTGAATTCGCATACCCTGCTGAAATCCGCCACAGCAAAAAGCAGGAATGCCGTGCCATCCGTCTCCTAGGTACATATCTCATAGTAGGGCAAAGCTGAGCATTAGCGCTTTTACTGGCTGGACCTGGTTGGGGTTTAGCGCATCGCCTTCACCTAAACCTGTAAAGCTCGCATATACCTTGTTTGCCATCCTACATCTGCATGCTGCGGTTAAGGGGGTGTTATGCTAAGGGGGGTTAAGGCAAGGCTTGTTGCGCAATGGTGCAACGCAATTCCCATCTATGGATGCATGCCCTATTGACATTTCCCTCTTTTTGCAGTGGTCCAGCTTTAAAGTTGAGCACTGCATACATTAGGTGCGCGTACAGGTGCGTGTACCTAATGCACGTACGTACATTAATAATTGCTGGGGTGGATGATGTAGGTACCTGCACACCTGTACCTGCACACCTGTACATACCTGATATTGTTAGGCGGTACCTACCTAGGTAACTAATCGAGACTTATTCCATTAGGTAGGTACCTAACCTACATGTAGGTAATTCTGGTTAGGTGCGCGGTAGATACCTAGGTTAGGTATGTAGCTGTGTAGCTGACGTATGCGGGCGTAGACTTGATATTTCAGCAGACCCGTGTCGGCTTTCGACCTCGGCGGGACCCTTAAACTTTTCCAATTATGGCACTTTCGCGCTCAGATCATCCTTCTGGCTCCTTTGTGTCGCCTTGTCCCACATTGATATTAACCTTCCTGAATCTCTTACTTTTAGCAACCCCGTGGATCACTAGATTTCTAGCAACATACCTACTTTTGAAACTCTCGAGATAATGTAACATAAGCCCAATTACTACCCTCATTCAAGAACGCTCCCTCCCCCCCTTTTTTTCCACTAGAATTTATCAGCCAGGTGTTCGTTGAACCTGATATATTCAACTGCAGCCTGCCAACCAATCAAACCCACTTTCCGCCTTCATTGCTGGTCCTTTCACTTACCTAACCTCCAGCCCTACCAAGCATCGCATCCTATCGCAATTTAGAGTATGCGGGACGAATAGACCGACCACTGACCATATTCAACGCTACTACCGTTATATCTCAGGAAGATGCAAGTTATGCGGGACAACGGCAAGAATGCCGGGAGTAGAGAGCGGGAAATTCCAAAGAGAGACGACTTGAAAGATTATAATTATGCTGTCGCTGGACAGTCAGTATTGCGCTACTTTCCCGTCCGACTATTCTTTTATGCTAATCTAGTTGTGCTGGTAGTGCTGGAACCATGTGCGATGCAGACGGCGAGCTATTCATCAAGCCATGTACAAAGTCCGAGGTCGAATTCTACGAATCGGCACACGCCCTCCATCCAGATTTCGCAGAGTTTATGCCCATGTACATAGGAACTCTATCACTCAATGAAGGAACTGACCCGGCTGCGATACATGCGCAAATACCAGACCTTGTTGAACATGCCGACATCCCTTTATCTGTCAAGGAAGAAATCCAGTCACATTTACATCTTGACGATCGGACACCTATACTCGAAGCGCCTGTCCAAAAGCAAATTATCGCGGAGAATGTTAAATGGGTTCCTAACAAGACGAGAAAGATTACGACAGATCGGGCAGTGGTATTAGAAAATGCTTCCTTCGGGTATAAAAAGCCAAATATCAT